CTCCCGGCTCGCGCCGCCTCCGCCTTGTGCAAATCAGATTTTTCATCGAACTTTTCATGCTGCGCACGTATCAGTCATATGTTTCACGGGTAACTACGTGTTAAACAAAAGTTTCCTATGCGCACGAGTAACCCACAAAAAGAAAAGAGCAAGACGCAGGAATAAAAAACGAGCAGAGTGCCGGGGCGACACGCTTCGGCGTCGGGTTGAGAAAGGAAAAAACAAGCTGATGGATTTTCGGCGCACCATCGAAAGTGTTACACGCCACGTTCAACTTTTCAGGGGTGGACCTTGTGAAAACATTCAACGGACGTCAAAATTTCCCACTCACTACCAACGTACGATTTTTTTTCGAACCGATTAATAAATGAAGTTTTCCTTGCGGGTTTTGTGCATTATAGAATGTTTTTTTATTCGGCGATTTTTGATGATGTACTTGGTGCGTACGTTGAACTATGTCGTCATACGGCATGCGCCTCGCGACATAGCGTTTCATGGCAGGCACTAAATGCAAAATCAATTTGGCGCATACATCAATCATTTATGCCCGTCAGGCGGGCGGGCCGCAGCATGTAAGTCGAGACTTTCAGGAGCTCGACTTCCCTCGGCTTGCCCGAAAAAGCGTCACAAAGACGGTAAGGAAAGAAAATGGCACTCGAGAGGAGCTTGAAAAAAGTCAACCGAGCACACATTCCCAAAAGCGGGACCGATTGTGTGCCATCCGGCCAACCTTGCCTGCCATTGAGGAACATGTGGCGGCGGTACAATAATTTTTTTCACGTTTCCAATCTGTTTTCTAAGGTTAGGCGCGCTTGTACATTTTTTACCAACGCGTTATTAATCCAGAAATGCAAATCGTAAGCCGCAGTACTGTGCGCCGGTACAGAACCAAGTGATGAGAGCGCATTTTATTCATTTCATTCATATACAGCACACGAAAATGCTAAAATGCTTCGATGCATAAGAACTTCCTACCTTTATTCTTCGCCGTGATGAGATGGTCCTTGGCTCGTTCGCATACTAGGTACATCTAAAAATGCACTCTTCTACCGGCAATGATGTTATAGCATTCGGCAATCCACGATGTTTTAAACTGTCTGTATATCTGACGTGTTTGCAGAACTGTTTGGATGATGCGTCCCTCAGTCCTCGATCCCTGGTGGGCGGCTGCGGGGACGGTTTTAATCGTGACTCGTAATGGTGAAAATAGGGTGAAGCCGTTGTGCTGTTGCATCGCCGGCCTCGAAATGCATAGGGTGCATCGGAATGAGCGAGGAAGTTGAATCTCTCGAGGAGATGCTCCTCGGTGGCGGGCGGGACTCTTACAGGCCGTTAGTCCGCAAATCCTAAAGATACGATTTGCATTCTTGCCCCGACACAACGAACTTGCGCCAACCAGCAACAGATACTAACAAACTTGACTCCATAACAGAACTATAAGAGCAATATTTCATCATATCGCACAAACACGAGCAAAAAACGATTCTCGCTACTATTAAGACTGAATGTATCCATTAATTTTTGAGTCTGACAACAAGGAGATCAGAATTCAAGGAGCCAACCCTAGTTTACATCCCAAACATGGGTGCAAGAAGCGGAAAGTTTTTTCGGCGTGGAGGTTTGGAGTCGGTTCGGTCAGGAAATATTAATGCAAACGTTTAAAAGGGTGCAAAGGTTGTTTGCTATCCCGTAAAATTTCCTTTTTTACCTCGGAACTTTCGAAAAGTATGTGGAACTTTTCAGTTTCCAGATTTTTTTTTTCGACTAGAAAATTTGCTTTTGCAACTTTTCGGGTTTTAGGTAGGTTTTGCAAATTTGTTCTGCGCTGGAAAAATATGACCACAAAAATGATTGTTCCTGGTTCCACCTGCACGATGCTCCTATTCCGGTTAAGGTGCGCATGTGTAAATATTGGTCCGTCGCGTTTCTGCTTGGCTGCACTGGTACCTGTGCACCTTCAAGTGCCCAAATCAACAAAAATGACACGCCTTAATATTTAATTTCGAGGCTGCAGTCACTGCAGTGCAAACATGAAGAGGAGAAATTATTACATGCACCTTGCGGGGCGACACATGGTACGAAACGGAATGTATCGCACGTTTTTCAGAGCTGGTCTTCGTTAGATGTTCAAGAATTACGCTTGTTTTATTAAAAATTGTATGTGTACTACCACCACATCCGCGCGGATTTATTATCGGAATCCCCGGGAATTTTTATTAAAACGCGACCGGAAAATGCGGCCGCTTTTCCTTTTAACCCATCAAGAACGCTATGCGCTGCGTTAAAGCATGTCGAGCTGAAACTTTGAGACGTTAGATCGGGCAATAAATAATAATTTTCTATTTTTTTTTGTTTATCGTGCGGTACCCGCCGTTGCTGTAGCCTTGCAAAAAGCGGTGCTGATGCCAAATGAAGCGGAAGACAAAAGCGTAGCAAAAACGGGCTCGGGTCATACAAACATCGCGATGATTTAATCCACCCGACGAAAGAAGAAAGTCGGTTGTAAATCAATCGGAAGAAGAAAGGATTGATGCAGTCGCCAACATTAACACAAGTTTAAGTTTAAGTTTCCTGCGGCCTAAAGGCGGCCGACGCCGTCGCGCCGCCGAGCAGGCGTGGTTTTAATTTAGCCATACCAAACCTAAAGGGGATCGTTTTCGTTAATTTGGAGCGTGCCAATCCGTCTTGATTGATAGCGAGGGGCCTATTGATTGTCTATTGTAAGGGTCTAATAGTCGTACGGCTGTATGGGAAGTGGAAACGCGCGCCGAGGTGGAGGAAGGAAGATTCCTTCTTGCCGCTTGCCTGCTGCCTACTGCATACCGCCCGCCGGCTTTCCACTGGAAGCGAAGAAGACAAGTATGAGGCCTGTATCAGCTCGCAGCGCTAAGTAAATGTGCACACAGGGTGTTTCAAATTACAATATTCAACACATCATTAAATTCATTTTTAATTCTAAAATTTTTGCTTAATCGTTACTTTAAACGCAGCAAGATACCTTTTATCACATTCTGTGAATTTTTCTGTTCTAAACATTTGAGTACATGCAGTATATAACCATGAATAGCAGCTTGAACAGAAAATAATTACTGTGATAACAAAAAAAAACTCCCATTCATGAATGTACCACATAATTACTTAGCGCGCGCACGGGTGCTCATTTACTATCCAGAAAATAGTAAATAACAGTAGGAAAAAAATCTAGAAGGTAATAAATGAACTCATTGATAAACGCAAGTGCAATTGTGGCGCATTGAAAAGTCTTGAGCAACAACCAGCAATATTCCCATCCTGCAAGTCAACGTGAAAGTGCATTAAGCGTTCGCCCCTTCCCCCGGCCGAGATCCTGTTTCTCTTTTTTCTCTGTCAGCTTTTCTTCATATAATACACATTTTTTTACGAGGGCTTTACTTCCGACGTAGCATGCACGACGTACGAGTTACTCTGCGAATGGATGTTGATGGAAGCACACCCCCCGTCCACCGTCACTCGAATAACAATAACAATTGTTCTCGTTCCTTTTTTTCTGTCGAAGTTAATGCCGATGACGGTGTCGTTCGGCCGGCTCGTTCGATGCGCGACGAACAATGCGGCGCAATCAAGGCATTATTGCGCGACGCTTTTAATAAGTAAGGATTTTCCAACGACGGCGGAATTTTCGATACTCCAATGTTAATGCGTACTAATAAAAAATGCCGATTCGTGCACTTTCCGCCTCGCGTCGCCCCTTTGAACGTAATCCTTTTGTTTTTCCATCTCCCCGACCACGCTTGCCTCGCAGTCTGATGCCGTCTCTCTTCCAACAGTTCAATTACGATTTCTATTACATGATTTCGTCTTCGTTGTTTTGCGATCGTATTCTTTATTTCTTTATTTCTAATGCGAGAGTATGCGAAATGCGCCCGCTTTACGATTATTGCACGCGATTAGAAAAATTGCTTCCACGATGAAGTACGCGGTCTTCTCCTATCGAAACTTATAAACGATATGCCCGTTTATATTTCTTTCGACTCCAGCCGACGAGGAACGAATCTCTTGTTTTAAATACTCAATCGGAACGAGGGAAAAGTTTTCGAACAAAAACCATGGCGAAGAAGTGTGCGCCTGCTCAAATGGGCAAAAAATCGGCGAAGAGATTAAAAGTTTTCCAATGGATTTCATTTCTTCGAACGCACATAAAACCCAAACCCGGAATTTTCCATTGAATAGTTATGCTACGTGCTGCTTTTTCTGTGCATTAAAAAAAAAACAACACAATTAAAAGAATTTGTAACAAATGCAAAAAAAAAAAACAACATTTCCAGCAATGCATTATTAATTAGATTAACATTTAAACACCAAGAGTAATAAATTTTTAACTAGAATGGAACACTCACATTTTTAAAAGCATCACTATTCAAATATTTGATTTCACATAAATTTTATTCATGGTCCATTAAAAGCGCAAACAAAAGCGCTTCTATTATCTCGTTACATACTCGTATGGGCACATGGAAAATGAGGTTAATGTTTTTGCAACCATACAGCAAGTGCATGTGTTCTTTATGTCCACCTGAAATATTTTGAAGGAAAGAAAAAAATTACTTGCATGACAGCTTTAAAGCATTCTATTTCAACGGGGGTGAAGAACATGAATTCAAATCCATGTACAGCTAGCGACATCTAACAGTCAAATCAATAATGATATTAGGGGTGCAAACTGCAACCCTGGAATACACTGGCCAAAAACAGGAAATAAAAAGTTTTCTAGAACACCATAACGTAAATAACGCTACTTAATCGTAGAGACGTTATTTATCACTCCAACAAACGCAAAAATATATTGTGGCTGATTCTGTGAGCTACGTTTCTTTTAGATAAATAAATTTTCAACATTTTAACGAACAATAAATTTTGTCTGACAGTAACAAGACAACTTTCATACGAGTAAATATTTTCTTATCTTATCACATTAGAATACGTAAGAAATGGGAAAAAATATTATTTTCATAACAATCAGAAGAACGTGTACTTTTTATTCCTTTCGAAGCTTCAAAAATGAAACGGCTTATATTAGTTTGTCTATGTTTAATAGTTGCTATAAATTGTGTAAACTGCGTTAACGAAGATGCTTTATTGACAGTTGTATGTATTGAAGTTTTTAAATAAAAATCTTGGAATAAAATTTAATTTTCAGCCTCAACTAATTGAAAAATACGAATATCCATTTGAACAACATTTTGTAACCACCGACGATGACTACATACTGGCAATGCATCGAATTCCCGACGGCAAAATACCAGTTCCAGTGGGTCAGAGACACTCACCACCCATATTATGCTTGCACTCATTATGGTCCACATCGGCAGATTTTGTTATACAAGGGCCAGCCAAGAGTTTAGGTAATCCACAAGCACCAACCAAAATATTTGATTTTTAATTTTGTTATTGTGCTTTGCAGGGTATTTGCTGGCTGATCAGGGTTACGATGTTTGGTTGGGCAACACTCGTGGCGGAACCTACTCCTCTAATCATACGACGCTTAACCCGCGTTCTCAATTCCTTACAACGTTTTGGAATTTTTCCTTTCACGAGAAAGGTGTTCACGACTTGCCCGCAATGATTGATTTCATCCTGGACAAAACAGGCGCTTTAAATGTGATTATCATTGGAGTCTCAGAAGGATCGTCAGCATTCTTCGCAATGGCTGCCGAAAAACCCGCATATATGGCCAAAGTACAGGCGCACATTGCGTACGCTCCTGCCGTACTGATTGATCGCACCACGTTCTTGCTAGCGAGGTTTTTTGTACTTATGGAAACATTTGGTTATGTAAGTGTTTAAAGGAAAATTTATATGTGTTCATTATGTTAATAATTTCAGGGTAATTTTGTGACAAATTTGGTGGGGAATTTTGACATTGCGCCGGACTCCTTGATATTGAATCTGATCACATGGGCGTGTAGCGCACACAGACTCACTTCACTGATTTGCAATCATGGAATTTCACCCGTATTGGATTCGGAACCTGGCGAACTTGATGTTGATACTGATGTTATTTTAGGGCACATGCCTGCAAGTACTTCTACCAGACAAATCATACATTTCTTACAATGTGTCCGTTATAGTAAGTGAAGCGTATCAATATAGTTCAAATCCATAATTGTATTATGTGTGCTTATAGAAAATTTCGTCAAGTATCAATCGAAATTTATCGGAAAACCACAACCGTATGACTTGTCCGGTATCACCACACCGATTTATGTATTCTACAGCACGAAAGATAGGGCAGTAAACTGGAAAGACGTGGAAAAGTTAGAAACCCGACTCCCGGCCGGGTTCGTGCAAAAGTGGCGGAACAGCGAATTCGGCCACGTCGACTTTGTGCTTAGCAAAAACGCCAAGGACCTCGTGTTCGACGAGACCATCGCGCTGCTAGACACCATAACGACGCTCGTTTAACACAAACAAATTTGCATAACTCGTTTTGCCTTATAAGTAGATAGCGAGCACAATTAACACGTAATAAATGTGCCGCATAAACGCATATAGAAAGTTTTAATGAAATAATAATTTTAATCATGTACACATATGATAATCAATTAAAGTGCTATAGCAAAAAAAGAGTACAAAAGTAATCATGAAAATGGCCTCATTTTTTTTCGCTGAACCAAAGTCAAAATATAACGTTTAAATGCAAACACGCATGTTCGGTTTGTTTATTCGAGTTGGGTACCTCACACAAAGAGGCGACATCATCATGCATGTGCAATTACTGATTGCGTTCATGTGTTATTCATGCAAGTTGGTGCTAAGTGCGGAACAAGCTGCTCAATCAATGTTTCGTCCCACGACTGTGAGTAGATCACTACTTTATTATAAACTATAACAATTAATTAAATTATCGACTATGTTAATTTATCTAGCCTGAAACGCTGACTAGTGAAAACTATCCCAACGAAATTCATTGGATTACCACGGAAGATGGCTATATTCTTCAAATTCATCGAATCACGGGACCAGGTCCCAGGAACTCTACAGTTTCAAGACGTGGTCTTCCTATTTTAGTTACACATTCGTTATGTTCATCTTCTTATGATTATATTGCACTTGGTCCGGATTTAGCTTTAGGTGAGACATATCATTTTTTAACTCTGCTTAGATGATCACTTAAATTTTTGTTAGGATATTTGCTTGCGGATAATGGTTTTGATGTTTGGTTAATAAACAACCGAGGTAATGAATATTCTACTAACCACACCACGTTGGACCCACACAGTTGGATAGATCATCGGTATTGGGACTTCACGTGGCATGAGATGGGTATCTACGACTTACCAGCAGTGATCGACTACGTTTTAAACACCACCGGATTCCAGCAGGTTTACCAGATTGGGATGTCCGAAGGTGCAACGCAGTTCTACGTGATGACCTCCTCACGCCCTGCATACAATGACAAAGTGAAAGCGCACTTCAGTTACGCACCGGCAACGTTCCTATGCCACTTGTCCAATGTACCCACCTTGATCCTAACCTTTCCAGAAAGATATGGACTGGTAAGTGTTTACTGGAACGATCAAGGCTGTTAATATACGATATTATGGTATTGTATTACAGGTTTCGTTCGTGACGCAATTTATTGGCTCCTTCAGTGTGATTCCCAATTCGGAACTCTTTTCGTACTTGACCGCTGTATGTCCCCTGAATGCACTAACAGAATCATTCTGTGGTTCCATCTATTCACCTTTTGCCGATTCAAATCCAGAGCAACAAAGTCCTGAGAAACAAAGACTTATCTTACAGCATACCCCATCTGGCTGCTCATCGAAGACAATCATTCATTACACACAATCAGTGCGTTCATGTAAGTATTTATAAATGACTTGATTGTTTATTATATGTTTTTATGAAATTATTTTTGCAAGGTGGATTTGGTTTGTATCAAGATAACTTCTTCCAACCGCGTCAGGAATACGATTTGCAGAATATACGCACACCGTTGTATGTGTATTACAGTAACATTGATCGTTTCGTGAGTTCCTTAGATGTGTTCCATCTGAATGATACGTTAACAGTTGGCTTCGCTGCATCTTCAGAAAATCGCGTCCTGGGGCATGCCGATTTTGTTTATGGCATTAGTGCACGTGCGCTTGTCTATGACGATACTATATCACGTTTAATTAACTTCAACGATGATTAATTTTATGACATAATGTAATTTACCACACCATAATACTTTTCAATACTTATTATAAGGAAACAATTAACTTCTTAAATCATTAAACACAATGAAAATCAATTAATGCATGCGTTTCAATTTCTATTGAACTTTAAATGTTATTTGATGTACTTGCTAGTAAATAGCGAATATGGCGAAGTTTAAAAATATAATTAATCAACATCATAAAGATATCAGAAATTCACCGCACGAGTTCTCAGAATACAAAAAACATCCAATTAAATAAAACTATTCATCGTTGCGCATGTTTATAGCAGATTTAAAAGAAGATAATGTGTTGTTTTTATCGTTATATTAGGTACACTTCAAGAAAATTGACATAAAATACGGCAAATAACAATTGTCAAACCGGATTGGCAGTTTTGCGGTTTTACCCAACGCTGTTGTTTGTTGCGTTGAAATACATTTAAATGAATGAGTATTAGATAAGTAGTTTTGCACCTGTCGATATTCAACCAATGTATTATCATTTGGCAAGTCAAATTGTTGAATGTATTCCTGGATGCATATTCAATGTGCATACGCAAATTCTTTTAACACGTGCTAAATTTGTAATTGTAATATGTAATAAATGTAAAAGACCTTGAATTATAATTTGAACTGACTTGAACTACCACAAAACGCATTTAAAAAGAACAAATTACATACAAAAAATAGACGGAAGCGTGGTATGCTACTTGTTTAATTTATGCACACTTGGTTGCATTCGAGCACGAAATTTTGTTGATAATGGGGTAACCACATTATTTACTCTAATTATTATGACCATGTAACTTCTGGTGCGGTTTTCATCATTTCCATTAAGGAAGTTCTCTAAATAAGTATCAGTATTAATGTAGGAATATATTTATGATAATATTGACAACCAAATTATAGTTTGGCTAATGTTTTCTTATTTTAACTTTAAAGTAATTGAAAAGTTGCCGGTTATTGAAAACAAAAATTAATTACAGAAAATGATAAGGCATTTGCTTAGCAAAATTAGTTTTATATATTTTCCATACCAATCGGGTAATGAATGAAGTAAAAACTTACTTTGTGTTCTAAACTTAATGAACAAGTAAAGTAAAGTAACGTGATTTTCGTATGTATGATTGAGTCGCGGTGTAATTAGAGAGCGGACAGAATTGCATACATTTTTTATTTAAACATTATGCTCGCGAACATAATCAGTAATTCTGCTAGTATTAAGAGCGCGCTTCGAAGCGACAGTACATTTTTATTTTGCCTTGTATCTTTAAAATATAGGAGGTATTTCAAAGGCACATTGTGTAACAGATGGAGAAATAAATGTTCTTGGGCATTTAATATTTTCGCAAAAATTCCAGCCTTAATTGAAAACATTATTAAGCATTTTATTCAAAAATCAGTTGATATTATTTAAAAATTATGCCTGCAATGGTTTTTAGTATATATTTTGCGTTGGAATTTAAGTATTGGAAAATTGTTGTGTTTTGGCATCATACGTATTACTTAATCTTATTCCAAATATTTCAAGTGCGTCAACATATTCATGACGTTTCACTACTTTAACCATAATCGTTGTGAACTTGACCAGTTTTGCGTTCGCTGCAACGCACTAGCAAACGACAACAATATCCAAGGTCTTTGTATCTATACACGGCAAGAAAACTCAACTAAGTAGATTATAAGTAGGATATAGTAATAATACCAAATACTAAAAAAGTAATTGCACTTGTGTGGCATTTTATATCGACGCGAATAAATTATTTCTAGGCTAATAAATAAATTGTAATCAATAGATTAACAAGTAGCAACGTTTACTTTGTTGTTTAATTTACTGCACGCTTCAAAATAGTTTTAATTAATGTTTCCGATATAACCAATCAGAGTAGATTGTTCGTTTTTTACTGCTATAAAATTGAAAGTAATTGGAAGGACACTTCTTACCGAAAAGATAACACTAAAATGTTTTGAAAAGCTCCACAAAAAATACTGTTTACGCTATAAATTTTGATGGGAACTCAAATATAGTTAAATATGCCATTAAATTAAAACCAACAAACACAATCTTGTGTAACTTTGACATTTTCGTATTTAATTCACGTACTAAGAAACTACCTAAACCTTTAGTGGTTAAATCAAAACAAATATCAAACATATGTATTTTGAAAACTTTTGTTATAGACAATTGCAAAACGTAAAGCTGTAATCATTATATTTATTTACTTAGTGTTACAAACTAACTTTGATTTGAATGATTTCTTTTAATTGTTTAAGGAATTGACTAGCATTTTGTACAAATGTAAAGAGATTTTTTTCAAATGACAATATCTCTAGTTTAAAGTTTTAAAAAAAGTTTTTTTCAAGATTTCTTTATTGTAAACAATTTGAGTATTTTTGGTGTTCGCGTCTGGTTGGCAAATCAATGCCTAGTATTTCTATAACATGAAATAAACCGTTCACTTGTTTATAATAACATATATATTTTCTCAATTTGTCGATTCGTACCGTAGCTGGTTGGAAAGTGCATCTGTATTAATAAGAAAATACAACGATGTAGGTATGTATAATTTATGTATTCGTTTCGCTAGGTCTAGAAAATGAAGAAAGTGCTGCAAACACGATTATTGCGCTCGTAATATTTATTGATATGAAAATGCTGGAATATATGCAATTGATCGCAATGCACCTTACATTAGCTGCGCTCGATATCAAGGTTGGTTTCAAATGCGTGTGAGAGCTCGCGCTCGAGTCTACTCGTGTTTCAATCAATTCTAGTAGAACAAACATTCGAAATACCCAGTGTCACAACTCATATAGTTTGCAGAGCTAATTTTATTCCGAGGCTGAATGCATAAAAGTTCACGAATTTCTAAATCGCAAATATGATACGCGATTATTTCTCAAGAGACAACAACAAATTGTGACTTCCGGCTTCCGTTTTCTTCGTGAAATAATCGAGGCCGACCTGTGATCTAATTTACGAATACCCAGCAGAGTTGATTACAAGCTTAATTGGTTGAAATCGCATGCATTTACCTGCGAATCCAGCCTCGCTATTTCGTGCGTATTAGTCGACGATTTGTAGCCATCATGAGCGTTGTGTGCACCGCTCGTAATTTGCGATGTTAGTTTGATACGCGACGCAATGCATCGCTATGATTATCTGCCAATCGGTGATCTTTAGACTACCTGTTTAGATTTCGACGAACGTTTTTTAAATAAACTTTTTGCGTGTTTGCGCGTGTGCGTCAATGATACGGCGCGTTGTTATTAAAATATAAAATTTACATAATGGTAAACTAAATAAGTTCTAATTACTGAATCAAAGTGAGTGAACTACCAGTCAGTGTACGTGTAATACCACCATATATAAAACATAAATAAATTAAATAATTAAAATTAACAATCAACTTGTTTTGTTTCGGGCCCGTCTGATTGGTCATCTGGTCACAGGTTCCTTCACCAAAGTCAAGGTGAGTTTGTTTGTTCCGTGATGCATATTTCGTCTTCAAAAATCAAATAAAACCCAGAGACTGATTCGCGATTTGCTCATTTGTTTGTTTAATGTGTTGCGTCAAGCGTTAGAAGTGCGATTTCAAATTTTTGAAAAATAAAAACTTCGATCTTTAGAGTAAGTCGTTTCACTTTTCGTTTTCGCGGTAAATTAACAGATTTGCGTTGTCATCGTACACAAATTAAATCAGAAAAAGTCAAGTGCATTCAACATCCGACAATCATTGACCCGAAAACTGAACATTTCGGTTTGACAGTCATGGAATTTAATTCTTTAGTAGTGTTTATTGAGAAACTCCGTCGGCGATAGTAAAAGTAACTGTTTTTCTTGTGCGACTCGCGATGGCACTTCGGTCAGTTAAGTGAATTTCTGAATGAAATCTATCACGCATATTACAACTTAATAAGTCACGCACACCGAATCGGAATCGCCATAATCACCGGCTAGTCGTATTGCAAATAATGACTGTCTAATTAAATAAAACAAGAAGCGAGACAAGTCAGACCAGTTCGTTAAAATCAAATTTTTCGAGTTCACTTAAGTCCCAACTTCATTTGGCCGACCTGCATTACTGTCGGTCGTCTTTCTCACGCCCATGGAGCGCCTTGGATCCATTATGCAACGCAATTTAAACATTACAAGTGGATTACACAAATTTTATTCCATTCTTGCACCGCACGCCGGTTTCGTTGTTTTATGATTCGCGCTACGATTTGCGGCGCAGCTCGAAATTGAATTCTCCAGTTTTAAGCCGACAATTCCCGTGCTTAGTCTTCCGATGGACACGCGAGCGTAACGAACGATTTATGTAAACTAATAAAAACAGCCCAACAAAACGTACGCACTTTAAACCAAACAATTGATTACCGACGATTAGACGTGTGCAAATTGCCGTTTCAAGTCTTTGAGAATGACACTCGAGGAACGTCTTGCGCAATCGGATAGAATTTTAAATCTTGAGACACACTAGAGTTTATAAATAAAAAAATAATAATCAAGCCGTTTAAAAGAAATCAGAAGTTCAACAAACGAAAATAAAAGTTACAAAACAAAAACAACAAAAAGTGTTACTCCTAATTGATATTTAGTGAGATAATTTTAAGCGAGTGAAATTTGAAATGTTGCATCCGTATTAATTAAACGGTATGTTTAGATCCACGACGCGCGATAAAGGAAGTCATGACCGTGCGCCTGTTCGCCATCGTAGGTTTCCTAGTCGCGAGCGCGACTTGCCTGGATTTCGGCAGCCAAGAAGAGGACGCCATTTTGCGAACGGTACGATCACGCCAGATAAGGCACGCCGTCAATGCGTCAATCATTAAAGTATCAAAACTGCGATCTAATTAGTAATTCAATAATTACTCATGCATGTGTTCGCAATTCTCACCATTGTTTCCTTTTCAACTTCAAGCCGGAGTTAATTAGAAAGTACGGCTACGAGGTGCAGCTACACAACGTCATCACAGACGACGGCTACGTACTAACGCATCATCGCATCCCCTACGGCCGGAAGCAGAACAAAAGGACTGATAGACCAGTAATTCTACTGCAACACGGACTATTGGGTTCTTCGAGCGATTGGATTATCAAGACTCCGGGAAGCGGATTAGGTAAAAAATCTACAATTCTAGGATTGGAATTTTGATTAAATTATTTTCTTCTTGCATAGGATACTTGTTAGCAGATGAAGGGTACGATGTGTGGTTGTTAAACACGCGCGGGAACGAGTACTCTGAGAAGCACGTTGCTCTGCATCCAGTTTACAACCGCCGGACGTTCTGGGATTTCTCTTGGCATGAGATAGGCGTCTATGACCTGCCCAACACAATAGATTACATCCTGAATGTGACTGGACAAGAGCAGGTACTCCACATTGGACACAGTCAAGGCACGACTACTTTGTATGTTATGTTGTCGGAAAGACCAGAGTACAACGATAAAGTACAAGCACACATCAGTTACTCGCCCATTGCGTTTCATAAACATACCATTAGTTTGATGTTCAGAGTTTTAGCACCTGTTGAAGCTCTTGGAGGAGTAAGTGCATACATCAAGATTAAGGTTGTGATTTTATAATTAAATTTTAACGGTTTTCTCTTATAGCTGACTGCATTGAAACTTTTTATCGGCGAGTTCAACTTTGCGCCCAGTAATAGTTTACTGCGACTTTTTACCGGAATGATGTGCACCGACAGGGAGACAACCCAAGTGGTGTGCTCAAATATTTACTATATGCTAATGGGATATAATCCATCGCAGATGAACTCCACGATGCTTCCAGTTATCTACGGACATTTTCCAGCTGGGTCCTCTATGATGCAAATGGCACATTATATTCAGGAAATTAATTCAGGTACTACTTTAAATATTTAAAAAATATTCGCGAACTTAGATTTACATATCACCAACACGCCACACTCTAATCAAATTGATGGATTAGCAGCGTTGGGTAAGCCAATTGCCAAAACACTGAATTTCACACCCACGTAGTCACATTACAAATGCATGAAACGAATTTTTAAAAATTTCAAAAATGATTGCTGAATTTACATATTAACAAAGTAACATGTTTGACAATTCATGAAATCATTATCAGAAACATGTCACTATGTGTCGACCTAAAATACAATCTATTAATATGCCAGGAAAACATTATAATTCAAAGACTTTGTTTTAAAAGGAAAATTCCGACAATTTGATTATGGATTCGCTGGTAATATGCAAAAATACAAAAGAAGTCAACCACCGGAGTACAATTGCAGCGCAGTGCAGGTACCGGTACATACATTTTATGGTGGCAAGGATGCTTTCGCTCAACTTCAAGACGTCGAAAGGTTCCACGAACTTTTACCAAATCTGCAATCAAAGACGTACATTTCCGAGTGGGCGCACATGGATTTCATGTATGGGTTAGACGCCGCCGAGATGGTCTACTATCCCACGATGGACATCCTTGCGCAGTATTCCAAATTAGAAAGAAAGAACTTCTTCTCACCACAAAGTCCACCCAAGACTAAAAAACGAAGAGGAAGGACAAGGAAACCCGCGCCGAAGAAAAACTTTATTTAATAATTACCATTAGATCATTTTAATGCTGACTGTTGACCTATGTATAATTTTTTTAATTGTTATTTATAATACTGAACGTGATTTACATATGAAATATGAATAAACAAAATTTATGAATGCAACAAGGAAATTTATTTCGGCGCATAATTATTTCTTAATTACTTGATAATAAATAGGCGTAAAAAATAAGCCAGGTCTGAAATGCTATCATGACGTCTCTTTGTGGCACAAATATATTGAATAGTTATCCTTGGGTAACCACGTTCCACCTATTATTATTTCATACAACTATGTATGATGAATGAAAAAATCAGGAAGACATGTAGTAGTGCGTAGTATATTTTATTTTTTCAGTTCTTTGTATTTTAACTAGTTGTTTGCATCGCCGGTCGAGGTATTCCGGTGATATTTGAAGAGTTATTTTCGCGATAAACATAATGTTATTTAGTTCGATGTGCCATGCCACTGAGTGTGGTCTGAGCTTCAATTTGAGTTTGAGGCGCGCGTGGCGACTTTATTAATTATAATTCCTCGTATGTTTTGAATTATCACACGTACAAATTGTCGCTTGTGTGCGTCGTCAAATTTTTAATGGTATATAGATAGACGGTACGTGCGACGACGCGATCATTTCGGCACCGGGCGAGTCGCGCTTAGTTTTTCACACGTTGCTGCCCACAGAAAGATTCGGACCAGCAGCGGTCGCCGCAGCAACCGAATGTTTTTCGCCAGTTTGATCGGCGCGTTTCTCGTCGGCGCGTCAGCCGCCGCGGGTATTACCGCGTACATGACAACGGTGAGATAAATTTTCAAAAATAATTTGAAATTTTTTGAAGTAAATTTTATCCGAAGCCTGAATTAATTCGAAATCTTCAATACCCTTACGAAATTCATCAAGTTGAGACTACGGACGGGTATATTCTGACCCATCATCGCATTCCTTATGGAAAAGCTGGTCCAGGAAACCGTACTCGATGGCCAGTTCTGATACAACATGGACTTGTGGGCGATTCCAGTGCGTGGGTGAATAAAAACTCGAAACAAGTTGATTCACTAGGTAAGTAAAATTATTTTGTTTACTTTCTATGCAATTGTAACTGTTTATTGTAATTATAATGAATTTAACGCGTAATTATTGGTGAATATTGGCGATAACAAACATATAAATGCACTTTGCACCTGTGTGTAAATAACAAACGCACTGTTAACCACAAATATAATTACATCTCCGTTTCGATGCGTTGGAACACTTACTTGCCAAATTGTTCAAGGTTTTCTTCTCGCCGACATCGGCTATGACGTGTGGCTGTTAAACAGCAGGGGCAACTACTACTCCAGAGGACATGTTTCAAAGGGATTTTTTAATCCTACGTATTTTGATTTTTCCTACCATGAGATGGGTGTGTTTGACTTGCCCGAGACGATCGACTACATTCTGCAAGTGACGGGGGTGGCTCAAGTGGCTCATGTGGGCCACTCACAAGGTACCACTGCAATGTGGGTGATGCTTTCAGAAAGACCAGAGTATAAATCGAAGGTTGCCCTGCACATTGCTTACGCTCCTGTTGCATTTCATGCTCATAGTGTCAACCCCATATTTAGATTCGTCAGTGTTTTTGATCGAGTTGGTGTGAGTGTATCCAATAAATCAAAATTCAAAATAATAATTCTAGTACTATAATAATATTATTATAGATTTTGTCAACGATGCCTTTCCGTATTTTGGAGGTACCTCGGAACAAACTCATTACTTTCTTCTTGACCAACGCTTGTTCCAACTGGTCCCCCACCAGATACTTCTGTGAAGTAATATACTATTGGGTAATGGGTTTCAATCCAGATGAGCTGGACAGGAATGAGTTGTGGAATATATATGGGCATTACCCGAGCAGTTCTAGCCTCAAGCAATTTACACATTTTTCCCAAGCTCTAAACAAACGTAAGCTTTAATCTATAGACGTAATTGAAAAATATTCAAATTTTTCCTTGAATGCAGCGGTTTTTGCCCAATTTGACTATAAACGTTTCGGAAATTGGAGAGCATATGGCAGTGCTGCGCCTCCGGAATATAACCTATCCCGAGTTGATATACCGGTTTACTCGTTCTATGGGGGGAAGGATACCTTCTGCCAATTACCGGACGTTGATCGATTGCACTCGCAGTTACCCAATCTCAAAGCCAAGTACTATATAGAAAAATGGGCGCACTACGATTATCTGCACGGAATCAATGCAAGACAAAAGATTTACGAACCGACGATGCAAATTCTGAATGAAAATTTGAAGTGATTGCAAATGATATAATGTCACCAGGACAATAACAACGATTGTTATTACTTACATTAAGTTTTATTGTTGTTTGTGAAATGTCAAAAATGTGTAGGTTATGTGGAAGGATTGTGAAATAGGTGCAAGTTTCTGTTATTTTATGAGCTAAATAAATTGCCAACGTTTGTTTCGACAAGAAATCGTTACCACTCGACCCCGAGCGACCTAAATACCGCCATGCAGGTTGTGAATAAGTACTTCTAACACGCGAAGCCCTTCGATTCATTGCTTTGTGATTCAAATACAATAAAAACAGCCGTTGGACGTTGTGGTTGAAGCAATGTAACGATGCATGCAGACCTACTTTTTGCACTACACTGCTGTAGCGCCTATTATGAGTTGTCCTCATTTCAGCACCTAAGGGAAGAACCCCCAATTGTTCTGATGAGTCATGCACGCAAGAGAAGACTACACAGTCTGTTGACAACAATCGGTATGTGGAATGACGCAAAGCGCCGATGTTAATGTACTCGCATTGACGTGCATGGGCCACATCGGGCGCACAGGATGCATGAGTCACGCTCCGCCTTAGGTATTGATTGTGGGCGAGAGCGTCGCGACGCCACTGCCGCCGCCACCGCTTCCCGCTTCCTTCCGACGTACGCTTGCACGCGAGTGACCCGCCGACGAACCGCGTGCACGCGTCACCGCCGCATTTATAAATACGCTGCGGCGGTGCGTGGACGGCCGTTACTTTCCTGCTGACCAGCCTGCGAACAAGCCGAAGTACCGCAGTACCACGCTGAAAATCGCAACGCTTTTTCATCACACAGGGGCCTTTCGTAAGTAATCACTTTGATTATTACACTATTTGCCTGATATTATAATCCGTATAAGATCAGTAATTATTACAACTTGCTGATTTAACATTAAGAAGCATGAAGGAATTTAGAAACAAACTCTTGTACTGACCCAGAGTGTGTCAAGTGTGATAAGTGTGGTAAATGTGATGCAATAAAACGCGTTTTTTAAACACTCGGAGAAGTTTTGATTGTTCTCAATAAAACTAACATCAAAACAAAGAAATACTTTTTCAAAATTTGGGCTTTATATAAGACTTGATGTTATCTTGACATAAAAGAACTGTTGTTTTTTCTCTTGATTCTTGTTTTATTACTGCAAGTAATACCGCCAGTAGTGCCTACGAGTTCAAAGGACGAAAGTAAAAAAAAAAGCAATAAATAACTCAAAATAGCCAAAACATATTTCCATGAATCGAAATCTGCGTAGCTTGTTTGCGCATCCGCATGAGTCAAGAAACGTGTAAATTCGTCGAAAATTTATTATCGGAACTGTAACCTTGTCAGGATGATTCATTATTTTGAATACCCGTAATACGATCTAATATCAAGTAGCACAAACTAATGATTATTAAAGCTAGTAAGCGTTGGCGGCGTGTAGATGGTGCTGGCAAGCACGAGCGAATTGAAATACTAGAAACATTTGAAACTCGACATACCTTTGCCGACATAAAGTTGAGCAAAATTGCGCAACTACAAGCGTAACGGTAAATTACAAAATCGATAGACTAAACACAAAGCATCAAATTACTTTCTATTTTATATATAGAATGTGTATGGTAAATAGCACTATTAGCACTTTGTGCTGTTGCAAACTGGCTTCTAATTTCGCAGCTAATGTTTTGGAAAAAAACGAGGTATTTTTGATATACAGCATATTGGTCAACGAGTTGCTCATTAAAATATTTTGGCCCCGACATAATAACTTGACATTGATACATTCATGCCTGCTAACTTCCCAACTTGAAAAGTTTCCAAATTATTCGGAAGAAGTATTAATAGCGTTGTTGGTAGCACACTTTGAAATATGCATTAGTTAAATGAATTGTGGAAATGCACTCGTTGTGTAATATTTGTAGCCCTTCAGATAACGTTTAATATAAATCAGTTTACAATGCTTTGTTTAAAAAATGCGCACATAATTAATTGATTGCTTTTTTATCTTAAAATTTATACTTTGTTGTAATACTAGATTACCTGTGAGTGTCTGTTGTCATGATCAAATTCAAGATAAGCAAATCGAAAATCGATGGTGCAAAATGTGCTAATACTCCGCAAAATCGTGATAATAACCATAATAAATACGCGGCATATCGAATGGTCGCATCGCCGACAAAGTTATGCACAGACCCTCCAGATAAACACGTATTTACACGATAAAAAGCGAATTGCGCCGCGAAAAAAAAAAGTGACTTCGGTCTGTGAACCAAGGGCCCCTGTCTCGTATGCATTGTATGATAAATACCAATCGAAAACAAAACATTTTCGAATTAAGGAGCACGTGCAGAGCAAATACGTTGAGTTTTTTTATTATAATGCGAATTATTTGTAAACTGCGCAAAATATGACGAAAAAAACACCGATATGCCAAACAAACACAAAGCCCGTCGCCTGTCTGATTCGAAATGTATGCGCACTTGTGTGCGTCAATTATGATTCTCTATGCTACTTTGTTAGGTAAATTACTTGATCCTTTGGCTTTGTTTACAAATGTTTTTGCCAGTAAAATTGTAGTGGGTACATAAAACTCAACGAAAATTATTAGCGAACGTAATAAACGCGAAAAACAATAAAATTTCATAACAATGAGCACGACCAGGCTTGTTGCTAAGTAGTTGCGATCACCGAAATTTCCCAGTTAACACCCGCAACTTTTCAGATTCTAACTATTTCGATTACGACGATCACGATGAGCGTTCGTTTACCGTTGATCGACACCAACGTGACCAGCGTTACCATCGTAGAAAACTTCACCCTCGTCAACAATAAGAACAACCAAAAAGTAAAACATTTGAATTTGTTTCTGAGTGATCGCATCGCTTGCGATAAAAAGTGCAGCAAGTGGACTCAGTTGTAAATTTCGCGCTTCTTGTTTTTCGCAAAAAGTGTACACGCGTTAATTACCGAAACAAACAATCAGCACACAAAAAACAATCCGCGTGTGTTGAGGAGCGTAGAGCGCCGGCCGACGTGGTAGTAAGGGTAAAGCGCGCACTCAAGTGAATATAAAGCAGCGAAAGCGCGCAGCGATTTCATTCGATTCATCAACGCGCATCAAAAACCGTCGCCCCAGAGCGTCCAGCGAACCTACGCCTACATAGAGCGTCAATCGACGACCAATTCATCTGCTGCCAGCTGATAATCACCACAAATAAAGCGAGTTCAACGCATTGTGTGACCACATCGTGTCATCGATAATTTCTTCCAATCTGGTTCAAAACCGAACCGACAACATTTCATCGCTAACGCAAGAAGGCAGACGTGCGGTGGGATTCAATTTATCGTCGGGTCCATCCATCGAAGTCTCCACTTGTATGGGTAAGTTGAAAAGTTTGTCCCACTAATGACCAAGCAATTTCTAACGCCCTTGAACATCATGCCCTACGACTTTTTTGAGGCCTTCCATCAAAACTAGTCCAACTTGTACGCGTTGCATTCGAAACCTTTTTTTTAACGTTTCATTTTGAACACAATGCTTGCTACACATTTATTACGTTTGCATTCTTGGCCTAAATAACGAATGAATTTTTAAAATTTTTCTAACGTCCTGTATTATACAATGTTATGCATGTCTGGCACGCGCGCGTTTGCTTCATGCATGAAAAGTGCGTAATTTTGTTATCAGTACTCATAAGTGGTGATTACTCACTCACTTACACTCACTCATCGAATATATGCCAACTTTGTACCCAGAACTTTCCGGTATTCACGGTGTAGGTATATGCTTACGTAGATTAGTTTCATTCAAAAGCGGTAGCGGGTAATTGATTTCGTCGAAATGTCATTTATAATTGGGATTTCCGTTTCTACGCCACAAAGAGATTGAATCACGGGAATATTAACTTACTATTCGATTGTTGCACAACGACTCACTCACAACATGACTCAATATTTACCGTGACGTATGTCTGTTTAGCACTCAGTCGTTAGTTGGCAATTTGTAGTGATTCAAACTTGAATGAAAATGTCGCTTTAGCAGAATGATTGCTTAATCAGATGAGAAAGTTCTGTCGAGTTTGCTAATGTGTGCTTTGTTTCCAGAGCGTGAGAGAAACCATATACTAACGATACCGTGTGCAGCCGCCGAAGATGCAGCTGTACGCAAAGACGGAAGAGCGCGCGGCGGCTGCGAGCCGCCGCTGGCCTTGTCGGCGGCGGGTGAGGGCACATTCGTCCCTTCCGTTGGCAGGTGGGGCTGCGAATGGCCGAGTTGACTCGCAGACAATGAACGAAGGACCGCGCTGAGCGGCCCGGCACCGAAGGGCGATCCCGGCACCGCACAGGTGTTCGGGGAATGGCCTGCCGAGCATCCGCTCCCGCTGCCCGAGTGGGGTGAGCGCAGCGCGCCCGTGCTGCGCATACCCGACGGCCGCAGCTTCCGCCGTCTGGAGGAGGATGTGGAAGCGGCGCTTGGCAAGGTGCTCGCCACCAACAACTACAACACCATTGGCAACTACATCGCGCTATACAAGGGCTTCAAGGCGAGCAAATGTTTGAATCTCTTTGACTACTTTCAAATGTACGTTAAAAAAAGCCAGCATGTACCATAGATCAAATTTCTATCTTCTCTATCCTCCTTTTCAGGTATACCCCACCTATAACACCAGCACATCATACCTGCGTGGGGTTGGCACTCGAATTGTGGCGGAACATCGCTAAAAATGAACCTGCGATGGGAGAGTATTTCTATCTGGTATCTTGCGAGGAGAGCATTGGGGCATTTGAAGAATACGCCGGTTTGCAGAAGGAAATCAACGAGACCAAGAATATCCTAGAGAAAGAACACGTTCTCTTGGCGATGCGGTTCGACCTTGGTGGTCGTGATGGTATCATGCTATGCGATCCCGGTTATCATGTTGGCAGAGCCATCATTGCAATGAAGGACGAGCTTGCCCCGCATACTGGATGGTTCATACAGAGCAAGGAACCCCATTTGGAGAAGCAGTTCAACTACGAGTATTCTAAAACCAATGATGATTTCGTTCAGTGGTCTGAGCGGGTCACCCGTAACAAGGCTATGGTCGAAGAAGTTCATTCGTTGGTCTACATCCGCAAACCCTATCTGACAGCCGTAGATGTCACGGAGCGCAGAAATCTGGTTTACAGTTTTCGAAGTCTGCTATCCCGAGACCGGAGTGGTACCCTCATTGCAGGCATTTTCTTCAAAGTCACCGAACATAACGACGAGTTTCTTCTATTCTATCAGGATGAGGGAAAGAAACGTATAAAGCTGAACTTTTCGGAATTTGCTAATCTACACCACGTAAGTAGATCATACTCTGACTTTTAATTTCAAGTCATTCCAACGCAATATTTTATTATGCGTAGATCAATGAGCAAATAAAGCCCATCATAGAAAAATGCAATGATCAGCTGAACTTTGCACCAGGACAACTTTTGTCCACTCTCTACGTCCTCTACGGAATTGCCAACGACAAGCGCTATGTGCAGCAACTGCTAGACATAAACACCTGCATCAATGATATATCTGAAGACTAGCATAAGGCGAAAGTGGGTATTAAAACCCACACCCAGGAATCTACTCTAATATACAGGATTTGGGAGTTTCCACAAGAGGATCACCATTATATATTTAGTTTATTATTGGTGGCAGTACTATATTGCTTGATTCGCTTTTACGATTTAGTATTTAGAAACGCGCGAAGACGTGTGTCATAGACACGTTGAATATCAGTTTAAATTTGCACATTTTGCTTCCTTGTTCAAAATTATTGTTGCACCATATGAATATTCTAATCTAAATTAAGGTCAATTATTGCATTTGGGTTTTAAATCTTTTTTTTTCTTCAAATTAATGGTTATCATTGTGTTGTTTGTAATTACTTTAATAACAACTTCTTCTAAGTTGTACTTATTCACGTTGTATTTGTGTTAATAAATATCTATTAGCCTCACCATGGCGGACTATAACTTATATCCTTCCGAGTGTCTTGTTTCCTTGCATAATTTAGTAAATCAATGTTGCTGCCTACTGTTGTGGCTACAAATATTTTATCAACTGATAAAAATCATATGTTCACATTCCGGCCGGTGAGAAATTGACGAGTGGGCGTTTTTATGGCGGCGATTGAATTTCCCGTCGGGTCGCGCGATTCCGATTGGGAACGACGCAATAAACGTCGATCGCCACGCGCTACTTAATATTTAAACATAATGCTCACATTTTGTGTTCAATGCGGGTGCATCATGCATGCATAAATCAGGCCACAGTCGATATTATCAAAGTTTGTAATGCAAACAAAACGCAGTGTTAAATTGAAGCAGGCTGAGGGCAAGAATCGATTCAAGGAGACTATATCAACGAAAAGTCGTGCTCGACGCAAAGAGGTCTTCAACGTCAATGCGGATTACGCTTCCGCCGTTTACGCGGCCAAGCACTCGAGTAAGAAGAGCGGCGGAAAAAAGGTAATTGCACATTTAACTATCATTCATTCGTGGTTCGTTTTGAGTGAGGCATTACGTGATTTCTTATTTACTGTGGTATTATGTACTTTGAGTTGCCCACCCACAATTGCATTTTCATTTCCATGCGGTGACTGTGTGTTCAGAAAATGCAATTCAATTGAAAGAAGGTGGGTATGTATTGTATTAATCGAAGCAATGTAGTTAAGTCAAGGTCACATCTGCGATATTTTTTTAATGCACTTTTCATTTCAAATAACTTTTCTGTTGCTAAGCAAACTATCAGTAAATAAACTGCAAAGGAAATGTTCTAGAAAGCATCATGAAATATCCTAGAATGCCATGCATATATTACAGCATTTGTTTTTGTTGATTTTTTTTTCGTCCAAAATTGCGTGCGCGCGTTTCAAAATTTCTCTCTATATTTTCAGTGAAAATCAGCGTTTTTTCCTGCTGATATTACAAAATTTTACACGTTACGTTAACTATATTCAAATACACATCGTTTGTGGTATATTTCGTGCAAAAAAATTAAATATTATTTCTAATCGAAAAATACATTCAATTTCCTCGCGTAAACGAACGAAAAATATCAGCCAACATGTCGATTGCAATTGGCATTGACTTGGGTACCACCTATTCGTGCGTCGCGGTCTACCAAGGCGGGAAAGTGGAGATTATCGCGAATGATCAAGGTAACCGTACGACACCGAGCTATGTCGCTTTCACTGAGTCGGAGCGCCTGGTCGGAGATGCCGCTAAGAACCAGGTGGTCATTAACCCGTCCAACACGGTATTTGATGCCAAACGGCTCATCGGTAGGAAATTCGATGACTCCATGGTTCAGTCCGATATGAAGCACTGGCCGTTTAAAGTCGTCGATGAAGATGGTAAGCCAAAACTTGAAGTACAATTTAAAGGCAAGACGAAGATATACACACCGGAGGAAATCAGCTCGATGGTGCTCAGTAAAATGAAGAGTATTGCGGATGCGTACTTGGGCATGAAAGTGAGGGATGCAGTGATTACTGTCCCCGCTTATTTCAACGACTCACAACGCCAGGCGACGAAGGATGCCGGAAAGATTGCCGGGCTCAACGTGCTGCGTATGATTAACGAACCCACCGCAGCGGCGCTAGCTTATGGTTTGGATAAAAACCTTACGGGTGAGCGACGAGTCCTGATATTTGATTTGGGCGGTGGGACTTTTGATGTGTCTATCCTGACAATCGATGAAGGTTCGCTATTTGAAGTAAAGTCCACTGCTGGAAATACACATCTAGGAGGCGAAGATTTCGACAATCGACTTGTAAATCATTTTGCGGTAGAATTTAAGCGGAAACACAAGGTGGATGTAAAGACAAAGCCTAGATCCTTGAGACGGTTGCGCACTGCGGCCGAACGAACGAAACGCATGCTTTCCTCTTCAACTGAAGCCACTCTGGAGATCGATGCTTTATACAATGGTATTGATTTCTATACCAAGATCAGTCGTGCTAAATTTGAAGAATTGAATTCCGATTTATTCCGAGATACTCTAAAACCCGTGGAGCAAGCACTCCGAGACGCCAAAATGGATAAGAAATTGATCGATGATGTAGTCCTTGTGGGCGGTTCCACCCGCATTCCTAAAATTCAAAGCTTACTACAGAATTTCTTTACTGGTAAAAGTTTAAACTGTTCCATTAATCCCGATGAAGCGGTGGCTTATGGTGCTGCGATACAAGCAGCCATCCTTTCGGGATATACTGACGCGAAGATTCAGAACGTTCTGCTTGTAGACGTCACACCGCTGTCACTGGGAATAGAAACGGCTGGTGGCGTCATGACTAAGATCATAGAACGGAACACGCGCATACCGTGTAAACAGACCCAGACATTCACCACTTACATGGACAATCAGCTTGGAGTCAAAATTCAGGTCTACGAAGGCGAGCGGATTCAAACTGAAAAGAACAATATCCTTGGCAATTTCGATTTATGTGGTATTCCGCCGGCACCTCGAGGAGTGCCTAAAGTTGATGTAACATTTGATCTAGACGCGAATGGAATTCTGAATGTATCAGCCCTTCACAACCCTACCGGAAATTGCATGAACATTACTATTAAAAATGACAAGGGTAGATTATCACAGAATGAGATAGAGAAAATGGTGGCGGATGCGGAGAAATTCAAGGAAGAAGATCGGCTCTATTCTATGCGCATTGCAGCGCGGAATGAACTTGAAACCTACACATACAATGTGACGGCAACTATTGAGGATCATAAGAACAAAATGGATGCCGAGGACTACGAGTGTGTCTGCAAAGCCAGCCAGGAAGTTGTTAGTTGGCTGGATGAAAACCAGACAGGTGAGGTTGATGAGTACGCGAAGAAACTCAAAGAACTGAAGAAAATTTGTCAGCCTATCATGCGCAAGCTGCATAAAGCGTCGGAAGGTGATTCACCAGGACCCACGATAGAAGAAGTGGAGTAAAATGACAACGGGAGCTAGGTGCTCAATTCCCAGCACTAAATTTACCCTACCAAAGTTTTGCATGCAAAATCAGAATTTTAGAAAAGTTTTGAAATTTTAGAAATCAATTAATCTTTTATCATAATTTTTGGCAATCGTTTTGAGAAAAAAATGAATTTTTTGAATAAAACTGCATGTATGCATATTGAGTTGCCTATGTTAATCGCTTATAAATACATTTTAAAGGCGAAAGAACCGAAACGGGTTCGTCCGTTTCCGTGCCCGCGACGATTCCGGCGGCGGCAAGTTCATGCTGCCTCATAATTCGACTTGCACATGTCGGCGGCAGCGTTTCGGTACCGGTACCCATGAGCGTGTAGCTCGCAGCGTTCGCGTGCCAAGCGTGTGCGGGACGTTAAAGCAACGTGCGCGAGCCACCATCATCATCGGCGCATTCTTCGGCGATCCATTCTCGACGTCGTCCGCTAGACATTTTCTCATTTCTTACAATATAATACGAACAGGGGCGTACTGAATACAAAACAATGCAACTTTCAAGTAAACAGTAATTTTCAAAGTTTGTAAAACTTTTTCAAACACACAAGTCTTCAAGAATTTAAATATATTGAAGTTGCTAGGTGTGTCAACTGTGAAAATTAATTAACTGATGCGCGCAATTCCCCAAAGTGATCGAAATAAATTCACGACAGTCGTGCGAAGGCGTGGGCGTGCTAATTAATTGAATAAACCAGCCGCGTCTGTGGCTCTTGTGCAGTGGGACAACGTTGAAATAGCTAGATACACTCCTGATCTGATCACAGCTCGACTCCAAACGACTTAAGCCAGATTAGTGGTGGGAGATTGTATGGCATTGCGGCGTTGGGCGAGTTGTCTTGACGCGACTGCTTCTTAAGTTCTGGCGAGTTCAGCGCGTTGAGCGTCGCGCCAGTGCCAGCGCAAAGTCGGACCAGGCAGCTTAAAGTTAAGTCAAGTACGTGCCCACAGTGTTTTATTCGGTCGGGGCGCGTTGGACTTTTCGCCGAAATCGTGTGCGTGCTTCTTATTCATTTAAGAAGTGTGTAAGGCTGGTTATAAAGCGGCATTCGCAAAGATTCAATCAACGCGCGCGTCGTTTCGCGCTTAATGCAATTAGACATCCAGTGGCGAGTGGAAAGAAGCCGAAAATCGCGAGTTACAAGTGCGATGCGAGTGCGTCCCTAAAAAGCACGCGAAGCAGAGATGTGGAGTCAGGAGCCTGCGGACGTGAGGAAGTGATATTATTCTGCTCGTCGACCTCCGTTTGCTAACCACTGCCGCCGCCGCCATGGAATCGCTGACCAACAATAACATGATGTCTTCATTACCCGAGGTATTTTGAATGCGCGAATCCCACGATGCGAACACGTCCGGCGCGCAGAGCGCACTTTTTGCATCACATTTCGTGCCCGGCCGCGTTCACCGCGAGGGCAAGTACCGAGCGCATAAGCACGAAAGAATGTAAACTTAGAGTAAAGTTCTCTAGGCCCGAGCGCTGAGCGGGCCGCGGACTACCTCTCGCCACTACCTGTTTCTTCGGCTTGGGACGGTGCATGTGGCATGCAAGTGCATCGCGCATGCATGCGGTCGCGGTGCACTACCTACCGACCAGCACACGAACGTGCGCTCGCTTCGACTTCTTCGGCGTCGCGGACCTTCCAACTTCTGACAATTATTTCTGCGTTGCCAGCTAAGAAAACAAATTTCAGAGGCGTTATCACGCAAAAATACAAACGTACTTGCAAGCCAACCCAAACCGAATCGAAAATTACTTTTCATACTTTCTCGCTTATTTACAATTATTCTCTGTGTACCCAATACAAGTTACTATGGCTTTTCCCAGCGAGAAGGGTTACCCGGGTTTCTCGAAGCTCTCGAAACCGTCGTCTCGCTTCGATCACTCGTTTGCATTTATTTTTGATTTGACAGTGCAAGTGCGACGGGCGCTCGTCGTTGAGATGGGCGATACAATTGAATAAATTACCATCGTTCGCGTTTAACTCATTGTTGTTTATTAATAAAAATAAATCAAATTTGTTACAAACGTCGCGCGACAGCGCATCACATCCATCTCGTATTGCTGCGGGAAGCTCATCGAAAAGCTTGCCGACATAATTACCGACGTACTTCAAAATCACGCGACAAAGTAAGCACTTGAAACTTTTACTTTGCGACAATTACCGCCGATTATCCTTGAACACTCTGTTGGAGAAACGTGCGCAACATTTGTAGATTCGTAAATAACGCTCGTTTTGTCTCGTGCGTTTTGCAGGGTTGCACACTCATGCATTAATCGACCGCCGAGCTGCGATAAACCTTGTCAGCCTACACAATATTTACATGACGTTCGCACCTAGAATGCGCATTGCACCTCGGCCAACGCTAACAAACAGCGCTATGAATTATCGAGTGCTTACTTTTATCCGCGCGGCGCGGCTGCTCCGATTTCTAGAGCAGCTTGTTGCACCTGAAATCAAAGATGCGAACGACGAACGCACGCAACGCAAGATGCCCGCACGAGGCCGAGGAAGGCCGGGCGGGAGACAAAAACGACGACGACGACAAAAAAGAAGAACCTGTTAACGATCGATGTTATGCCTATGACTAGAAGGTATTTTATAGGCATCGACGTCGGAATTTGATTTTTTGCCGCGGTCGTTTTGTTATTATTTTACATACATTCCGCGCGGCTAGCAGGAATGCATTCGCAACATTGAAGTCTCTTATTAAATATGCAAGGAAAATGGCCTATATAAAGCCACAAACGAGCGTATTCAATTGGAGTCGAGCGAATTAAGAAAGGTTATTAAAATGCACGATTGCGAACGAAAACAATTAAAGTTTTCAAAAGAAGCGCAGCAAGATTGTAAGTATGAACGACGCATTGTGGTAACGTAATTGATTTTTTTCAACTAGTAATGCTCGTAATTAAATAAATACTCAATGAATGCACTCACCAACATACCTACACCATAGAAACACGTTTGTTAACTTTTATATTATAGTCATGCATGCAAGTTTTAATGAATCTCACCTTTATTTTAAGTATTTCGCGCGAAATGTGCTTTTAATGTTCATGCGTTCAACAACTTCAGTTCCTTCATGTATTTTTATATTTCTAAAGAATGCATCACATCACAAACGGCTATCATCATTATCTTGCGTATCGACGCACGATGTACTTACAATCCGTGGATGGAAATTAATTATGAATAGAAGACTGATTCTTTTCGCTAAGCGAGTATTGTGTTTTCTTTGATTCTATGCGTTTCTTTGTTGTGTATCGTCAAGAAAATGACCGAAAGTACTTCATCTGCGGCGTTAGAGTTTCGAGGTACTTCTTAGATTCAAAAGATTTCCGAATGGGCGCTACAAAGCACAGGAGCCATATATCATTTATAAAATTCCGACCGGCCGTCCGTGCCGCCGGTCCACATGCGGGGCGGGCAGCGCGAATAACACGTGAGGCATTTTTCGTATTTTCCACACAATATTTTCCGGCGGCTCGGCCGACACGACTTGCTACTCAAGCCATCAAGCCCCGGGCGTTTCCTTATCGCGCTCACGCTCGCAACTATTATTTCATTCCTGCACACTTCCTTCGGGGGCGGCGGGCGACACGGCGCCATCGGCCCTTCGCCCGCTTTTCGCGATATCAAGCATTTCAATCATGCCGACGTCTCGGAAACCTAACGAACGAAGACCGGCCACGAAACTAGTTGCAATTTTTTGAGCGTCGCCTCAGTTCTGGCAAACTGAAAAACTTGCGGCGTTCACGGCGTTCAATGGTAGTGAATCAACGTTCAACTGCACGTCGCACGCCTGTATAGCGTATAATCGCATGAACTGGGGGCGGTTTCGACGCAATTAGTAGAGTTTGGCCGCATTTACATTTAAAGTTGCGGCGGGCACGTGCAGTTTTCCCGTCTCGGGTCTGTCGTCGCGAGCTCAGACTTTGATTGAACATTTATTGCCTGCCTGGGCGAAAACCACCTCGGGTGTGGCAAATTTATATCCCGAAATGCACTCTATATTTGTTTGTTCGCGTACATAGGAGTAGTACGTGTGGCAAAGTAGTGGTTTGCGTGAAACTTTTTTATGCCTCAAAAGTAGGGCAGAATAGTTCATTTACCACTAAATAAGACGCCAGCCAATGCCGCAAAGTGTTACGGAAAATATGGAAAACGCTAACGACGCTAACGTGTTAAAAGCTCCAAGAAGGATTAGCTATAAACACATAAATTAGCCTATGACACTATCGGCCGTATCGGGGGCTAATGCTCAATTCGTTCTAAGCACGCCCGCATAACATATTCATAGACTATTCCTAGGAATATGAATTAAACATGGAAAAACGTCGAATACTGGAAGCGTTTAGACTCTGCGATAGGCGCGTTTCTATATTTAATTTTTACGCCGGTATTCCTCGAGGTTTTTCCGCTGTACAATTGCGAAGCGAATTTATCGAGCCGACATTTCACGGATTGCAAAAAGCGCTGCCGCCGGCAATCGGTCAATTTAGTTGATAACTTAATAAGTGTTAGATTACACGTATTAACCTTATTTCTGCCAGTCCTTTGTCCGTTTTCTACACGCCAGCGCAAACAAAAACGTATCGGCTAAATAATTTAATAAGCGCTCGATTGATTGCTTCCTAGCCAGCAGCCAGTACCCTCGTTTCATTAGCTTTGCCCGGGGGCAAAGCAACCCCCCTTTCCGTCGGTCATCCATTTCTAAAATGCACCAGTGTCTTGCGCTAGAAATGCGCATGCTAACACGCGGCTTTGTCTTGTCATGTCGCCTTCTAAGATCTATTATTCCGTTTGCGTGGAAGTTAAGCGCCGCTAAGCGCACCCCGTTTTCCAGTCGTGGCGCATCATAATGCGCCGCAATACGACTTGCGGCGTTATTTATTTACGATTTTGCGTTTTACCATTTCGTTCGTGTCGTGCGCCATAATTGACGTAAGTAGTAAGTAAGTAGACGTCGCGGCAGACTAAAATCGTGCGCATGCATGCACTCACGTGTGTGTCGTGCACAGATAGAAGAACAAAGGTTCATTGTACGGCTTCGACACATATCCCCGAATCCTTACTATGTTCTCATTGAGCAGCGCGCCGGTACGCTGAATTTAATCAGAAAAACTCGTTATAATTTTTCCGCAAATCTCTTGTTTTCCCTGCGGACGTCGACGAGCAGAACGTTTTGGGTGGGAAATCCGCTTATTTATTCATTATCTTTGTGATCCTCTTAGTGGCCGTTGGAGGAAGAATGAAGAAAATGGAAGCTCGGAGGTAGTTCTACATCGGAAATACTCGAGTATTTCTTGCTAACAAAACGAATTCTATTCGTAATAAATCCTAGCGACAGTCCGCTGGGAACACATTGAAGAAATTATGTTGTAACTCTTTAATTGCCAATGAGTTTCGATTAATTATACGTAAATATTAATGAGCGTATCAATCAAGGCCTACGGGTTTTCTTAGAGCCTGCTGCGTGAATACTTAAATACTGAATGAAAAAGTTTCATTCCGTTCCCAAATAGTTCTCACTTAACATATTATAACTACTGTATTCGCATATTCGGTCGAACACCAGTGAATACTTTGCACTGCATGGTGCATTTGTGACTTTTGACCCATGCCAACTATTCGGACATATAGTGCACTTTACAAGACGTTTTCTTAATAAAATATCAATTAAATGCCGCTGGAAAGTTATTATTGATATTAATTCGATTTCTGACATGGCAAAGTCGCCGAGTCAAATCGCTGCCTGATGCATTATGTACTTTGCAATAAATGCAATAAAATGCAGAAACGCGTGAAGAGAGAGTTCGAAACTAATTTTCTTTCAGAAACTTCTCGGCGCGCCGGTAGCTTTCGCGTTAGAGATACGTCGCGACGTGCATCGACGCAACAGGCGCGCGACGCGTGGAATGCTTGCCGGCGCACAAGAACGACGAGTTCAAATATTTGTCAAGAAATTTGTAATTTACACACTTTGCGCGCACCTCGTGCGCTTTCACATCGGGTCGTTCAGACGACAATTTCCGCGCATTTCCTTTCGTTCGCTTCGTTTTTCTTTTTCTTTGTTTTTGTTTCTCTGCGTCGTTTTGCTCGCCGCACGTCTCGCTGCCTTTTATTGCAAATATTGCAGATTCGTATTTTTATCGTACACGGAGTCCGCGCCATTCGTCATTCGCAAGTTATTCCATTCCGTCCGTTGTCTCGCCGCACGCCGCGTTTCTTTTCTCTCGCATAGTATAAATATGAATATTTTCATTCGCGCTCGCAATCGAATTGCACACATTCGCGCGCGCGCGATACGTACCAACTCCCAACCAACATATAAAGTAATGAAAACATAACATTAGCGTTACGTTCACATTCCGTACGACGGTGAGCGCTCGCGAGAAAGAACAACGAAGGTACGTCGATGGCGTTGCGCGGCGCGGCGGGAAGGGCAAACGACGAAAGAACTTCGGCGCTCCGACACACCCAAACCACCGTCGCGCGAATATGTCGAACGTATGCGCTCCTTCGTTGCGCTCGCCACGCGCGCCATGCTTCTTTGTTATTATAAAAAGGCGTAATGTGCATTGCATTTCCAATTCGATTCGGAATTCTAATTCAATTCCATTGCGACCCAACTATCTGCGATCGCTCCGCTGCGCGGACCGCAAAGAAGCGCTTGTAACATGCTTTGTGCAAAAATTGCATTCATGTGTTTCGCAATACGTCAATCACAAACAACAGCAGCAAATGTTCAATTCCAGTCGCCAAGCGCAACGCAAGACTTACGATGAATCAATTGCGTCAATCGCAGAAGACTTATCAGACTGTTTTTGCGTTTTCAAGGTTCGACGTCTGCGGGTCTGGGGGGCAATGCATGAACTTCTCCATGCGCTTCACACCCGTAACGTGTAATAATGAAATTAAAATGCAAGAATCTAACGGCCTCCTGATGAACGAAGCCCACTGTCTGCGCCTATCTGCGTCTAGCCGTCTGACGGATGTGTGAAAAAACGTTGCGCAGACAACCGGATGATTGTTTCTTTTCGTTTTCATTCATCACATTCGGTTTTTTTTTCTTTCTCTTTTCTATATTTACTGCAGGTTGTCATGCGTGGTGGTGGTGTGCGTTATTTACACTACTCACTTTCGATTACCGCGACTGCTTGTTTACAATTACTGTCGTGAGCGATTAGAAACAGTGAGTCGATAAATTATCGAACTACAGCTCCATGCGCGAGTGCGTGAATTAAATTCCAAGTATAAAATTAACCCTGCGGTCTGCGGCTACTACTAGGGCGGTAGTGGCGGCTGTGCGTTTTTCGGCCGTTTTTATCGCTCGTGCCGCGCGTTATTCACGTGCACGTCTACCACTTCAAACGGCTCTAATTATTATGACATGTTAGGAAGTTGTCGGGGGCCCCCCCGACAGCCGACAACTCGCACGTTCCGTGCGATGTTCATCCGCACATAAATTGCGCACCACGCGCGAGAGGGTCGAACAATTTGTGCAGTTGCGAGTGGAAATCTTCACAAATTAAACCCTCATGCTTAAACCCCCATTGCTGCTTCGGCGGGCAATTATTCGCCCAAATTCACAATTGCTTCAACTGGTAACTAACAAGACCAACACGACCGGCCGCACCGCATACTCATACACACGCAGCCGTATTAGTTTAGTTTCGATTCTAGTTACGACTTCGGTCAAACACATATGGCCGAAATTTGTGAAGCGGGAGATAAAAATTTGCGCCGCGTGTGTAATTCTATGATGCTTTTGCGTTCTTCTGGCTGCAATATGCTCCAGTGACCTTAGAAATATTTTGTGCTTTGTGGGCGTTTTTTTTTTCTGCATTCACACATTGTTCTGCAGTGTCTCGCATTGCAATCCTATCTCAATTTCTTGGTTTCCCATGGCTCGTAATAACATCGGAAAACACACTGCACACGTATAAACAGCATCACTTAGTCTTTGTAAATTCGCGTTGCAGTCATTCTCACCGAACCAGCGCGGCAATATGCAAATGCGCTCAGCGTCAAAATCGAACTGGCAGGTAAACGTTCCGGTTGCAGCGTACAGAATGATTTATTTGCGAAATAAAATTTGAATACGGCACGGGGCTCAATTGTGCCCCACACGTAAGTGCCTGGTAAAAATCGGTCGCTCACATTGTTACGATACTGTTGTCGAGCACAGCTCGCAGCTATAATCTCGGCCGTATTGAATGTAGATTGCGACGGAACCGCATACCTGCAGGATAAGTAGCGCCCGAACGGGGCGAAGGTACGACGCGACGCACGGTTCGTTAGGGACAGGTGCATTCGGGCGCGTCGATTGTCAAGGACGACCGCGAGTGCAGCACCTCTTCATGCGCGCTGCTCACGCAGGTAGCCTTCCTTCGATGGCCTGCGTTTGGGTTTTACAGCGCCGGCCCGGTTATTGCTTGATTTAATTCATGAAAATCCACCGCGCCGCGCATATGTGCCTGCTCAACTCTCTTCCCACGAATTCTCGGCGGCGATGCCAGCAAAATAATGATGAAAGTTTATCGCGCGATAAAATGTCTGAAGTTCGGAATCTCTTCTGAATCTGAAGTTCAGACGTGCAGATAGTAGTCACTCGGAGAAGCACGCACACTCGCCTACTAAGTAAATATTTCTAAGTTACTAAGCTAATAATGCGTACTACGCGCGCACGCCACACGTGAGTTATTTCCGTCAATAGGTGCTTCATTAACTGCACTCGCAGACGCAGCCAGCCCGTCTAAGTCTAAATTAAACTTCAACTTCAAAACTTTACAAAGAATGCACTTCTGTAGCCGCGGCCGATTCAGTACACATGGTGCGCGCACATACGTTTCCTAGTTTGTGTGCCAAGAAGCTGTTTGCGTCGTGATTAATTAACAGTATTTTTAATTCGTTCACATCGCTCGCCGAGGTCTAGTCTGCAACAAAATCGGCGAACACAGTTTCGAACACTTGTAAGTTGTAACACTTGCAGCATACGTTGCAACACTTTGTGTCGGTTTTGGGTGCTCCAATCGAGCGAGCACGGTTTCTCTTAATAATCTTATTAATGATTCATTATTGAAGTTAATGGTGCGGAAAACCCAATTTTCCCTGGGGATGCATATTGCGTGCCAAGCGCTTACTCTTCTATCAGAATCAATCTATGTTAGTGCATGTCTTCATTACACTCCAAGGATGACAATCACATTTTTGCCATGTCGAGGGTTGTCCGGATTTGTCTCTCGTTTGCGTCCCGCACCGAGATTGAAGCCGGAGATAAGAGGAAGTCGTAATTAACATTTGATTTGTATTAATGAATGCCCACCGCCGGACGACCGGACGGACTTTCACACAATCAATTAGATCGGCTGGCTGGCTCTCCAGTTAATGCGATTCTTCTTCCACCGCAGAACTAGCTGCCTTCGCCTTTGTGTCAACAATGATGGTCGTCGTCGTCGCGGCTAGGCGCACATGGATATATTTATGTATGCTAAACGTCGGCACCGAATTGTTGTTTTTCCAGTTTTGCGCTCGAACGCGCCCGCCTTTAAAAGACATTTAATAAAAACACGAACGCGGCGGCTTGGTCTGAACTACTTCCTTGATTATTAGATTATTAAACAAATTCGATTTAAGCGGACACTTCATCTTCTACTAATATTCGAACGTACGCAAAGTAGTTGAGTATATAAACAACAGATTACACGTTAATAGAAACTAAAACTATTTATCTAATGATGTTTCACGTATGGAAGATAACAATTTTTTTTTCAATCAACATTTTGTTTAAATCGAAAAGTTGATGTAGCAGAGTTTATAAGCAAGATAGTTAGAAATGTACTGTAATTATCAAACAAATGTTTGATTTGTTTATACGTTGTTCTTTTCCATGTATGCAAGAAAATTTCTTCAACTACGCAAGGATTCTCCTGATCGGAGAATATCGGAACATGCACGTAACGTTTTAAAAGTATGATTATCTTGATTTAAAGCAGGCGTTTTTTAAATTTATGATCAGATTTCATACAACAGGTGTTTAATTGCCGCACAGTCAAGTAATAACACCGATGAAGATATTGTCTGCTTTGAATAGCGCGTAGGCTGACGTGTAACAACAAATAGTTGCGTGGTCACCCAACAAAAATGTCGACAATATCTCTAATGACTAATGGAAGATTGTTTATTTATGCACTGCATATCGTATCAAGACTAACTGTTGGTAGTTCTATAGAAACAACGTGTGTTGTGAAACAAAAGACGGTGGTAGTAATTAAACGCTTGTTTTTGTTTGCAGGAGCGAGGATGGGAATTCAAGCAAATCACCGTGACGCGCGTGCCGGGCTATGGATTTGGTATCGCCGTGTCAGGCGGGCGCGACAATCCTCACTTCGCCTCTGGCGATCCGAGCATCGCAGTCAGCGACGTGCTCGCTTCCGGTCCCGCGGAACGCATGCTGCAGTAAGTCTACCCGTGTCTAATCAACCTCGGAATTAAGCTAAGACCACTGACTGTTATTTCCACAGAGTTAACGACCGTATTATTTCCGTCAACGGCATCTCCTTGCAGAACGTCGACTATGCCACTGCAGTGCAGGTTCTCCGCGACTCGGGGGACACCGTGGTTTTGGTCATCAAACGCCGCAACAGCCATCACCAACACCAGCATAGTCTTAGTGCATCCTATACTTCGGCTCCACTTGCTGCTCTTGGTCTCAGCCCACCAAAAGTAACTCTCACCAAAAACTCCAAAAAGGAAGATTTTGGAATTGTACTGGGATGCAAATTATTTGTAAAAGAGATCTCCACGAAAGCCCGCGAGCAGTTGATGAATACGAATCAACTGTTGAATGAAGGGGACTTCATCACAAAGATCAACAACACCAGTTGTAATGATCTTATGTCATTGAAGGAGGCAAAGAAGATCATAGATAGCACGAAAGACAAGTTGCACCTGTCGATCGCTCGAGATTTTGTCCCACCGAGCAATTTATCCAGCAACATCTCTCATCAGGCACAGAGTAGTGTCAGCACAACTGGAGCGGTGAATAATTTTTACAAAGGCGATGATTTCTTAACGTCTGGTACGAGTTACTCCAATCAAAACCTCTACGTTCAACCGCCGACGCGCAATCCAAATTTGAACACTAATGGTTTTGATCATGACAAAGTGGAGGCGAGTGGATCCGCCGAGGACAAGAGCAATTTGGTGCCTAGAAGTCGTCGAGGTGGCGAACCACCACCCCATGCCCAGCATGGCCAACACACACCCGAAAATAGAAATAGTATATATGGTAGAAGCAAAGGACCTGTTGATGAACCCCCTAGACCGCCGCCTCCTCGAGCGGAGGACTACTACAGTTCAAGGAGACAGCTCTATGAGGATGATCCAATTATTCAAAAATCTAAACAACCCATGTAAGTTAACGAAGGGATATCTTATCAGGTTTTATCACCGAATGACTCACTTCTTTATAGTCCCGATGCTCGATTCATCACATTCCACAAAGAAGGATCCGTGGGTATCCGGCTCACAGGCGGCAACTATGTCGGAATATTTGTCACTGCTGTTCAACCAGGCAGTCCAGCTTCACTTCAAGGTCTTCAACCAGGCGATAAGATCCTCAAGGTGAACGACATGGACATGACCGGAGTGACACGGGAAGAGGCCGTACTCTACCTTCTCAGCCTGCAGGACCGCATTGAGCTTATCGTGCAGTACTGCAAAGAAGAGTACGACAATATTGTCGCTTCGCAGAAGGGTGACAGTTTCTACATAAAAACCCACTTCCATTACGACACACCCGCTAAAGGGGAAATGTCCTTCCGCAGTGGTGATATATTCCGCGTGATTGATACTCTGTACAACGGGGTGGTCGGTTGTTGGCAGGTGTATAGGATAGGGCGCAATCACCAGGAGGTACAGAAAGGCATTATTCCCAACAAGGCCAGGGCGGAGGAGCTTGCCACTGCACAGTTCAATGCTACCAAGAAAGAAATGTCAGCAAACGAATCAAGGGGTAGTTTCTTCCGGCGTAGGAGAAGTTCCAATCGGCGGTCGAAGAGCCTCGGAAAGGTTTGTATCGTGCATGCGTCACCGCCGTAGTCCAAATTTGCATATTTAGTAATCGCAGAAAGGTTTGGCGATGCGCCATGTTTTTTGTTATTTTGGCGCCTGCGTTATTTTTATTTATATGCACATTTTTGCGTTTTAGGAGCACTGGGATGACATATTATTTTCGGACACCGTATCGAAATTCCCTGCGTACGAGCGAGTCATACTTAAACACCCCGGATTCACACGCCCTGTTATCCTTTTCGGGCCGATTGCGGATGTTGCCCGCGATAAGTTAATTAAAGATTTTCCGGATAAATTTATCTCTCCACGTAAGAGCAATTTTTACGTTTATAATGTTGAGGCAGTTCTGGATGAGGGGCTTAATGCTTAATTGTACTTATAACGTGCCATTTTCACACTTAGAACTCGATAGCACGGTGGAGGATGGTTCGAAGGGAAACAAACTCTCCTCGAATATTATAAAGCTGTCGGCAATACGCGAGGTGATATCGACTGGAAAGCACGCCCTGTTGGACATCACCCCCAACGCCGTCGAGCGCCTCAATTACGCGCAACTCTATCCCATCGTGGTGTTCTTCAAAGCGGATACGAAGATCGTCGTTAAACAATTACGCCAAGGACTGCCAAAGTACGCCGTGTCTGATTGCACGCACGTGTCACGTTTCTAACTGTCTGCACCTTTCAGGTCGGCTCACAAGAGTTCCAAGAAGCTCTTAGAGCAATGCCAAAAACTAGACAAAGTCTGGAGCCATATATTTAGCGCCAACATAGCACTCAACGACAACACGGAGACCTGGTATCGCAAGGTGCGCGAGATCATCGATAAGCAGCAAAGCGGCGCGCTCTGGATGAGCGAGAGCAAGGTATGGCCCGTGCGGCCTCAAGTCCAAGTCACGGCAACGGTTTTGGAATAATTATAACTATTCTCTCGTAGAAATGGTGGTGGGGTTTTATCTGGTGGTATAATGCGGGTTGTTTCTTTACAGCTTCTGGGGTCCTACCTGTATCCTCGATTCAAAACCTACTCCCTTCCATCCCAATACCGTTCCGCGCACTCCGGCAGCAAGCGGCGGCACAAAGCGCCGCTCTCAATGTACGACAGTCCCCAGGGTCGTTCGAAATTTTATCATGTCGACAACGGCTCCTACTGCTATCATTCGCCGAGTCAAAGTAGCTTGTATAGTTGCTCGAGCTATCAGCAATCGTTGCATCCAAACCAATCTCAGTATCAGCCATATGCAAGTAGCCTTCTATATTCGAGTGCTAAACCCCACGCGTGGCATTGTGATTGCTCGACCACCCCTTACACAATTAATAACAATAATATGAAGTTCAAAGACGTGAAGGAGTGTATTAACACGATTAACACTGGCCTGGGCAATTCGGAGCCGATTTACTACGATTGCGACAGTGCTAATTATGCTAGGAAGCCTCAAACATACGTCATTCAGGAGGAAATCCTGGGCGATGTGTGATCTGACCTCCACGTTGTTTGTATCTGGTGAAATCATTTAGTTAGTTTTGCACCGATTATGCTGCACTCCTGCTTTATCATGTTTACGCCTTGGCTTTACTGCATGCGGTTTTTCTTTCCTGATATGCTTTGTTTGGTTTGTACTTAATTTCGATCGTCTCATGGAATCATGTTCATCAGTAACCAATATATGTAAATATGCTTATTATAGCCCGAAGAATGTCTGTCCGATGATTTCCTGTTTCCCATGTCGTCGTTGCGATTGTCATATGCCAGTTCGCCGGAAAGCGACCTGGAGCATAGTCCCGGCCCGCCATTGTCGTCAAGTCATGCGACCAACGGGCCGGGTGGAGGCGGCGGTCGACTAACCAAAGCCAGCTCCGATCCCAGCGTTGTCATGGCCGATAACAGCACTACAGATGTGCTACCACCATATCAGGTATCATTTTCGTTCATTTTGGTGGACATACTTCAATGCTTTACTAACTCGAACATACTACTATTCTGCACGGTGGTGAAATGTTGATCGCGTCATTCTTGAAATTACAATTTTAGCCGACGTACGATTCACGTTATGGATTTAACGGTCAGTCGAACCAGGATCCGCCCACACCGACCAGCCCCACCAAGGAGCAGAGTTTCTTATCGCCCAACTCGTCTGATCACGTCAACAACAACTCCAGTGAGCCGAGTTACACGAAGCCGCCTGGTATTATGGCATACAATCATTCATCCAGCCAGAGTTTCGACGCCAAGCAGCATCATCACGGCATGGATTACAATGATATCAGCAAGAACGTTGCGCACAAGCGACAATCATCAAATCTACATTATAAAGGTCATAGTATGAGTGAGGCGACCCTCAAGGATGCACAGAATATTTACGGGGGCGCACCTGATCTTCCACCACGTGTGGATCGCGCTGTTAAACCACCGCCGAATGTTCAAACAACGCCAAGCAAACAAAATGGCCGGTCCGCACATGAGCGACTTTTCGGCACCAAGGCTCCAGCCGACGGTGAACCGATTGATGCTTTCGGACAAAAACTGGGCTCTTTGGACAGGAGTCAGAATAGCAAGTCGGATTCGCTTTCAAGTTACGACTCGTTCAATAATCCCAAACATCGCATTATACCCAACGCGCACGATGATTTAAAGACCACCCTTAGCAAGATTGATTCGGGCGTTCCTGGGAGTCCGTCAAAGTACAACCGGTGGGAGGGTAGCGCACCCAACCATCGACATGATCGCCTTGGTTCCAAGTTGGACTTAAAATACTCGCAGCAGAATCTGAATGGAGACAGTGGTCTTTCAATGGGGATTGATAGCCCTCGAAATTCTAGGGAGATGGATGTTGGACCCCTGGATCAACAAATCAGCCGAACTCCAGAGAGACACGATATGTACCGATATAACCGATCCCCTGCCAAGCAATCCATGCCTCAGAAACAACACATTGAGACAAAGACTGATTATGGAAAGTACAGGTAAGATTTACTTCGGGATAAACTTGGCGTGCAAATAATGGAGAAACTTTAATTTTAGTCGCAATAATGGCCCTCCCGAATACACACGTACCAGCCATCAAGATCTTTCTCAATCACATCTAAGTATTCACCAACCTCTACAACAATCTCCTATGAAAAATCCACATCAAGGCCATGGTCCAGCACAGCAGGGACAACAACAGATAATGAATGGCCAATTTGCGGCCGAAAACGGCACCAACGGAAACGCGAATCCTAACTCCTACAAACCCATACCGCCTCCCAAGCCTAAAAACTATAAGCCGCCATATAAGAACTCGCCGAACAACTTCAACGATGGTCCCATGCAACAGATGCACTATCAGCACAACAAGAGCCATAGCAATCCAGTGGTAAGTAACTTTCTTGGGAGACGCTTTGCAATGTTAAGCTATGTAACTGTTGAATTTCTAGGATCAAAGACTTCCCATGAACTCCACCAATCACAATTATTACTACAATATGCCTCAGTCGCAAGGGCAGCAGGGCAACGCCGGGTGGCATACCGAAACTGCCGTCCGGTATAATGCCAATATCCATGGTCATTACGACATGGCACCCGCTTATGAACGCCGCCATCCGAGTATTTCCTACGCCAGCCGTAGCGAAATCGCTCCAATTGCTCAGCAAGAAATGTCCTACGGTGGAGGCATGGGAATGGACATCCATCAAGGTGATATTCTGGACACACGTTCCCCCGATCGGCACAATATTGTCGACTTGCAGGGATCGCGGGAACAGCGAGGATCTGCCTTTGAGCTGTACCGCAAGCCCGTGCACCATAATTTACGGTAAGTTCATCACTGTTTTGGTTCGAGTTCTGCTTTTCTTTTTTTTTTTTTTTGTTGTACACTGGTTTCGTTATTTCGTTATGACCATTGCTTTGGCGTTGTTGCCCCCGCTTGCATGCTCTTTGGGCTGGCCCCTCTTGATGTTGCTGCTCTGTGGTGATGGTGTTGTGTATGTGTGGGTGTGTGTAAACAGAAAGCCAAATTTGTTCATTTTCTCTGTTTTGAAGGGTTGGGGAGGAAAAGAATGCTTTGTACGGATCGCAACCTAATCTAGCAAATAACGCGCACGATAACAGTCCGTCGTCGACACTCTCGGCTAGTACTAACACAAAAGCGGCGCGCCGCGTCGCGAAGGCACAATCATTCAAGCACCAGAAGAGCGACGGCGTCTCGACGCCCAAGTTCTTCCGCAAGCTGCTGAGCAAGTATCGCGAGTCGCCGAGCAAAAAGCGCGACCGCATCCCGGAGAATGAGGCGCGGAATGATTACAATCGCAACCGGTGCGAGCCACCACCACCTCCGGCGCCGGAGACGCTCACCGCCGGCGTGGATTACGTGCGCGCCAATCAGCGCGACGTGACCAGTGCCGTGGTGGACGCGCGCGGCGCCACGCTGGTGAACAACTACTGGGGCGTCTCACTCGAAATACCCCCTGACGCCATCCCCGAAGGCGTCCAGCAGGAAATTTACTTCGTGATCTCCGATCCACGCTTGTGCGAGAACTCGCCGCCGCTGGACCTGGAAAACGGTATCAACCTTTTATCATTTTTTATACCTAACTTTCTCTTGCTCTATCATTCGTTCACGATTTATCTGGTGGAGGGCGCAAACGGCCAGTGTACATAGCGATATAGCGAGATAAATAGGGACTCGTACGCGATCAAGGTTTAACTTTTAACTTATGTTTGTTTTTCCGGCTATAGGTGAAACCATGCTGTCTCCGCTAGTAATGTGCGGCCCGCAAGGAACCGAATTTCTCAAACCGGTCGTTCTACACATTCCACACTACGCTAACACGCTGCCCAGCCTCGGTATCAGCTTGAAAGCCACTGACTCCGAGACGGACATTTGCACCGACTGGGACAACATCCTGCTGCCATCGAATCACGCGGCCAATAGCGTCGCTGTTAAAGTCGACCATTTCTAATTGCTTACTATTATAACTAAATGTAATTGTAACATAGACTTGCTCATTTTTATACGAAACAAGCGAAACTTAAGCAAAGATGTACGTGTATACATTAACGTTAGTAAATTATGTCGAAAAGCGCGAAGCAAAATTGCAATATTTACACATGTGCATGAACATTGTGATTATAAAGATTCTTATTATACATAGTTGTAACTAGCCCATAAGTTTGATATACATATTCATATTTTTGTATTCAGTTCTGAGAGGCAGGACAATATCCTGTTCTTTTTGAGAGAAATAAACGAAAGCGTTGCCAGAATGAATACAAAATATCGTAATGTTATTTATTCGTCATTGAAATAACTCACCTATTTCTTGAAATTTCTTATATTTCTACTGATTCAGCCGCAACACGGGTTACTTCAGTTGGTTTGTCGAAGTCATCAAATTTTACCGCTAGACCGTTACGGAACTAAAGTTTCAATTTTGCCAAGTTGATACTACTAGCGCTATCTCGTGGAACTTGTGTGTCAACATTTGTGAAGTTAAATTTTCGTGCACATTTCAAAAAATTTCATCACATTTTTATCAACTTTCATTCATTTTCAAACGATTTGCATGTATTGTAAGCACAGTAATAAGTTGCTCACTGATGTTACCAACCACACTAACAGTTTTCAGAGCAAGAACAATCGTCCGCTCACGAATTACAGTGAGTTTTCCCCATTATAACCTCCAATCCGGCTATCAGACAGCATCTAAAAACATGCCTAAGGATCCAAATCATGTTGCGGATGCACAACGGCAACGACAAAAGATTAAAGAACGTAATAATAAGTATGCTCCAGCCAAGGTTACATTACAAGTACTTGGGACAGGAGCGGAAGGAGCCCCCCGGAGTCTTTATATTTTCTCAGATCAGTCTAGGTAGTTTGAAATTTTCTCTTTTATTAAAAGGATATTGTTTTCACTGATAATTTATTTTAGATATTTGTTTAACTGTGGGGAAGGTACACAGAGATTAGCACATGAGCACAAGGCAAAACTAGCCAAATTGGAGCATGTTTTTATTACACAAGCAAGTTGGAAGAATATGGGAGGACTACCTGGAACAGCATTGACTATACAGGATGTTGGCGTACCTGAAATTACTCTTCATGGACCTACAGGCTTAGTATGCTTTAATTTTATTATAAAGTTTGGGTGGATTATAAAGGCTTGAAGTACCACTTACTTTTGATCATCTAAGATACTGACTATTAAAATCAGCAATATGAGTGACTCAGATTGTCAATGAAAGTGATTATGGAATTCAGAATATAATGCTATTTTAAGTTGCCAAGCTGTTCCAAAAATTATATTTTAAACATAAATTATCATCAGTGTAGAGTATAAATTGTTGACTGTAATTTTAGGAGGAGTTATTCAGAGCTACAAGACGTTTTGTAGTGATGAAAAACATGCGCGTGAAAATGGCTGAATGCCAGGAAGGTCATGACTTTGAAGATAATGTGATGACTGTGAAATATGTTCCTTTGTTAAGAGTACCTACTATAACGGAGCATGATTCACTTGAGGTTGAATCTGAAATGGACAAGGTAACGCAAGCTGGGTCCAGCATTGCTACGGTAATGTTTTATTAAATCGTAGTCATGTAACTGTAACATCTAACTAAAACGTTCGTGTTATATTATCGGGCGCAGATGAGCGTAGGTACAACCACGAGAGATTCTCGGAAGCGTCGACGATCTTCAAGCTGCGCTTCGTCTCTACGAACGTCGTCGGCTTACGAAGACGACACGGATTACTATTCACATGAAAGTAAGAGACGAAGATCTCGATCTTGTACAGGTATCCCATTTTTCCCCAACCATATCATATCCTGTCATTTTCCTGTACGTTTATATTCACTAAATACTAAAGCCTTTTGTTGGTCTTTAGCTAGTGGGAAAAGAGTGGTAGACACGACCGTAATTACTGAATCGATGAAGAAAGTGCTACTGGAGCAGAAGAAACGTGGCACAGTAATGTGCTACGTGTGTCGACTGAAAGCGCGGCCAGGCACGCTGAATTTGGGCAAGTGCGTGCAGCTGAATATTCCGGCGGGACCGAAGTTGGGTGACTTGAAAAATGGGAAGAGTATTACGTTAAGTGATGGAACTGTCATCACCCCGGAGCAGGTTTGCGAGCCGGAGGAACCTGGACCAATTTTTATATGTATAACAAATCACCTTTGAGGTGCCTGAATTGGCGAATCGAAACAAATTTGTGGACACGTTCTTGTTTGCAGTTGTTGACGTACCGACCGAGGAGTATTTGGATGCGTTGATTGCCAGCGAGGCAATAAATCAACACAAACAACTTACGGCAGTGGAGGACAATCTTGCCTACCTGGTTGTGCACTTTACGCCTTGGGATATTGTCCAGCATCCCAGGTACCGTAACAATTGGTGTTATTTTATTTAGTATAAAACCAGAACTACGTATTAGTAATTTATGACTGATTTATTATGTATTTTTCGTTTTATTCTAATATAGGTATCAGAGTTGGATTGACACATTTTCTCCCAGCACGCATCACATTTTCATCAACGAAAAAAACACCTGCATGGGCAGTATTGCCGTGCATCGTATCCAGTACAAGTTGAATCTTTTGAATAAGGACTTCTTCCCGCTCTTAGGTGATCGCGGTACTGAGAGACAACTTAAATCCTCTTCGCCTGCAGTGAAAACTGATGAGGATTTAACCACGGAAACTAACTTTGATTACCCTAACACATCCTGTGGTACAACCGAGCACATTATCCGCGAAAAATACGCTTCCTACATCCAACCTGGCACATTCTATAATTTTCATCTACGCCCTCGCACGGGAAAAGACAGCACAAGTGAAATCAAACTTGTACCATCTGAGTATATTGACGAGACTTTTGCGCTCGACGGTTTCTGCGACGAAGTGCAGAAACTTCGTATTGAAATTCTCAACAAATGTAAACATATGACAATCCGGCCCTATCCTAAAATCCTGTTCTTGGGTACTGGTTCATGCATTCCCAATAAAACTAGAAACACCAGCGGGATCATGCTTTTTACGAATGAAGAGAGTAATATTCTCATTGACTGCGGGGAAGGAACTTATGGGCAGACGATTCGATTTTTTGGAGATAAACGAGCATTAAAAGTAGTTGCTAACACGGACGCTATCTACATCAGTCACTTGCACGCCGATCATCACATTGGCTTGATTGGATACTTGCAGGGAAGGCGGCGTGCACGCTCGTTGCTCGGTTTACCAGAAAAACCCTGTTATCTACTAGCTCCGAAACAGATCCAAAGTTGGCTTGGTTTTTACGATTTATGCTTCGAAGACATTTGCAGAGACTACCAATTAGTCGCGAACGGCGACTTGGTAATAATTTTTAACATGACATGTCGACGTAGAAATCTTATCGTGATTTTTTAGTTATTAGATAATGAGTTGATCGATGCCGAGGAGAAGGCCGATATTTGCAAAGCTCTGCACCTAACGTCGGTGAATACTTGCATGGTGAAACATTGTCCGAATGCATTCGGCGTGGCTTTCAAACATGAGAATGGATTCAAGCTCACTTATAGTGGTGACACTATGCCCAGCGAGAATTTAATTCAATTAGGTGAGACTTACTGTTATATTGTGTTTTGCCGATAATTCAAGTTATTTATTCAATAATCTAGGAATGGACTCTGATTTGTTGATTCATGAAGCGACAATGGAAGATGAACTGGCAAGCGAAGCGGTTGTCAAAATGCATTCCACGACATCGCAGGCGATACGTGTAGGACAGAGAATGAACGCTCGCAACATTTTGCTCACACATTTCAGTCAGCGATATGCCAAGTTGCCGAGATTTAATAAAAATTTTGCGGAGAACGTTGGCATTGCTTTTGATAATATGATGGTAATTGATGTGTCAATCCTGCATATTTTATTTATTGAGTTTGTATATTATTGTTTTAGTTGGCAGCTGATGAATTACCACTGTTACCTTTGTTATACCCTTCGTTAATGATCATGTTTGCCGATCATTATGAAGATATGGAATTCAAGGCGATGAAGCGTGCGAAGCGGGAAGAAAGAAAGAAATCATTGTAACAGCAATAAATAATTCGAAATACTGAATAAATACTTGAAAATTTAATTGAGTTTAACTTGTAATTGAGGTGTGTTTCTGCATTGAAATTATTGTGCAAACAGTTGTTAATAAACACGCTGACGAAGTAAAGCGAGCAGCATTCGCGTGCAACTGAAAGAGAAAAACGCAGCACCAGTTTAGATAACATGAAACATGCCAATGTTTCATTCTATTTGAGTCATAGGTTAATGATGACATATTTAGTTTGTTAATGTATAGTTGTACAATTTCCAAATTAATTGGATGGTTTACGTTTATTTTTAATCGTGAGGTTACTTGAGTTAAACATGCACGCAATTTATTTCCCTTAATGTTCCTTATTGTGACTTTCATTGTCAGTGCATCATTACACGAGTTCATCGAAGAAGTTTGAATTTCATCATTCAAGAATTTGCCTATACGTGCGTCAGCGAGATTACAGTTGATGCCACTCGGTAGTGGGGCGTATCCGGTTGGTACGTTATTTTCAAATGATTTAATATTATTTCTGCATTAACTAGTTGATTCTAAATGGTAAATGCAATTGTATAACGCTGCAACTAATTCACAAATGCATTTATGATTGATTCGGCAACATTGCTGTAAACATTTTTGAAAACAAAAGAGAAGTTTATGTTGGTAGCCTAGCGAGTGTACTAGAAGTGCTGACGTCTGACATCTTGCCTCGCTCACTAATTTCCGGTGCTGGCGGACAACGCACGCGGACAGGTCGAGAGCGAGTTGCCGCGAGCGGGCATTTTACTAAATTTTTTACTGCAATCGATTTATTATTTATTATACCTCCGTCGGTGGTGCGTGCAGCAACTTGTGTCGTACAATGTCCAATAATTCAGCACCGGATTGTTGGGAGTCGCAGGCAGACTCCACATCTACAAACAACTCGCCAACTAAGCCCGCGGACGTTACGACCAAGTTTTCCACGTTGAACGTCAACGCAGTCGAATTCGTGCCTTCATTCGGTTCGTTTACCGCACCAGCCGCGAGTGACGACGACGCGTCGCCGACGGAGGAGGCGGCCGCCTCCGACTCGCCTGAACACACACCGATCCTCAATGGTAAGTGCCACGCCGTCAGAAATCGCACATGACGCTAACACGCGTGCATATGCGCCCCATATTCCGCAGGCACGAATACGGAGAGCGCTGAACGAATCGACGTTAAAGAACCACCACCTATTCCACCCGCTGACGGCGATGCATCACCAGGTGACGGGGCACCTGGGAGGATGTGGCCGAGGACAACGACCCCATCCTTACCCCCGAGGGCGATGAAGAAGAGCCCTCGTCTGAGGAGGCGCCTAAGATCGTGAAGAAAAAGCTCGCTAAGCCCGAGGAAGCATCCAAGAACAAGAAGGAGCATGTCAATGTCGTGTTTATCGGCCACGTGGACGCGGGAAAGTCCACGATTGGCGGCCAGATCATGGCTCTCACTGGTATGGTGGACAAGCGCACGCTGGAAAAGTACGAACGTGAAGCCCGCGAAAAGAGTCGCGAGTCATGGTACTTATCGTGGGCACTGGACACCAATCAAGAAGGTAAAAGCGCCTCGTTGTTTTATGTACATTTTAGTCTAAGACATAAATAAGCAATGCGCCACAATAAGTCAGCGGTCAGAAGTGATATCAGCTTCTGGAAGCGTTACAATTGTGGCAGAGCATTGAGTGTCTGCGGACTTGCATTGTGGCGCCGTTTTGGCGTCACTCTGCGTCTGTCTGCGGTTATCTCGCGTCCTTCGAGAGTCGATTGTTTTGCAATTTCTACAATCATAGTGTAAGGACTAACAGCCTTCTACCGCGAGCGGTAGATCTGAGACTGCGGTTGTGTTGCTGCTACGACGCAGGGTACCGTTAGCTCTAATAGCCTATTTGAATCGAGGTCAAAGTTTTTAGTTTAGATATTTTCGTTTATAAATTTATGAATTAGCATGAGTAATGTGTTAGAATGTGTATGCGTTCTCTTTTTGAATTCTGAACAATAACACATAACAAGGGCGATTATTAAAACACAATTACGGATAAAACTCACTGAATACACTGAAAATCAAATCGCTTAATGTCGCAAACAACGCATTTAAGTTTTACAACTCTAAATTCTAACTGATTACATCTGGGTTGTTTTGGTTTCAACCAGTTTTTCCACTTTATGTGGAATTTTATTTATAGGCACCTATTAGTCTTCACGCGAATATTTTAATAAGTTGAATTAGTGAGTGGCGCGATTGCAGTGTGAAATCACATGTGAAAATTTTAACACTGTTGAACAACTGTGATGAACTTGAATGCAACCATTCTTTTTAAGTAATCGCAAAGGTTGACGGTTACGAAGTTATAGAATAAAATTCATTGGTTGCAAACAAGCGTAGCACAATTGATCATTCTTGTACATTCAAAAAAATATAATTATTTGTATACGTTGTATACTTATTATTTTTCCGGTTTGATTTTAGTTCCGGCTATTATTTAATATTTGGCGAGGTTAAAGAACCACGATATAAAATTTTAAAAAATGATTGCAAAATAACTATAACGATTCACTGTAATTGTTCTTAAGATGCCTATTTATTATGTTTGAAGCGTATAAAAGCATAATAATTAGACGCTTTGAATTCAATTGAGAAGACAGTGTAATCGCAATTTAATTGAAGCGAGTGTTCAATTGCAAATCAATTGAGCCGATAGTGCTGCACAAGATATGTACAAGTTGTATATGTAAGTTATTAGAATTGAATGTTGATGTGCAATGCTAACGCCGAATCGTTGTTTACTTATAATATCTAGAGCGGGATAAAGGCAAAACAGTGGAGGTGGGTCGCGCCTACTTTGAGACTGACAAAAAGCACTTCACGATCCTGGACGCGCCCGGACACAAAAGCTTCGTTCCTAACATGATCAGCGGCGCTGCACAAGCCGATCTTGCCATTCTGGTGATATCGGCGCGCAAGGGCGAATTCGAGACAGGCTTCGACCGTGGCGGACAAACTCGCGAGCATGCTATGCTTGCGAAAACCGCCGGTGTGAAACATCTGGTCGTGCTTGTCAACAAGATGGACGACCCCACCGTCAACTGGGATGAAGCACGCTACAACGAATGCAAGGATAAGATTCTTCCTTATCTGAAAAAGTTGGGCTTCTATCCTGCGAAGGACCTCAGTTTCCTGCCCTGTTCGGGCCAAACTGGTCAGGGTCTCAGGGAGCAAATCGATGAGAAGGTAAACAAATTAGTAATACCCACTCAAATTTGGTTTCTTTTTATTTGCACCTGGAAAAACATAATGCACTTCATTTTATGGTGTTAAAATGTCATGCATGGTTCTGACAATTCATTGAATGGAAAACGAACATCAGATTTGCGTGGATTATTGGTCATTATTTACGCTAAACATGTAACTTTTGTTTGCTGTTATTTTTTTCGATGCTAAATTGATGTGTGTGACAATTTTTCAATAAAAATTTGATTTTGTCGGTCGTTTCATTGCACTATTTTTAATAGTAGTCGATTTTTATATTTGAATTTGGTTTTCGGGTGCTGAACTGATGTCTGTATTTTTGTAGATTTGTCCGTGGTATAGAGGACCAGCGTTCATACCTTTCATCGACGATCTTCCATCGCTCAATAGGATAGTCGACGGACCATTCATTATGCCCATTGTTGATAAGTACAAGGACATGGGTACGGTTGTAATGGGCAAAGTGGAAGCAGGCGAGTGTAGGAAAGGCACAAATCTTATGATTATGCCAAATAGGGTAAGAAATCAATTCCTTTATCATAACTATACAACAATAATATCATATACGCCACGAGGAAGTCAGCGGTTTAAGGTTTGAAGTCTTAGAAAGCGTTACACTTGTGGCATAGCATCGAATTCTTGTTGCTCGTTGATGATCAGCGTTCTGTTGATAATTGGCTTTGGTGGCAAGTTTTCAGGTCTATTACTTTTATGCGACTTGATTCACTTTTTCAAGTTAATCTATAAATAGACGAACATTGTTTTTTCTTAGTTAATTTAATATGTGATTATTTGAGAGTACTCTGATTTTATTCAGAGAATTCAACAAAATTGTGCTTGTGCTTTTGTAACAATAAGGCAACATATCAACTCAAATTGTTTTACTCGTCTCGCCGAGATATCTTAAGAAGTCACTTTATTCCGTGGGTCTAATTTGTTTTGCATTTTTAGACGCCTGTGACCGTAGACCAGCTGTGGTCCGATGATGATGAAGTGGGACAGGTCGTATCCGGCGAAAATGTGAAAATTAAGGTAAAAGGCGTGGAAGAAGAGGATGTGTCGCCTGGTTTCGTGCTCTGCGACGCCGCAAATCCAATTCGCACCGGCCGTATCTTTGACGCGCAACTCGTCATCCTAGAACACAAATCAATCATTTGCGCCGGCTACAGTGCAGTCATGCATATCCATTGTGCAGCTGAGGAAGTCACCGTTAAAGTAAGTCGATTTGCGCTTGGCATTTAGCGAACGTTACTAACACTCTCATTGCTCTGTGCAGGCCTTAATTTGTTTGGTAGATAAGAAAACCGGCGAAAAAAGTAAAACGCGACCTAGGTTTGTAAAGCAAGATCAAGTAGCCATAATGAGGATAGAATGCGCAGGCGTCATTTGCCTCGAATCGTTCAAACTATTTCCACAAATGGGACGATTTACACTACGAGATGAAAGTAAGTACACAACATCCGCATATAGTCTACTTATCAACTAACTTATGCTGCGATCTCTCATTTGTAGATAAGACTATTGCCATTGGAAAGGTACTCAAAGTCGTAGAGTAAGTCGTATTACTACTGTAATGAAGACTAGGCCGTAAGATATACTCTAAATTTACATCAATCAAGTAATGCAAACTACGAAAAAGGCAACAAACAAAGCAAAACATAGCGAAAACTAAACCAGACACAAAAATAATGAAGTGAACGAATATTTCGTTTTTTATACGCGTAAAATTCTTGCTAAACTTCGAAATCGGTAATGGTAAACACAAAAGAAACGAAATTTATTTATATATTCATAGAGCAGAAAATTAATTACACGACACTTATGAAGCTAAATGTTCGCTAATCCGAAGCAGCAAGAAGATAGAGAAAAAATTGTTACGACTATTATATATTGTGCAAATGTGAAAAAGAAATTATGAAGATGTCAATGATTTACTAATGGGAATGTGGTGAGACGGTATAAAAGTACGATGACAGGTACGCAGTTCTAAAACGCGCTGCGACGTTTACAGAATTGCCGACATTTGTATATATATACATGCATATATATACATGTAAACTAGTACATATGTGCATATATATATGTATATCAGTTTCTCTCCTTCAAAATCACAACCGCATTTCGAAAGACGTGGAGAAAAGAATCCTGTACAGTTGTTAAATACTTATTAGTTGAATTTAAGATGCATGGCGAAATGGGGGGGCCTGTGGAAGCATTGCTGTAATAATGTTTTTGCTCGCCGAGGACCCGCAGTCACATTTTGATAAATATTAGGTGCGCTATTAAACATTATGCGAGAGATAATTATAGTAATACGCGAATCGTGAGTGTGGAAACGCAAAAGTTTAAATAATTGTTTAATTTTAATTATTATTAATGGCCGTTATTCGTTTTGTTTTTTTTAGGTTTCTGGTATTTTTTTACGCGAATCACCGCGCGATCACAAGCAATGAAGCAGATATGATAGGACGATAAAGAGATATAATATACTGGTCATTATTTATATATTATATTTTTATTAATCTTTGAATAATGTTTACGCGATTTGCGTTCGATTGATTGTACAACATGATGAGCGCCCCGGTTAGTTTTTATATTTATTTTTAGTTGTAATTTTATTTAGGCGATTTAACCTTGTGTTGCGCACAGAAATAGGATATTATTTTAATTATAAACTGGGGCGGAATAGGGTTACAAAGAAGGGTGCTCATTTTATAGTTTTTTTACGATTACATTGCTTGGCTGGCTCTCCAATTCTAGATGGCTCTTTAATTACTGCATTCGCAAAGAAAAATTCAAACGGCCTACGTCACACGCGTTTCGAAAGCAACCCAATTGATATGCATGTAATAAATATATACAAGGTTTCTTTTTCGAGTTTGCATTTACAAGTGGATTCTTGGCGAGGCTCGGAAGAAGGAAAAAAAATGAAGGCGGCACAGATTTTTACTTGTTACGAATGATTAGCAGAACGTCAATGGCCATTAAATAATTATCATTTCACATGAGTTGCTCGCTGAAATGGGCGGCCTCGGGTGGTAAACCGCGGGACGCGACCCGCCGCCAAGTTTCACGTGCTCAAATTTCGATTTCGACCGACACAATTCATGTTGCAGCCTTCAGCGCGCGTCGGCACAACGTCCAGTTCGACGCTGGCGCGCCATTCCGTAGTCTTTCCGTGCACGCGGCGCCGGTTTACCCCTCGAAGTGCGTGCCATTGCATCACTGTGCAAATACATACGTGGCGATGACAGATGACGTTGAACATATTTTTTCAAAATGAATGGTCATTGCATTTCTGTGATAGACAAAGCCATTTGCAGTGTTTTTTACTGATCAAGAATAACTTACAATTTATTGATGATGACAAATCGTAATCGCAAACGAAACTCAGTATAGCCATCGAAAATGCAGATATTTCGTGCTTGCAGTGTTCAAGAATTTCATAGAAGCGCAATTTTTAAAGCTGTGAACGAGGGAGATGAGGCAGAAACAAACAAACAGGTTTGATCGGGGGAAGTGTGCCCGACGCCGCCACACCACAATACGACGTTTCAGTTCCAACGGAAGAACGCGCTTCATTTTTGTAAACAGACGTTTTAAAAGCCACCCCTGGACGAACGAGTGGATGATAATCGCGTTGTGAGTTACTGAAACGTTCATTTTGTACATGTCTAGATTACGTTTCTGCGTCCGTTTCTTCTCGCGGAGAGTTAAATATAAAATTTAGAACTTGCCGAATGTGCATCGTTGGTATGATGTTTGTATGATTGAAAGAAAACCAATTAATTATGCGAAAGAATTACGTTGTTCGTTTCGTTGATTTTTAAAATAATTTTTTCTTCACATTCTGATATGTTAGACTATAAATACCTATATAATATAAAGAAAAAAACTACAACAATTTTATTGATTACTTTTTGACGAAGAATAACTGAAACAGACGTTAAGGAATTATTTACAACACGCAAGCGCGCTTCGCACAGGTGTGTTCGCGAAGCGTGCGATTTCAACAAATATTAGTAATCGAAACGAGTTTAAATTTAAAATGAAAATAATCAGATGAGATGAAAAATAATAACGTTGCTATCAATTTTATATATTCAATAAAATTATAAAATTACTCCTGTTTTTATTATCGTGTTAAAACAAGCCCATCATCCATCATATGTTAAATCAAACAGTGAATCAAAATTATTGTTCTCGCTTACATTTAACACTATTCTACAGAAGAAAAAAAAAACATTTTTAATTGAATCTGACGTCGGAATTAATGATTACTTACACTTATTCTATTATCATAATTGAATTAGATTGAATATATAAAGAATTAATTAATGAATCAATAATGAATGTTTCCCTTACAGCTATCACAATTCTACGTGAATTTAATTAATATCCTCTCAATAGAGGATCGCGTCATAAAATAGATAGATAAAACCTTGATTGTGTCATTTACGTCCCCAAGATGGCCATACTGATTTCCTTAATCATCTTCATTCTATTAAGCATTTTCTCCAGCTGTGGTCTTTCTAGAGCACTGGTGGAATACCAAACAGGACTGTCTGGGACACAGCTCCGTTCAGGCTGAAGATAAAACACGTCATTTCTGGCTTTCACGCTCTCCGGGCATTTGGACAGGAAGAACTCGTACAGGCGCACGGGGCACCTGAGCGGATTTTCTAGACATTCCTGCTGTTCATAAACTTTCCTCTTGCCCCATGCACCTTTACTTGGTGGATAAAACCGCAACAGAACATTCCTCTGGTTGGGGGCGTTCGCATTTCTTTTCCAATGCTTCATAATGTGTGAAAAACTCAACTGCAGGTGATCATCGACCGTAATAAGGTTGAAGTGTTTAGTATTGAAAAACAAGAGTGTGTTTAAAAGCACGAGCGGGGAGTGTGCACCAAGTTGTTTGCTCTCCCAAAGATGCTCCTCTTCTACGCGGGTCACAATGTATTGGCTTTCATTGTAGAGCTGGCAGAAAGACAAACAGATCTCGTTAAATGTGTCCGTGAATTTTTCGTAGTAACCGTCACAGAAAAGATTATCAATCCGGCCGTTCTCATAAAGGTAAAGTTGAATACCCAAGCAGAGGTAATAGATGGTGTCGGATGCATAAACGGCGCCGTTGGGCTTGCGAACTTCCTTAATGAATTGACATAAACAAAAGCAGAGATCTTCCGCGCTTAACTGTAGCAAGTCCAGTTTAACAAATTTGGTTGCTTTCAGCTTCTGTAGTTCGAGATTCTTGGTCGAGGCCCATTGTTTCCAGGCATTCACGCCAAACGTATACTTCAGGGAGAGATTTTCATCCGGTTTGACTATGTCCATCATGCGTTGCGAGGATTGCCGACCACGTGGCGCGTAAATGCGGGCTCTTTTGCCTGACGCCAGCATTCTCGTCGAGTTGTCCACTTCGGATTCGAGGTCCAACGGTTCAGTGTACTCGTTTGCCATTTTGAACGCCATGGACAGCACATCGTCGGAAAACGATGTCGATGCGGTGTCCATCTGCGTTATTGACGAATCCAATAATTTTGTGGTATCCGGCACCACACCTACATCATCATCGGAGTCGGATGTGGGGTCGTTGCGCTTGTCGCCGGCTGCCATATCTGCCATCATTAAAATCTCCGCTTCGAGTGGGTCAGCGGGAATACGATTCTTTATTTTAGCTATTTCTTTCTGAATTCCCTTCATGGACTTGCGACCTGTCAAAATGAAAATAGGAATTATCATTGGAATAGGGATCGGGGTTGGGAAGGGCACGGGTTGAACATACATGTGAAGTGGCACTGGAACGAAAATCTGTACCGGAATGGGAATCCAACGGGTCGTGGTATCATCAGTTTGAACATGCACAGTCCTTTCTTTAACTTTATGCTGGATTGATTTCGTCAGCATACGCGGACGACACATCACCGCTTTGTTCTTCTGTTTGGGTACATACCGTGGTTTGGTTACCACAATCATCTGCACGGCCACTTTACCAACATTATACGCCGCATCTATGAGTGACGCCAAATCTCGACCTTCATAGGTATAGTTTTGACTTTTCGAGATCAGCTCCAGGTGCGGGATGTTCGGTTCAAACAGTTTCGACTGCTGGGAATACATGCATTCGAAGTAGACACCCAAGCAAGTCAGTGAACACACACATGTGGAAGTCTCGCCGTCGATGAACCTAATCATATCAAAATCGTATTTTTTTACAAGACACATGCTGCAATTCACGATTTTTCTGTTAATGATCAGGAATATCTTCTGACACTCGCGTGAACAGAGGCTGTGCACCGTGCCCAGTTCGTATACGGACGCATCGCCTGGTTTTGGCGAGAAAGTCGTTGGGCATACAACACATTTCACCAGCTCCACCTTGTTGACAAACTTGTATGCCACGAGGCACCTTTCGGAACAAAGCGAATCCATCTTCTCATCACCGCGGACATTTAATTCAACCTCTTTCACCTGCCTGCACACCGAACATGGCCCTGACTCCTTCGGTTCACACTCGTTGGGATTCGCCGCCTCCTTACACCGTTTCGAGCAGAAGGTCGCCGCGTCATTGGCTTTTAAATCCTCCTGACAATACTGGCACAATTTACGTGCCTTTTTATAGGAAATAAGACACGTGGTCTTGCAGAATTGCGTCACCGTCGAACCAAAGCGCACACAATATTTACCTAGTAAATTTTCCGGCACTAAGTGATGGCACTTTGCGCAGTCGGCATTAATGCTTCGTTGTGAAGCGGACAAGCAGCCCTCGTCGCAGTAATCCCGCGCCTCCCACGTAACGTAATCTTCCACATCAATACATCGGTTGCATATTACACATATACGGAACGGATCATGATTTTCATTAATCTCTTCGGGCTCAACAGCAGGCAGGAGCTGCAATTGCTCGCGTGAGATTGTTTCCTCCGCAGCGAACACGCGTAATCGCAATATTCGCTCCACATAATCATCGGCGTGTTGCTCTTTGAACTTGTCCAAGCACGCAGTGCTGCAGATGCATTCGCATTCATCATTTTTGTGTGCTAAATACTGAGGAACTTCCTCTTTGGCACAAATATTACATGTGCTCGACTCGGTGCGATTCGCAAGAGTTATAACAAATTTATTTTCGTCTTCCGAGGCTTCACCTTCGGGTTCCGGTTGTTCTTCGGTTTCCGTTGAAACCGGCACTTCATCATCTTCGGCCAAGATTGTTTCTGCCTCTTTTCCGTTGAATATATCCGCGGTTTCTGCCGGCTGTGCCTCGGTTGACTCAATTTGCTCTGAATCCTCTTCACCGTCAGTTTCAATTGGATCAAAGTCCATCTGCGAATCCTCGGGTAAACTATTCTCCTCGGCGACATCTACAAAGTTGCCTTCCAATAACTCTCCAGGAGGTTTCACACTGAGTGTTATCCGGTCGGGATCCGTATCAATATCTACCTTGTCCTCAACGTTTTCAGCAGTTTCTGAATCATCATCACCCTCAATTTGATTTTCAGCATCCTTCATGAGAGGGTCTGCAGCGGCAAGATCAGGAGGCCCATCATTACTGTCATCTTTGCTTGTTGGATCAACTTCTTCAATTGGATTAGGATTGCTTTCATTTTCATCTCTGCTATTTTCATCCAGCAGCACTGAATCAAAACCGCCACCTTTGACTTTTTCATCGTTTTTGTCACTGTCTTGCTCCTGAACATCCATTGCTTTAGGTATATCTACAATAGGATCAGTATCACCTTCAAATTGAACATTCTCAGTTTCAGTATAGAATGTCTCAGGTATATCCACAATTTTATAATTTACATCATCCAATTTCTCAGCTACATTATCTATTAATTCTGCAATTTTTTCTTCATCATCCAAATTACTTTTACTTGTTTCTTTCTGATCACTTTCATTATTCTTTTCTTCATTATCAATGCTCAATTCTTTAATAACAACATCCTCAATTAATTTATCTGAATCACCTTCACATGTAAATGTTTGAATTGCTTGTGGTGACTTTGGTTCTGATGTGGTAGGAACAGAATCCTTATCAACATCAGTTTCAATTGTTGTAGTGAGTGGAGCCAATGAATTTATATCACAATTTATCATTTCTTGTAGTACTTGCTGTTCAGGTTCCACAGTTTTAGATTCTTCTGGGTTCGTTAGTTCTGTTACGTCCGTCGTGGGTACTACATCCTGAACGGGGTCCATTCTGATGGCCTTTTAGCCCTTTAAACTATTTAAAAAAAAATTAGGACCAAGCATACATTTATATAGAAATATATATATAAAAGGTTATGTAAAATAACATAAATAATTAACTAGTGGATGAATATACCATTTAAGAATTATAATCCAGTATTTTCTTACTTATTTAATTACGCCGAACCAATTCATCTGAATAATCAACAGTTACAGTAAACCGACATGATAAGTAGTTAGAGCGCACATAACCTCTATTTTCACAAGCGGTGGAAGCATTATTTGGGGACGCTTCATTACTGCGCATGTGCAGTAAGAATATTTTTAAACATTGAGGAGCGTTTGAATTCAGGATGTATAGAGTCCGGTGCGCTTTTATATTGCGAATAGTTTACTTACCTACCAGTTTTGCCATACAAATATGAGATGTGTTGCTTGAAAAAACTTGTCTAAAACTTTATACGCTTTAATGTACGTTGCACATAATTAACCGACATTCTCTCTACGCGCCCAGATTCGTCTGTACGTATGTACCTACCTGTTTGTTAAAAAACAACAAATACCAAAAGGCTATAAGGGACTTATATGCCACCACCACACACAATAAATATCTATATTTGAATTGATTTTTTTTGACTTCACACTGGTATCTATAGAATAACCACGAACACTGTTCGTCCCCCAACCAGTGATTTTATAACCGCGTTTTACGGATCTGACGTAGTGTTGCACTACTCCACGCCACCTTTGATAACTAATTAATATGTTTTTTTCTCATCTTTGATACACTACAATCTAGCAAATGCATATCATATTTTATTTCTATTCCTCTTAAAAGTTGAGATAAGATGTTGCAGCAAAATTCGTACGCAACGTGATTCGGGTAAATACTTGCGTCCACGTGTTTGAAAGTCGAAAATTGCATTGATCACGTACACCCTTCAAGTCTTGAAGTTGTATTCGCATAGTGCTAGGCCTTTATGTTACTTCTCGTGATACACCTGTGATTTGAACTACAATAAGTTATTTAATTATTTGTTATTATGAATGATTCGTGTTTAAGTGCCGTTGCCTGGAAAATCCTTATAAGATTTGTTTCAAGAATTTAACTCTTCAACGTTACCACGCACGATTTGCACTGCTGCAATCTGTTCTATTACACGCTTTTATGCAGTCCCCTTGTTTTTCTTACGCCTTCTCCCTTTACCCTCCGCCTTCAATACTATGATGACACACTGCATTGCGCGCTAACGCGCACACGTATGAATTTGCAACTGGCGCGAAATGTTGATCGTTATTGGCAATTTTTATTTCATCAGACATGATTATTTCAACGAAATACACACTTACAGAATATACACACATTTACAGTATGTAAAGTACCACTTTTTTGTGTCTAAAAACCGTGGATAAACTGGAATTGTGCGAAATACAAATTAATGGGCAAATTCATCTCTTTAATGATTTTCTCATATTGCAAATATGCACTCATTGCAGCGCAGCATATACTTTGCTAATGGCAGGTAGTGTTACATACCTTCCTACACATTTTTTATTCAATTCGATGCACAAACAATCCGAATATTGTGCTTGTATTTATTTTTTTGTCCGAAACATAAATCTTAGCATGTCATGACAACAACCAAGTACATTGACTGCCTGTCACAGTCATTTTTACAATAATATTTTTGGTTTTTACGGTGGAAAGATTATAATTTGAAAAAAATGTTTATATATATTTACGTACTTGTTTATTGACCTCCTGAACACCTGCTTAAAGCGGAGAAGGTAAGCTTACTATAGTGGGTATTTCACTTTAAGCTGAGTTTACATGTGCGCAAATATGATCAGTAATTGAAAATGAAATGAATGTGTGTTTTTGTGAGGACTTGCAAGTTAAGGTGAGTGATGCGCACAGTTTCCATTCAATTTGATATCATTTTAAAATGCTTTCGATTCGCGTGGTAAAAAAAATGGAATAGGTCTGCATGTTTTGGGGCCCCGCTCAATACCTGTCAACCTTTCAAAATTGTTTCAAAATTAGACCATTATTTTTATTTATACAGACCGTTTTGCATCATCATCATGAGGAAGCGACCGGGAACATCGCGCTCTCGAAGCCCATCACCAGCACCAAAATCAGCGCGACTGTATACTTGCGGTGAAACAGAATCAGCTTGCGGAGACATATCAGAGCGCAGATCAAGTGGAATCCAAGTACTTCTTCGTGCCGGAGTAAGTCGTTAACGCGCTCTTGATTACAAATTACTAATATGATGATTGCAGGTTGCTTCACCAACTAATGACGAAAGACGCAGTGCAATCCAACAATTGGTGCTTGCTGCAGTTAGCGGTTCAGCCCAACTAATAAGTATGTTGAGGAGAGCAGTAGGAGCGATCGCCACTGTTCCTATGACGGTTGCTTCAGCAGTCGCCATCGTATCAAATACATGCGCTACTTGTGCAAGTCATACAGCTACAACTCATACAGTCATACAGGATACACCTCCTACTACATGTGAAGCTACTGATACTGCAGAGGCAATACCTGAAGCTAGGGAGTCATCAACAACTGATATGACAGTTGCTATATACAGGACACCGATGGTCGACTCAGTGCATGTGGGGACTTCCACGGAGGCAATTGAAACAGCATGCAGAGCTGTACCGGAATGTGCTAGTGTTCCTCTTGTGCAACAATTCCGAAATGAAACTTTTGAGATTTATGATTCTTCTAGTTCAACAAGTGGACTTGTATTAAATATATAAATATTTTGCCAATTTATTTAGTATGCGCATTTTTTCTGTTTCTACAGTGTAGAGTTTCTACACTATACTTATTTATTTGTTGGTTTGGATTTGCTCTGCGAATATTTAGTTCAGTAATTGTGGAGTTTAGTTATTTGTTCTGTTTATATACCTATCTGTTTGACTCAAGTGTAAATTATAGATACTAATATTTTTAGAACATGGCTTACAACTTTTATATTTATTTCTGCATTAAAAAGCAAATTAATGCAAATGTTTATTAAATGCCGATTATACATTCAGATGCCTATTAGCATTATATAATTAAAGTGTAGTAGGTATAAGGTACTCTCATTGAAAAATATGTAGGAATATGTAAATCACAATTTCACTTAGCTAAACAGTAAAAAATACTAGAAAAACAAAAAGGTTTAACTGTTATATTTATTATATCAATCAACATTTTTTAGAGATATTTAAATAGGGAATTCATACTTTAAATGGCATGCATCCACACTCAAGTATGGCAAGAAAACGTCAAGCTTATCTAAAAATGTAGCAAATACTTTAAAAAGTATACCTACAACTAACAAGCGTCCAATCAATGAATTGTAGTTGTTTTTGTGCACATAATGCTTATCCAGATAATTGGCTCGAAATATGTGAACTATGAAGCCCGTTTGAATAGTTGTCTACAAATGGCTATATAAACCTATTCATAACTTCACATTTTACGATATCACATTCAATTCAAAGTACACAAAAAGTATCAATATGATTACTAGGTGCTGTTTGGCGTTAGCGTTTTTGAGCTGTATTAATGCTCAAATGTACTCACTTGGTAGATGTAACAGGAAAGTGGAGACAGTTGAAAACTTTGATCCATCATCGGTAATTTAAAAAAAAAAACTAGAATATAATAAAATAATTAAAATTTAATTTTCCATTTTCATTCAGTACGCTGGTAAGTGGTACGAGTATTCTCGAGCATTCTTAATCTTCGAGGCGTTGGGAAAATGCGTGACGGCTACTTACACCCTTCGAGATGACGGTAAAATCGACGTCCTCAATGAAATGTGAGTTGTGTGTTTCGTTTAACTTTATATTACCTAAAACTCTGACAAAATCCAACTTTAGGCAACGTTTTGGCCGCACACAATCAGCGCAGGCAATCGCCGTCGCAGATTCCGATGAGGATTTACAGGCTGGTAAACTGCGAGTTTTCTTTAATACCACAGTCAGATTTCCATGTAAGATTAAAGTGGATTTTTCATTTGGCTTTTTTCATTCTTATTCTTATTATTTTTTCAGTTGGAGGACCCTACTGGGTCTTAGCAACTGACTACGACAGCTATTCTGTTGTGTATTCTTGTACCAGCACGGCAATTGGTAAATTCCACAATGCCTGGATCTTGACACGAGATCAAGTACCAAGTGACGACATTATCGCAGAGGCAAATAATGTTTTAAAGGCACGGAAGATTCGAATCAGTATGAGAAAAACTCCGCAGGATTGTACAGACGGTGAAGATGGTGGTGATGGTGATGGTGATGGTGATGGAAATGAAGAAAATACTGAAACAGATAATGAGTAATGCGACATACAGTAAAAAATCTACTTTTAATAATTTGTTTTTATTCTCAACCACAATAATTACTAAAGATCTGTAATTGGCAGACTAATAGCAGTTTCTGACAATAACAAAATATATTTAAAACTCACACGAAAATTGTAATTCACTGGTTTAAAAATAAAATATAATAAAACTATTTGAAAAAAGATGAATTTCATATTCGCAAAAAAAGGTAAGGTTACTACAGAGTTATGCAACTAATGCAACAATATTACTAAATGTCAATTAAAAAAAAAATGACTAAATTTGACTTAAAATTTAAATTAGCCTTGGATATCAAACATTTGAAAACGATGAATATAAATAACTCTTATTTTATATCACAAAATTGTCACGTCATCTACGCACCGCCACGAATCGCTCTCAACAATCCCCATATCATGTCGCACATCATGGAGTAAGTATATAATCGTCAATAAACACATTTCAAAAAGTGCGGATGATTGCAAATGATTTGAAAAAGGCGCGTGGCGCACGCGCACAGCTGGCAAATGCATTCACTTTCTACACCGTCATGCTGGGGCCGCGGGGGGCGCTTGGCAGCGCTGGGACATCGCGGGCATCGCCAAACAGCTGTCAAACCTCAGTGATGCGACGATTCTGTATGTGCTTGCGTGTTGCGTGCCACCGCCGACCATCGCGTCCCCCAGTGCCCACCAGCGGGTAAACAAGTCAGAATCTTGCGCCTGGTCGCGCTGGAGTGCCAACCGTGATGAGATGCGCGTAGCGCAGTGATCAGCCGCCGCCCCCCAAAAATTGCACGCGCTCTTCACTACTGTGCGCAACGTAAGCCTCTATTTGTTGTGTCGCGCAGGCTGCTGAAGTCCTTGTTGACCATGGACTACCTCGGCGATAGTGCCGGTCTTACCTCGGAGCAAACGGACAAGGTGCTACAGTTTCAAGACCTTACCGGTGTCGAGGACATTTCTATTTGCCGCGACGTCCTGCAGCGTCACCAATGGAGTCTCGAGGTCGCCGTCCAGGAGCAGCTCAACATCAAAGAGGGTCGCCCATCGGTATACGCTAGTGAGGCGCGCCCGCCGGCCGTCATCAGCGACCACCTCGCCCAGCACGTGTTCTACTCCCCGCCCTCCGACGGCAGTGCCAGCGGTTTCAAAGGCTTCCTCCGCAACGTCATACGTGTCTTTTTTAGCCTCTGTTACAATAGTCTCCTATCATTATTTAGTACTGTATTTAGAATATTTGGTGCTACCGAAAGAGCCCGTAAGTATCTCGGTAACTCTGCTTTTTATATCAGCTGTTAATTCAATTTGGCCCGACAATTTTTTAGCACTAACAAATCCATTACAAGATGTAATGACCTTCATACAGTCGTACGACGAGAAGTACACATCGCAGCATCCGGTCTTTTACCAGGGCACCTACTCGCAGGTGCTCAACGATGCGAAGCGCGAGCTCAAGTTCCTGCTCATCTACCTGCACAACGAGGATGCTGTCGACACCGCGCGATTTTGTCGCACCACCCTGGCGAACACAGCGGTGATCAACTATGTCAATCAGCATTTCTTCTTTTGGGGTTGCTCGACGCGTTCGGGCGAGGGATACAAGGTGTTGCAGCTGTACCGCCCGACCTACTATCCGTACCTGAGCGTGGTCGTCCTTAAGGAAGGTCGAATGACAATTGTTGCACGCATGGAGGGCTACTGTGCCGCAGAAATGCTCCATCAGCGACTTGCGACGATAGTGCATGACTTTGAAGCAAATCTGGTAACGGCGCGAGCGGACCGCATGGAGCAGAGCCTCAATCGGTCATTGCGCGCTCATCAAGACGAAGCCTATATGGAGTCATTGCGCGCCGATCAGGAGAAAGAGCGGCGTCGTGAAGAGGAGCGACGCGTTGCCGCCGAGATACTGCGACGAGAGGAGGAGGAACGTCTTGCGGAACAAGAGCGGAAGATGAGCATTGCGCGGGAGAAAATTGAATTGGTGACGAAGGTGCCGAAGGAGCCGAATCTCGATCATCCCGATGCCGTGCATGTCGTCATTAAACTGCCGTGCGGGACGCGGCTCGAACGACGGTTTCTAAAAACACATTCCTTAGAGGTGCGACAATTCCTTCACATGTTGATTGCAGCTTGAATTTACAGCGTGTTTTTGTTTTGTTTTAGGCGATCTTCTACTTTGTGTTCTGTCATCCATCGGCTCCGGACGCTTTCGAGATAACGCGCAATTTCCCGAAACGGGTATTGAAATGCCGAGCAACATCTTCAAATTGCAGCATACAGACGATTGATGAAGCCGGTTTGTCGAATCGCGAGGTACTATTCGTCAACGATCTCGACGCGTAGCGAGCAGCCACGGGGTGGGCTGTTGTATAAATGAGGTGCGTAATAAACGACATGAAAATTAGGCAAACGAGCATTTCAACATATTCTCTTTTATAACGTGTTTTTTTTTTTGGTTAAATTAACGAACGGTCAATAATTGGTAATTTCTATGGCACAAGTGCAGCATCTTTGGTTATGTTATAGGATTTTCTTTCTTTTTTTTTGTACTGTTACTGATAATTACTAATCGTGTCTTAATCTTCATATTTCGATTATGAAACTACTAGATGTATTTCACTTTATCACCCACTAGAGGTTTAATGAGAATTACTTTGCATATTACATAGATATATTTATAACAGTTTATACTTGGTTTACTTGACTTGGTTACACTTTGTTGTATTTTTCTCTGGTGTCGGCGCAAGTTTTGTACCGCGATGGAAATATCGAATTAGTGTGCGCGTAGGCGACACAGTTGTATCAAAGCATATAGGTTGTTTTACTGCCTAAATAATTATCTAAATAAAATTCGAGTTGCATTTACATTTTTTACATTTTACACAAACACGGTGGTTATTTCTAGGTGGTAACGCAAACTCGTGGCTAAATATAAAGCAGACCAAAGAACAATAACCTTTTCAAGTTTTCTTTTTCTTTTTTTTTGTTCCTTTGTATCAAAGTACCGAAATAGAATTGTTGTTAATAAGAGTATGACATAAATGTTAAATCTGCTGCGAAGTATAAATACCTACGTTTTTGTTGTTTCTTGCATTGTGAAGCGTATTTTCATTAGAAAATAAACTTTTATCTTCGATAAATATGAGCCTTGCCGTTTTTGTGGCTTCATTTGGGTTTGTAACTAAATACAAACTTTACCGCTTTTATGCATTTGAAAGTATAATGGTCAGAGGGAGATTCTACATTCCTGAACCAAAGAGGCAAGCCCAGGCCCAACTGAAGACTAACAGGACTTTGCTGCTTTGTGTTTAGACTCTGTTGTGGGCCGAATATAGAACGAAGAAACTCCATAAAACCTGAGCAAATGCTAAGACTACGAGAACAAGTAGCAACATACTGAATTCTTGGGGAAAGTATCTTGCATTTCTTTAATATTTCAGCCATTTTCGGCAGCTGCAGACGGCAGGTAAGCCGCCTTTGTTGCAATAAAAAAAAAATAGATGAACTTTTAAGTGTTGTCCTAAGCTAAGCCTCAGAAAATTCCCAATGACAACGTTCCAATCGCGAGAATACATTTCCAAACAAAAAATATATAATAGTGCATAATTTTTATTCAAATATTCTAAATGTGATCGTACCTAAATCAATGAAGAATCGTGAAAGCCTTATCGATGAAGTTTACTCATTTTACGGCTGTTAACTTAAAATTCACTTTGGGGTTAAATAACAATTAGAATAAAACGTTCTTTAATTAATTTACTGCTATTTTATTAGGTTTATCCATTTTAAATATTTTGTGACTAACGAATATTTTACGTTTTCTTCGTTTTGCGACTGGCCAAAAAGTTTGAAAATGCATTGGCGTCACTGTCAGACAGTGGTGCCATCTTCTTCATATTCACTAGAAAGCCCCCAGAAAAACAAATCAAGGACGGGTGTCAGTAGTATAAAAAGGCAGGTGTAAACAAATTTGTAATTTGTGAGGTGTTTTGTGTTGGCGCCGCGCCTGACAAGTGTCTATTAGTTTTATCAATAAACCTCGCACCCCGAGGTGTGCGTGAACATGGAAACCAAGCAGACGCCCGCCGCTGCTAATTTCTGGTGGCTTAAGACGTCGGCTCCGAGCTCCGGCGGTGGTAGACAAAGCGAGCGGGACACTTCCAGCTCGCTTGCTGAGTACCTGGAGCACGAGCAAGAAGCCGAAGAACTCGAGGACGACGTTGACATCCCCAGCATTCTAGAGGAGATTAGTCGGCTCAGTGCTAAGAGTCCACTTGGTCAGTATCAGAAAGATATTGGTCAGCTTTCAATTGATGAGATTATGAGAGAGGCGGAAAAGATTTATATGGAAAGCTCAAAAAGCTTTGAACAGTTGAGCCAACGTTCAAAGACTTCGAATTTCTCGGACGTGAGCGAGAACGGAAAGTCGGATCATTCCACGCCCACACCAAAGAGTTTAAGCCCTCTACCCTTGGATGATAAGTCTCAAGCCAGCACCAGTGATAGTGATACTGAATCATTAAAAGCAGTTGAGGTGAACATACAACCAAAAGAACTTACCACACAGTCTATTGTGCTGACTGAGGCTGACAACTACAGCATGGAGTTTGATTCAAATACAACACTTGATGCAACCAAAATCAGTATTACAAGTGATAAGATGAATGGAAAAAGTGGATCTCAAAAACAGTCTAATGTCAGCAGAAGTTCAAGTGTACAGAGTCTTGGCGAGAAGCAAGTGTCTCTAAACTCAGAACTTGCTGTACACTCTGAAAAAGAACTGGTGCTACAAGGCTTGCAACATCAACATGATGATGAATTGGACAAGAAGGATGGGGTGATCAAAATGCTGCTCAATGACAACAAAGGACTCAAAGACGAACTACGAATCACACTTGTAAGTAAATAGTATTTAGTGATCAGTCAATAAACCGGACAGTTTGTGTTCGTGCCGATTAAATGGCGGCAACCGCTTTCGCGACCACGCGCAGCGCGGCGAACGCTTCAGTTGCAGTTGGTTTGATGTAATTCGCTGGCAGGATGAAACCGTGGCGGCCAGTATCGCGTAGCTCGATCGTGTAGGCATACTTCATTTTGATTGAACCCTTTGCCCAGTCGTCCGAACCACCAGAGGCTGGATACAGGGTTATTCCCGATGAGCCCACGGTGTAACTCGGTCCACCAGCATCACGAATTGCCTTAAATTGAGCAAACAAAGTTAGAGATTTGAATTATTTTATTGGAACTATTTTTCTTACTTGAGCTGCAGCTTTTGCAACTCTGCTCATATCTTGATAATCGCTTGTTACAAACTTGTCGTAACCCCATGGATACAGAATGTATTGTCCGTATGAATGGAAGGAAACGTAGCCTTGCCAGTTGGCTTTCGTGTAGGTAATAAAGTTACGAATTGCGTTGGACTCTGGTTCAGAGAAGGGCCCGGTACCCGCGTAGATCTCTTGACATGGATTGTGTCCACTTCCGCGACCGCCCCATTTATATCTGTAAAAAGTAACGTTTTGAGAGTAGACTAAGATACGATTTGTGTGTGATTATATAAAAATTACCCGAAGTTGCGATTTAGATCAGTACCGTGACACTGTCCATTGTACGCTCTATTTTTCCTCCATAATCGGTCAGTCTCGTGTGAATACTCATAACCATCGGGATTGGCAACTGGCAGAATATACCAGTCTAAATTCTGCAAATCATTCGGTAACGAATCGAAGTTCAGTACCAAATCATTGATTATGTATGAAACTGATGCGGGTGAGATCCATTCGCGTGCATGCATGCCACCATCGACGAAGATGGCTTTGTTACCCGACTTTCCATTCGAGATCTTGACGAGCTTAAGCGGGCGCCCTTTGTGGCTGGTGCCGATCACCTGCGTACTGACCAGATTTGGATATGTCTGTCCTAAGTAGTCCAGGTAACTGTGAATGGTGCTTACGCGGTGGTAGGAATTCCAAGTCATCTGATGACCTAGAGAGCAAACAACGCAGTGTTAATTTGGATTGTTGACGCATCTGAATCTCAATCAAGTGCTGTTAATGCATGTGGTGCACATGGTGCATACAAATAATTGGTTTAAACTTTGAGCGATCGTAATGCATGTTAGTCACATAAGTAATGCTTGATGAGGTCATGTACGGACCCAAATTTGCAACTGGCCATAAGTCAATGCCATTGCCCGTGGCGAGATAACCATTGCCTGGCACTTTTCGCACTGGAAAATCACTCAACGCTTTTAATCAGTACAAGTTAAATTTAATTAAATGCATTTGACACTTGCCTTGCCTGTTCTCTAACTCGTCATCTTCTTGTACCGGGTTTTCTTCGTCAATGGCTTTCTGGACGTCTTCAATGACGACCTCGTAGTTGATGGTGTTGCTAGCCAAACTTTTTAGCACGGTGTCCTTTGAATCTGGGCGCACCAAAATGTCCACTGCAGTTTGATTACCACCCCACATGGAAATATCTAAAATAGTAAAATAGGGAGAATTATTGTTTGCGTTCAAAAAGAATTGTTTTCCTATCCTACCACGTGTATCTCTCAATTTTCCTATGATTTTCTTCTTATCCTTTGAATCCAGGACGACTCGCAGCAGTTGACTGCCGTCATAAGAAACTCTGGCTTCTGGTACCGCTTCAGGTGTATATTCTTCTTCAATTTCGGCGATTTTTAAACCCTTTGGAAGAGATTTTGATTTGATATCTTCATCGGTGTGGGTTTTGGTAATCTCCTCCGGATGTATGTCATCGTTGAGGGTAGGGTCTCCTTCTTCGATGGACTCTTCGACAGGCTTTTCTTTTGCTACTTCCTTATTAGGTTTGGCAAGCACTGCGGTGGAGACCACAAGGGCCAAGCTCAAAACGAGAATCAACTTCATACTGCAGTCTCGCGACACGACTACATTACATTTCAGTCGTGCGCCTTTTATAGCAGACTTCTCTCACCCGACTCGCCGCTCGTTATTCTAACGAACTGATTTTTGTTGAAAAACATTTTAAAGCACTTCGATGACCTGTCGTTTGCTTAGCCTCGCGAACTATTTGCTGCGGGTTTATTTGGGGCAGTGGGCAACCACTTTTTTTTTATAGTTGTGGGGATCTTGTTTTCTGCAAGTTGTTCGCTCAAAATTGATATTCTGATTCGTTATCTCATAGTGTCATGTGGGCCGTTGTGAGATGAGACTAATAAACAGCGGCTAACGAACGGTCAAGTTCAGGCCGATTTGCATAAACGCGTAAACTTTCCGCCCGACTTGTGGGAATGTTGTTTTTATGTCCCGCACTCCAACTGGTTTTTCGGTTTATTGACCAAAACTGATTTCCGATGTTGACGCATAATGACTATGTTTTACGTTCTTGTCCGCTCCGCCAGCACGAACTTAACGATCTCAAGCAACATCAGCGGACGTTGGGCGCCGCTGAGTTGGCCAACGCACTCGAGGTGCTCAAAGATACGCAGGAGCAGAAAACTGCTCTGCAGCTGCAGTTGGAGGCGGCCAACAAGTCGCAGGCCGACCTGCGATCCACCTGCGATGAGCTGCTCACGGCGAATAATATTCTTGAGCGGCGCGTCATCGACCTGGATAGCGTGCTCTCCAAGTACAAGGCGGACCTGAAAGCGATCCAGACTATTCGCGACAAGCTCAAGGAGAACGAATTCAATGCGAATAAGCTCCTGGATCAGGAGCGCGCGCAGGCGAAACAGTTTAAGCAGCAGGTCGAGAAGGACGCTAAGTGCATCATGGATCTCAATCGGCAGATTAAGGAGATGGAGCGTATAATTGCTCGCAAACATCCGGATTCGGTATCCGCTCTAATCGTTGCATCCAAGTACGACGAACATGGCGCGCGAAAAATGTTTGAGGAGAGAATCAAGAGTTTGGAACAAGAGGCACTTATGCGCGATGCACAGAATTCCAAAGTTTTCAAGGACGTGCAGGAGAAGTTCAACCAGATGAAGCTCAAATACGAAAGTCACATCGAGGATTTGGAGTTGCACGTCAACGACCTGAAGTCTCAGCTCAAGCGGAAGGGTGACACTTACGATGTATACACACAGACGAGGGAGTATATTAATGAAAAGATTCCTGCGAAGGACACCACTAATCGAGAGTCTCAAACTGAACCGGTACACAATGAGCGAGGGACAAAGGCGGCCAAAAAGGCCGAGCCCAAGGAGGATGCACATTTGCTAGCGACAATACGCGGTTATCAAGCTGAAGTAGTGGCGAAAGAAAAGATCATTCTTAAAGCTCAAAAGGATCTGGACGAGCTGAGGAAAACCAATAGAAGACTGCAGAAGGAACGGGAGGGCTCTTTAAGGACAAACTTCGGCGAGAAGAAAACTTCGGCGGAGAACAAAACCGCTTTGATGACGTATACTTCACCGCCGCCGTCGGTGGGTGATGAAACCGACACTTCTTCCGGCGGAGAAAACGAAAAAATTAAAGCACAGCTAGCTCGGGTTGAAAGTGACTTCCGAGCGTTGAAGGCGAAGCGTTTACAGGATGTATGTCTTTAGAATTGTTTGTAGTAAATGAATCTATAAGTGATCAATGTTGTCTTTATAGTTGAATACGTTACAAGAAGCTCACGAACGCGAGATGAGTAACTATCTCGCGAGCGTAACACCCCTGCGGGAAAAACTCGAATTGCAAGCGGTTAGTTTAACAACACTCCAACAGCAACTGATGTCTGCGAAGGAGGAACTTGCTGTTGTGACTGTCGAGCGGGATCATCTGAACAATAAGCTCAATAGTGGTGTAACCACTTTGTTGCAGGATTGCAACTTTGACAATGGCAACGAAAACGAAACCGTCTCATTGCGCAAGAAGGTTGGTGCGCTTTACAATCATCCAGAATAATGCACTGTGTGTTTGTATTTGTCCTTATTGCAGGTAAATGTATTAGAAGTAAAGTATGAGGAGCGGGAGAACCGGTTGCGCTCGATAGTGCATGGTCTGGCTCAGAAGACGATAACCAATCGCACCTGCGAGCAGTGCGCCGAACGCCAGCAGCAGTTGGTAGGCTACAAATTGGAGTTGGACCAAATTATCGCGACCTTGCGATGTCTGCAATAAGCTAGCGCAAGGTAATTTTATCGTATTCGATTTAGTGATCCCCATACTTCTTTTACACGCATATTTTTATTATATTTATTATATTGGTTATACATGTGTGTTTAACATTTTTAAAGTTTTCAACTATAGAATTTCTTTGAATCTAACCCCACTAACACAACTACGTATATACGTCGCAACTTGATAAAATGTATGGTATAGGAGAGTGCATTTAACACTTTGCTAACAGTGATACATTTACACTACTGGATACTGAACTACGTACTGGGTACAACAGGACACGATGACGATCAATATGAGATATTTTAGACAACTCTCACAATATAATTGGAAGGTACATAGAGCATAGCGTTAGGTCGTCGAATGTTGTTTATAGACTTTTGTTGTTCTTGGCGCGCGAAGAATGTTTTGCACGCGTTATGCAAGGTTGTGGTCTTAGAACACCTTGTTCAGTTTGACAGACATGAAGTCTCGTAGTTGGTTTATTCTGCAAAACATTAAGATTTAGTTAAACCAGTTACGCAAAATTGAAACTAATGTCTTACTTCTTGTTGTTGGCTTTGTTGATGATCTGACCCAGCAGAATTACAACGAGAAGTGCTTTGGTGACTGTGATGGTGGTGTTGGACCATTCGTCACTTACTTGCTCGATTGGGCCCATGAGGGCGTCTCGATGATTGCGTTCGGTGCGCTCATTGGTGCGGATGTTAAGTCTCTCGGTGATATCGTCACGACGTTCTTCCATGCGCTCGCGACGGTCATCTGTGCGTTCACGCCGGTCTTCTGTGCGTTCGCGCCGGTCTTCCATGCGCTCTCGTCGGTCGCCCACCCGCCCGCGGCGATCTTCCATGCGTTCGCGACGGTCTTCGCTGTGGTTCTGCCGGTCCTCAATATGGTCGCGGCGGTTATCTGTAGGTTCCCGACGATCGACCATTTGTTCGCGCCGGTCTTCCATCCGCTCACGACGGTTTTCCATGCGCTCGCGACGATCTTCCATGCGCTCGCGCCGGTCTTCCATGCGCTCTCGCCGGTTTTCCATCTGCTCGCGGAGGTTTTCTGTGCGTTCACGAAAGTCTCCCAGCTGCTCGCGCCGGTCATCCATGCGTTCGCGCCGGCTTTCCATCTGCTCGCGCTGGTTTTCCGTGTGTTCACGACGGTCTTCCAGTCGCTCGCGACGATTGTCCATCCGTTCGCGGCGGTCTTCCATGCGCTCACGACGGTCTTCCAGCGGCTCTCGGCGATCATGCATGCGTTCTCGGCGATCTTCCGTTCGTTCGCGATGATCTTCATTGCGCTCACGTCGATCTTCCAATGGTTCTCGGCGGTCACTCATGCTTTCTCGCCGATCTTCCAATCGTTCTCTACGGTTTTCCATTCGTTCTCGGAGATCTTCATTGCGCTCACGTCGATCTTCCAGTGGCTCTCGGCGGTCATGCATGCGTTCTCGGCGATCTTCCGTTCGTTCGCGATGATCTTCATGGCGCTCACGTCGATCTTCCAATGGTTCTCGGCGGTCACTCATGCGTTCTCGGCGATCTTCTAGTGGTTCTCGGCGGTTACTCGTGCGTTCACGTCGATCTTCCAGTGGTTCTCGGCGATCTTCCGTTCGTTCGCGAAGATCTTCACTGCGCTCACGTCGGTCTTCCAGTGGTTCTCGGCGGTCACTCATACGTTCTCGGCGATCTTCTAATCTTTCTCCACGGTTTTCCGATCGTTCGCGGTGGTCTTCAATACGCTCACGACGTTCTGTCAGTGATCCCCTTCGATCTTCTAAAGGTTCTCGGCGATCTCGGCGGCTTTCCATTTCTTGGCGGCGGTCTCTTACTTCCCGATGAACCTGAGACTCTACCGCTCGCTCACGACGTGTTTCAACATCTCGACGTTCTTGGCGCTCTTGAACGTTTTCCCGGTCAAGACCTTCACGGCGCTCCTCGCGTTCCTCACTGCGCACACGTGGTACTTCGCGTGCCATGCGATCATTCCGCGCTAGGCGTCGTCCTTGTCGTGATTGTCGTCCTTCATTTTCGCGTCGATCTCTGGCGTCTTCCCTTTCACGACGGTCTCCACGTTCTGTTTCTCGCTCGCGAACGTTTCCGTCCTCACGTCGTTCTTGACGCTGCAGACGGTCTTCGTTATTCCGGATTTGGCGAATTCGTGTATCTCGGTCTTCAACACGCTTAGCTTCATCTACTTCAATTCGAGAATCTCGGCCAATGCTTCTTCGCGAATCGCAGGTCTCACCTTCGATTTGATCACGCCTCGCTACATTCTCATTTCTAGTTCGTCTATCCAGGGTGTCAGCATTATGTCGTCTATTTTCTCTTTCCCTTATTTGGTCCTCGCGTGTTATGGCAATGCGCGTGTCGCGCTCCGCAAACCTGTCATCTCTCAGGGGCGCCCTGATAATTTGCGCTTCTCTGTAAACCATGCCTTTGTCAAACGCACCTCGTTGCTCGTCCGCCAACCGTACCACATCATCTTCACGATTCTTCATTGTGCGCTCGCCTCTCTCCATGAAGCCGGCCGCCGACGATGTCCAAAATATAATTAGAAACATTACCATGCCATAATATCTGTTTTTACCATTCTTCATCATGACCTGCATCTTGCTCTGGAGTGTGGAAATAAAACTATTGTAGGTTTGAATTTCTTATGTAGTGACTTGTATAGTTGAATCGGTTGAGAAAAAGTTTACGGATTGCGATTAGACTGCCGACTGCTTGTTGTGCCTTCGTCGAAACACCTTCTAATGCTTCTTCGGCCACAGCCGCCTCTATTTATACCAAGGGACTGGCGTGTCCTGACGTGTTGCATGTGCGGGCAAAATCCATTTCACGCTTGAACGGGCGCATAACAATTTGTCACGTGGCGCAAATGCGTTTTATCAATCGGGGTGCTTGTGCCACACCGCGGTCTGCGGCAATGTGATAACGCGAACTCATTATTACAATCGTAATTGAACATATGGGCCTCCTGCGAAGACGTGCGTCACAACTTTTCAGCACCTCTTCGCACACTATAAATCCCACACCCACTTAGAATGTCTCTCATTTTCATTGATTTGATTTACCTTCTGCGCCCTCGCCCCCTATCACTCACCAATTTGTCGAGATGTTACGCGCCGGACACTTACTAAACATGTGCGTTGATTGTTGCAGAGTCGATTAATTGTGTTGTGTGCCAACTGCCAATAGCAATAGCTATCTTACACGTACAATTATACAAGCCATTAGATGATAATAATTCTGCAGGTGAAGTTGAACGTGAGTAGAATAAGTAAAGAAATGTGTCTAGTCAAGGTATATATTTATTAATAGAGATGTGTATATTATATTACTATGCATGTTTTATTAGATTGTCATCAGCGAAATATTTGTTCGCAACTCCACTTGCTCAACATGTTTTTTATAAGCCTCCAGCATATGTTCGACGCCTTTGATCACCCACAGGAAAGATCAAATCATTCACAATGGAAATACCATTTACGCAGGAATAGGTCGCCATACTTGAACTGCTATTCGTGCGTTCTAAACTGTCTAAGGGTTGCATCACGTGCCCAATTTTTTGTAATTTCATCAGTATTTTTTCATCGAACCCTTCTTCAAATTCTACAACCATTGGGTTCAGTTGATGGTGCAATCTTCTTGTGGCAATAGCTGTTTTCAAAGGAGTTCCCATATACAAGTTCTGCAATATAACAAGTGAGGTTGCGCTAAGGATTTTAAAACCACCAGCTGCTCCTATCACAAGGCGAACACTTCCCTTGCGTAGATCCAGGACGATTGTTGGTAACATGGTAGACATTGGGTAGTGTTTGGGGATAATTTGGTTAGCTGATTGGCTATTCTTAAAATCGTAATGGTTTGGTATAGAGAAGTCAATCATTTCATTATTTAATATTATCCCAGTAGTCTCGGAAACAAACAAAGCTCCAAATGATAAGTTAATGGTAGATGTGACGGAGACAGCATCTCCATTTGGGGCATATATGCAAATATGGGAGGTGCCATGATCTTCGGCGATTGGAACCTCAGGGTTGTCCAGAAGGTAGTCCTTGGGATCATTGGAAGTACAGGTATCTTCAATCTTTGTCAAGATTTGTTCCACCAGCGCTGGGTCAACTTTAGAATCGGGTTTGTCCGCCCCCGACATCTCACCCCCGGAGTAACCCGCACGGATGCCAAAGGCGAACTTCCAGGTCTCAACAAAACGATGCCAAAATGACGCGTCCACATTGCACAGTTTACTTGCCATCACATCTAAGACGTACATTAACAGCTGCCCCGATCCAGGAATACCAGCTGAATAAATCGCATAGTTGCCTATGAAGTGCTCGACCGGTTTTTCCCAACTGGCCTTGTAGTTCCGCAAGTCTTCGCGTGTAATTATTCCTCCATTGTCACGAATATCCTGCACAAAATCATCTGTGAGACATCCATCGTACAAGGCATTTGGTCCATTCTGTGCAATTACTTCCAACGTGTCAGCTAATGTAGGGCGTTGCATGATCTCGCCAACTTTATATAAATTCTTCGTTTCTGGGTTGGTAAGCAATACCCTGCGAAAAGACAAGATACTTTACTGACCTAACAACCGCAGTACTGCACCAACTCACTTCATGCTTGTTGATTTAGAAATATCTTCCTGGATCTTTCTAATCATATCTGCCGTGTACGGAGTAACGCGTTGACCTGTGGCTGCGAGATCAATAGCAGGCCTGAACAGGTCGTACCAACTTATCTTTCCGTACCTCTTATGTGCCTCCCAGTATCCCATCAATTCACCGGGCACAGCCACAGACAATCCACCTATTGCAATATCCTTATTATCTGTTGTTTTTGGCAGTTTGGAAAACATTTCAGGGTATGCAGCCAGTGGGGCCACTTCTCTAGCGTTTAACACATCGACTTTCTGAGTGGCGGCGTCGTAAATCGACATTAGGAAACCTCCCCCGATTCCCATACTCTGTGGATTAGTGATGCCTTCACATAGAAGGGCAGCGATGGCGGCGTCTACAGCCGATCCATCATCGGCGAGGATATCTCTGTAAATGATTAAAATTGGAGGAAATCTAGGGAAAGAACGCATGCTTACAGAGCAATATTGGTGCAGATTTCCGAATTTGTGACGACTCCAGCTTTTTCGAAAACACCGAGTGTGTGATTATGTGTGTGTCTTATTATGTGGTGCGTTGGAGGCTCTTGACCATCTTCTCCCCACACGCACATTTGTAAAAGTAAAAATATGCATAAAATAAACGGCAACTTCCCCATTGTACACAATTATGACATGACAGGTTTTCAGATAGTAAAACGTCAGCGTAACAGGAAATGGAATGTGTTTATTTCTCATAGTATTTATATCGCTTCTTTTGTTTTCGCCACTTTTACAGTAACACTCGCTTAGCTTAGAATATTGTTACTCGGTTTCCGTTTTTACATTATTAATCGCGCGCTAGAACAATCAACGTGAATAAATATATAGTCAGTCCAAAGTAACACAGTAATACCACCTTTTGCTTACTAAATAAATACTAATAATAAGTAAATCAAATGAATGATTGCCATACAAATGGTACGCAAATAAACGCAGCTAACTGATAACTTTAAGCACCTGAATATCATTGGTTGCAATTCCATTATTACTGGTTGGCTTAACCCTTAACTATTGGCGTGAATTGCAATGTATTGCCCTATTTTGCTCAAGTTGCTTTTGTTTGAATCTCTCAACAATGCTAATCGTGATTTGATTGAATCAAAAATATTTAAATTTAGTGTGACTCATCTTTGGTTCAAATAATCCCAGCTGCCATAACGTCCCGAGCCGCACCTCGAGACGCACGTCTTTGACTAAGTCTAATTTGTACATTTCTTCCCATTGGCGATCACGTTGTCAGGCTGGCACTTATTTGTTGAAGCCGAGGTACAATCCTACAATGAACGTTATTACGAAACAGGCACCCACTGTGTACAGGACGATTCGCTGTTGAATGGCACGCATGAGCATTGAGTTCATGATTCGCGAAGATCGGCTCAGATCTTCGTTTGTTTCCCGTAACTATATTTGGACAGAAAACAACACGCGCATTTATATTTATCGCAAAGAAAAGATAAATGAGTATCATGTTGACTTACTCTATTTCTAGATCGTTGTATCGTCTCACGTTGGCCGTGCAAATCATGTAGGACTTTATTACCGATTTCTTGCGTTTCCAGGGCAACGCGATAGCCCTCCTCCAGACGCTTACCAGTCCGCTCAATGCGCTCGGAATTTTCCAGCAGACGCTGCTTTTGGTCACTGGCAATCCTCACGTCGTTCAAATCTTCAGCGGACTCATACCCCACCTGCTTGATGGACCTAGCTTTGATGTATTCTAGAGTTAGACGTTTTAGCTCTGCCCTGTAGCAGTCCAGCTTGGTCCTGCAGCGCTGTCTCTTGTTAGTGTCAACCTCTCTCACCTCAAGATCCATTTGTTCAAGCTACACATACAACAAGATATCTAAATTAGCATTGGAAAAGTGGATATTATTATAAAACTTGCCAATTCCTGAGCTTCTTCCACATGTTTCTCAATGTCTGATATAAGCTGTCTTCGGTCTTCTATGAATTTATGAAATAAACCAATTTTATATAGATGCAAAGCATATAGGAAAAAGATTAGAAGTCACATACTTGTGGTAGATGTGCCCAAAATACCAATTTGAGCAGTGATATCAGCAGTGAGCGTTGAATACTGCTGTTCGTAGCCGTCGAACAGGGATCCCATCTTCGTGGGAGAGCTGAACGTGGATTTACTAGGTAATGGACTGCACTTCAAAATACGTTCAAAGCCGGCGGTGCATTACTCATTCCTCGCAACGTTTGCGGGCGTCTCGCATTGCATGGACGTGGGCGCACAAGCACGGACTGAACTGGAAAACATCGTAAACACAGGAACGAAATTGGACCAGACAGCGATATTGTGAAGCCTCCAGCTGTATAATCACCTACTCATGTCAGCTGACGCTAGATGTCGCTCATTGTATTGAAGTTGATTTTGCGTTTTGCTGTTTGAGATTACATTCAGCTGTTCGATAGTGTTTTATTATTTTCTTCGATGTTGACGTGTTTTATTAATGTGTTTTAGAGTGACTTGCACGCGGCTTATCATATTTCTTTCATTTATTTTAATCAAATTAATTGCATTACATTTTATCGATTAATAGAGGTATAAATATCGGCAGTTAATGACAACAGACATCTACAGTGTTTTGCTAACCAAGAGTTACGTGTTAAATGATTATAAAACTCGTGTGTGTGTCCGACGGCTATTGGATTTGAATTGGATTTACATGTTCTTATAAGGATTGTCCTGAACGTGTTGTAAAATATTACAATCGGAAGAATAAAAGTGGTGGAAAATAATTCGTAATAATAGGGTAAGGTTTATTTTGATCTTATTTTGACGAAAATAATTGTTAAAAATGTTTGGAAGAAATTTAAATGAAAGAAAAGGTAAACAAATTTATATTCTATTCACGCAATTACACGTCCAATGTTTGTTTGTGGTGGTGTCTAAAGTCTTGCGATCTTACACCGCACTGGAATTCGACCGGTTTGTTCTTATCTCTTATTTTCAGTTGATAACATACGATAGTTGTGTATAGTTTTGTACTGTATACCTGACCGTGCGATGCCGATGCGTGTACTGTTTGCGCACGCTGCAGAAACAAAATTAGTTTCGCTGTATCCGACGGATGGTTCACACGCGTACGCTTTTTTGGATTTAGCTCGGTAACGCGTATTATATTCGATTTTCTAAGTGATTATTGATGTCTATTGTGTTTCGCTAATGATTTATTGCGTATAAAATATTCGCGGAATGCAAATATAGTGTATTTGTTCGTGAGGGAAGTGCCATCGGAAATTACCTTGGTTCTGGATTTTTGTCTTTTTCGTTTACGGTGGATGTGTTCCAGCGCTGGTACTAACAAGTAAGTAAACCCAATAATAATCTCAATCACCTTGATATAACGCATTTTCTGTTTCTGCCGGTTGTGTTTCTTTATTACCATACATACCATAGAGACGTGCGCGAATTGTCAAAAGTAGGTAATTTGTGTAATTTTTGTCATTTTGCTGTGGAAATTGCGTGCGTGTGAAATTATGCGATGCGCCGTCATGTTTACTTAAATTTAATTCTTCAATTTCAGCGAAGATGTCGGTAAAATGCGCAAATTTATATTGAAATTATAAATTCTTTTATTGCCGCCTTTTGTCTGTTGGTAGTAGTAGGTGCACCTCGTCTTCACTGGCGAGTTGCGTGCCCGTTGAGATCACGCGATTTTGTACCTCACATTGTGTTTTATCAAATTGTTTGTTTACATCCGCCAATCTCTTTGCCGTGTGAACTCACGCGCACCGATACTACTTAAGTGTATTGAATTCGGGCAGTCGCGCCTTCTCATTCGGCTTTGCGGGGACACAGTCGACTTCGGTTCGCGTACCCCCTTCGCGGTGCTTCTCGCGAGTCGCAACGACGAAGAGTTAATTCGGTAAATCGCGTTGTTTTCGATTAAGATATTGCTGCCATTTAATATTGGTATTGGTGACTAAACACCTTCTGTTATCGCGTTGAACCAGGTCAATTCTGCTGCGCTAGCGCGACAAACGTTCGAACGTTCTTACCTGCACGCGGCTCGCCACCTTTCTTTTTTTCATTTCTTTTATTCAAGGAACTGCATGACATTTTATAATCTGGTATAATTATCGACGTATTTTTATTTTTAATCGTATGTAAGGAGAGTACCGTAATAATTCAAAATTGTCGCATGCCCTCGGAAGCGTTTTCAGTCTCTCTACAGAATATCGGATTCACCGTGCAAATCGTTCCTTTTAATCGCGCGTATTTTTTCAGCTGGCATTATTCTTTTGTATTTTTAATTCTGCAATCGCATTGACAATTAAATATTGTTCCTAAATTGTTTGTAAACCGTGGTTTCAATGTTTTTCGTTTATGCATGTGCGATACCGTCGTCCGGCACATTTTACCTTGTTTGAAGTGTATCTAAAGAACGCGTTGCAAAGAAAATCTTAATTTTGCGATCAAATTAATTAATTATTTGTCAATTTATTTCGTTTGTGTATTTTTCCTATTTTCCTTCGGAAAATTTCCTTTGGAAGTGCCCTGAAATGCCCTTTAAAAATTATCATTTCTCGAAACTTTGAAAACATGGTGTGGAAAACATCCGGTATCTTGTAAACAAATTGACCTTTTTCAAGTTTCTTATCGTTATATTACAGTTCCAGAGTTTATGTACACGATGCTCATGTTGTTAACCCTCTAACCCTTCCGGAAGTGCCCTAAAATGATTTTAAAAATAGCTGTTTAAAAAAAATTATAAACATGCTGTGGAAAACACCCTGTATTTTGTGAAATAATAGACTTTCTTGAAGTTTCTTAACGTCATATTACAGTTGGAGAGTATATCTACACGGTGTACCCCCTTTCAACCCTCTAACCCTGTTGGAAGTGTCCTATAACGCCGTTCAAAAATAGCTGTTTGAATAAACAATTAAAAACATGGTGTGAAAAACACCCTGTATCTCGTGAACTAATAGATTTTTTTGAAGTTTCTTAAATTCATATTAGAGATCAAGAGTTTATCTACACGATGCATCCCCTTTCAATCCTCTAACCCTTACGGAAGTGCCCTAAAATGCCCTTCAAAAATAGCTGTTTTTAAAAAAAATTTCAAACATGGTGTGGAAAACACCCTGTATCTTATGAACTAATAGACTTTTTTGACGTTTCTTAATTTCATATTAGAGTTGGAGAGTGTATGTACACGATGCACTCCCTTTCAACCCTTTAACCCTTTCGGAAGTGCCCTAAAATGCCCTTTAAAAATAGCTGTTTTTCAAAAAAATTAAAAACATGGTGTAGAAAACACCCTGTATCTCGTGAACTAATAGACTTTCTTGAAATTTCTTACCGTCGTATTAGAGTTTAAGAGTTTATCTACACGATGCATCCATTTTCAACCACCTAACCCTTCCGGAAGTGCCCTAAAATGCCTTTAAAAAATTTCATTTTCTGGTCAAAAAACAGTGTAAAAATCGTATTTATAGTTATTTTCGATCGAATAACACGGTTGAACGCCTGATGTTTCCTGAAGTTTTCCTTTTTAAACATGGAATTTTTATTTTGTAACACCCTGTACATTTGTTTTCCTTGATATAAACAAAAATTTCTTACTTACTAAATTTCTTACTTTTATTGATTTTTAAATAATGCAATTTTACGTTTGTAACACCCTATAGAGAATTTTCCAATCTTCCAAAATCTATAATTTTCTGGTTGCTATCTCTTTTAGTTTAGAAGATATTCACAAATTGCCCATTTTTCTTATGAATTAAAATTTAATCCCTTAAATTTCCAATTTAACTAGTTTTTCTTATAGAGAATTTTTCGAAGTTTATGAATTTTCAATCTGTTCCTTTCTATTTGTAAATAAAAAGAACATGGACAATCGTAAGAAAGAGTTGAGTATTGATTATTCAATACTCGAATATTAATCTAAATACGAAATTAAATTCACGTAAATTGAATTTTATTTTTTCATTACTATTAATAATTCAAATCATAAAATAGAATTATATTGCGCATTTTTATATTTATCAGCAAACGTGGAGATTCGTGGATTTGTGTTTATTTTGAACACAACTTTCACTTTCTTATCGCATTCGCCGCGAGGAATGCTTCGCAAGAGAATCCCCTCACGCAATTCGCGCACAAGGTCGCGTGCCATCGACGTACTGGCTTTGCGCATCTATTGCATATCATAAACTGTCTCGTCGTTACTTGAACAGTTTGCAGCCAGTTTCTTGCCGGTATCTGGTTGATCCAATATTGGCGACATTTCAATGCCGCTTGCAAATTTTAATAACGCAAGAATTTTTATAAGCGGTGGGTCTCCGCCGGCCTCAAAAATCTGTGAGTTTTGTCATTTTCGTAAATTTACTTTGGAAATTGCGCGTTATTTCTGAACCGTTTGCGCTATTTTACCACCGTTGTGTTTTTTAATAGCGCAAGAGTTCTGCATTTGAGATTTGTTTTGTGTTCATTTCTACCTTCTTATTGTGGTTTGTGTATAAACAACTTTTTTGTCGGCTTTAACCAGTTCGCGCTACAAACGTTTCGCGTTTTAGTCAATTCTTACCTGCACGCGGCTCTGCACCTTTCTTTCTTACATTTCAATTAAATTAATTGCATTACATTTTATTGATAAAAGTTGGCATAAATATCAGCACTTAATAACAATAGACGTGTTAAGTTGTTTTGTTTAGGTATTTTTCTAACGATGATTTGTGCGTGAATCGATAATAAAACTTGTATCTTCATTTGTACGTTAGTGATCCGTTGGCTATTGGATTTTTTCGATGATGAAAATTGGAATTGAATATATGTATACAATTGTTAATTTGGAGTACCTATAATTAGCGTCGGTCCTCGGCAGGATTTCACGGGTGCTTAAGAAAGTTTACTTGCTCGCAGTGATAGGATCATTGTGAGTCAAAATACCACTTGCAATGCAATACAATTAACCGACGGAACGGACTTAATACGTGTGTACTATGCGAGGGTCTTACACGCGTGTTCTTTCAGCTTCAGTACTACCTTTGGTTACCTGCAATATTGGCAAGTTTGTGAATATTCCAAAACATTTCTATCTTTTATCGTATGTAACGAAAGTACCATAATAACTCAAAATTGTTGCATGCCCTCGGATGCGTTTTCAGTCTCTCTACAAAATGTTGGTTTCACAGTGCTGATCGTTTAGTTGCGCGTATTTTTCTCAGCTGATATTATTCTTTTATATTTTTAATTCTGAAATCGCTTTGACAATTAAATGTTGCTCATAAACTGTCTGTGAATCATAATTTCAATGTCCTTCGCCTAAATCTGTGCAAGTATGAAAACATAGTGTGAAAAACACCCTGTATAACGTGAACTAATTAATTTTTTAAAAGTTTCTCACCATTGTATTAGAGTTCGAAAGTCCCTCTACAGGATGCATATATTTTCAATTTGCCAGCCCTTTTGAAAGTGCCCTAAAATTCTATTTAAAAATTAGTGTTTTCCACAAAGTTGGAAAACATAGAGTGGAAAACACCCTGTATCTCGTGAACTAACTGACTTTCTTGAAGTTTTTTAACGTCATATTAGATTTGGAGAGTGTATCTACATGATACACCCACTTTAAATCCTTTGTCTCTTCCGGAAGTGCCCTAAAATGATCTTCAAAAATAGCTGTTTTTCAAAAAAATTAAAAACATGGTGTAGAAAGCACCCTGTATCTCGTGAACTAATAGACTTTCTTGAAATTTCTTATCGTTGTTTTAGAGTTTAAGAGTATATCTACATGATGCATCCCTTTTTAACCCTCTAACCCTTCCGGAAGTGCCCTAAAATGTCTTTGAAAAATAGCTGTTTTTGTGCCATAAATTTCATTTTGTGGTCAAAAAACAGTGTAAAAATCGTATTTATAGTTATGTTCGGTCGAATAACACGGTTGAACGTTTTTCCTGATGTTTCCTGAAGTTTTCCTTTTTAAACATGGCATTTTCTTTTTAAACGCCATGTACATTTGTTTTCCTTGATCTAAACAAACATTGACTAAATTTCTTGTTTAAATAAATTTCTAAATTTCTCTGTTTAAAAGAGGGCAGCGGTAGAAGTGACTCGTATTCAGGGCACTGTACAAGAGCAGCGGTAGAAGTGACTCGTATTCAGGGCACCGTACGAGGGTAGCGGTAGAAGTGACTCGTATTCAGGGCACCGTACGTGGGTACCGGTAGAATTGACTTGTATTGAGGGCACCGTACAAGGGCGGCGGTCGAAGTGACTCGTATTCAGGGCACCGTACAAGGGCAGCGGTAGAATTAAAATTTCATCTCTTAGATAGTAGTACTCGTTGCGCTAGGAATTGTAGTTTTATTTAGTATAACACGCGATCGCGGTGTCACAGTAAGTTCGGAAGAATTTTCCCATCTGCAGAATTTAATTCTGTATCTTCCCGTATAGAAATTTATTGCGAGAAAATTCCTTTGCGCGAATTATATTGAAAGTTGTGTGTGTGCGCCGTACTACTCGTGGCGCTAGGAATTGTAGTTTTTTAGTATAACACGCGAACGCGGTGTCACAATAAGTTCGGAATAATTTTTCCAGATGCAGAATAATTTTTGCATCTCCTTGTATCGAAATTTATTGCAAGAAAATTCCATAACGCGAGTTATATTGAGAGTTGTGTGTGTGCACCGTAGTACTCTTTGCGCTAGGAATTCTAGTTTTTTTTATCTAACACGTGAACGCGGTGTCACAATAAGTTCGGAATTATTTCCCCAGATGCAGAATTTAATTCTGTATCTCTGTGTATTGAAATTTATTGCGGAAAAATTCCGTTACGCGAGTTATATTTAAAGTTGTGTGTACGCCGTAGTACTCGATGGTCTAGAAATTGTTGTTTTTCGGTATAGGTAACAGGCAAACGCGGTGTCCCAATAATTTTTGCAGGTGCAAAATTTAATTCTTTATCACCCTGTTTTTGAATTTGTTGCGAGATAATTCCTTAACGTGAGTTATAGAGACATTTGCGAATGCGTGCAGAAGAGTGCAGAATTATATTTACACATCATGTTGCAATTCCATCTCAGCGGGTTTATCGGGGTTTGTGTATAAACAACTTTTTTATCGCATGGAACTAGTTCACATGCTGAGTGCACGCTACGAACGTTCGATCGTTTCAGTCTGTTCCTATCAACGCGCGGCGGTCCGTCTTTCTTCTTTTCATTTCAATTCAGTGAATTGCATTACGTTTTTTAGATTAAAATCAGCATCTAATGATAATAGATGTGCATTGGGTTTTGCTATTGATTTGTGCGCTCAACATTTAAAAAACTTGTGTCTTCATTTGTGTGTTAGTGATGCGTCGGCCATTAGATTAGTTCGATCCAGAGAATGGGAATTAAAATTATTTATATTTGTGTTAACTACCAGAACGTGTAATCAACATCTGTCCTTGCCAGAATGTAATACTTTCTGTTATACGCACATAATATTGCTTGTAATGCAAGTCTATTATCCGACGGGACGGACTTTATTAGTACACACGGTAGTGCGAGTTCTAAGACATGTGTTTTTTCTTGTTTCAGTGCATTCCTAGACTACCCGATGCAGGGGTAAGTTTGTAAATATTATTGCATCATTATTACATTTTGCTTTTTAATCGCGTGTATTGTAAATATCTTTATAGTTTAAAATTGTCGCGAGCCGTCGGGCACATTTTTGGCCTCGCTGCAGAAAGTTGGTTTTACTAAATCTATTCATCTCACATTTTTCTGTTGTTTTGTAATCTTTATTCTGTAATCGCGTTGACACGTTTAGTAGGTTGACAATTAGTTACTGTCCGGAAAATGTATATAATACGCGATTTTAATGTTTCGTTCCGCGTGTGCGTGCCGTCGGCCGGCACTTTGTCTAGATATGGCGTCGAAAATATAGTCTCAATATTGCAATAATATTTATGATAGTGTTGCATTTAATTGGACTTCTTCATTGTTACTTTCTCTTCCTTTATTTTTATGCCATCCCGGGAGAAACAGGTAACAACTTAAATTTTCTTGTAGTTTTCTTCTAGTGCTTTAGTATTTACTTCTAAATGTAGTGGTATTGTTGTTGTGTTGCCTTCTCTTGCATTTTCCTTCGCTTTCCATTGTGAAAATTGTAACATTTTGAGTTTTGTTATTATATGTTACATTTTCTTGTTCCCTTACCAAAACCTTGTAAGTTCCTGATATTTTTTGCTTGACCAGACCATTTTCTTTTTAAATATTGTCATTTTCTTTTTCTAACACCCTATATATTTATTTTCCTTAATTTCCCATCAATACTTGACCAATTTTTTGTTTTCAACTGTTTTCTTTCTTGAACTGTAGATTATCTTTTTGTAACACCCTGTATATCACTTTTCCAATCTGTGAAAAATGTGTTAAGTTTATTGTTGCAAGTTTCCTTTGGAAGTATGAATTTTTCTTTTGGTAACACCCTGTACATTAGTTTTCCGTGATAAATAGTTATTTTCTAGTGCCTATGTGTTAGTGTTTATAATTTGGTACTTGCCTGTATGTGCGTGATGATGCAGGTCGTAAGTCCTGTTTCAATATGTCGGCATGAATTTTGTGGACTTGTAAAATCTAAACTTGTATTATTTTACATTGTATTTATTAATAAAGAAATGTTAAGAAATATTATGTCTTATGCTTTGAATGTACCCCTTCTATCATTTCAGGTACAGGTCTCTAAGAGAGTTCCCTCTCTCAGGGGATGATTCCCACTATAAAAATTGTTAAAGTATCCTGTATGATTTGTGTACTCCATCTTTCATTTCAGCTACAGGTCAGAACTTGTAAGAATATTTTTAAGTGTCCCCTCTCTTGAGGCGACTTAAAAATTAGAAATATTTTTACAAGTCCTTAAAAGGATGTCCTTATAAGGAGTTCCCTCTCTCTGGGGGTGATCCCCCACCATAAAAATTGTTGATATGCCTGATAATTTCGGGGATGAAGCGCAGAGACATCGTAGCTGTAGGATGGGCCGGGAGCAATGGACGCACCGAAGCAGTGGGAGATCGACCTTAGACTGTCTAACGACACGGGCCAAAAAATTTAAAAATCCGAGCCACTCCTGTCTCGGAGCGGCTCTTCTCCTCTCTCCTCTCTTCCTTCTATCGCCGCCTCCTTGCTCTTCTCTACTACTCTACTCCTTCTTCTTCTCTTCTCTTCTTTTGCTCTGTTCTCCGTTTCTCCACTTGATTTCTTTTCTTATTTCTCATATTGCCTTCGCTTGCATTGCAATTTCACTTATATTTCATTTGAGTTTACATATGCAACCCAAATTTCACCCGATATTTTTATATTTGAGAAAAATGCCTTCCATACCTGAGATTCGATCCGTGTCAACTAGCATGCTAGCAGGTGCACGTACCTACTCGACCACCGAGTGTTTTTATCATTTGTATTTGATTCTTCTATTTATATTTCAACTTTATTCAACTTTTTAAAAACAACAACACAACATAAGCAACACACACAGCTGTGCTGTGTACGCGCCACACACATAAGATGCCTGATATGCCTGTAACTACAACTAAAACTGAAAACGACAAAGTGAACACCAGGATTAAATGTGAACGAGATATTATACTTAAATGATCCTTTATTGACCTAACCATATACATGTATTATAATATCAATTCAAATGTATCTGCAAAATAAAAAAAAAAGTTGAACAGAGGAAATTTTTTACTTTTTTACTTGAGTTACATACTCCTTTGTTGTTCCATCCATGAAGTTCCAAAGCGCACAAAGTAGAATTGTTAGTAGAATTGATGTTACTACTCGTATTACTGATGTCCTGGCAACCATTCCACACGAGCTATACACGTGATTTATGCTAACGAATTGAACCATTTCGACTAATAAATCCAATTGGAATCCATAGCCCAACGGAAGAGATCCGACGACCGGCGGCTACTGGCATACACACGCGCACGTGGTGAATTCTCTTAATTCTGGAGTCGATCGTTTAGTCCGTTGTCGATGACCAAACGATTCTAATGTTTACCGCGTATTAAAACAAACATAATTGCTAACAGACGCGGTAAATGTTGACGGAGAAAAAGAACACGTGCACCTCACAGAACTGCGCACCATCGACTGATTAGCCGGCAATCGGCACGGTAATGACAGCGCGCAGTATGCTGCGCAAGCCAAGACCGAACCGAAGGCATAAACAAAGTGTCAAAAATGCCACCGATCATATAAAAGACATTGATTGAACATGAAATTTTAGAGTATTTTTTTCTTGCTCTAGCTCACCTCATTCTGCATTTCTAACTTAGTTCCTTGAACGGAAAAAAATGAGTAACGATCCATGTTATATATAATTGAAGGACAAATTCGAAATGACAGAATGTAAACAAAACAGTTACATTTTACTGACATTACAAACGTACAATTACATATTTTACAGGTGCATCCCTTACGACAAGAGAATATAACGCAACGACGAATTAAATTTTACATCTTTAGCGTGTCCGCTGATACTACGGGGATGCCGCGTTTACGTGCTAAACCCCAAAAACAAGCTCCTTTGTGAGGTCAGCCTTAGGTGTAAAGCGAAAATTAGTATTTTGCAACACAAAAATGAAATTTTTGTCCCTAATTCATGAGTTGATCACCAAACTTATTAAAGAAAATGATAAAGAAATTCAATACTTACAATCTTATGCAAGAATGGTTCTCCTAGGACGTCGGGTTGAGGAGCAAAATCCCTAAAACAAGCAGAAATTAGTCATTTGCAACACAAAAATGCACAATTTGTCGCTAATTCATGAGCTAATCACCAAAGCTATGTACGAAAATGATAAAGAAATTCAATACTTACAATCTGATGCAAGAATGGTTCTCCTAGGATGTCGGGTTGAGGAGCAAACCCTAAAACAAGCAGAAATTAGTCATTTGCAACACAAAAATACACATTTTGTCGCTAATTAATGAGCTAATCACAAAAGTGATACTAGGTACCACTGAGCCATGCGACTCTCTAATCAAACGTTACTGGTTTCTTCAGTATATATTTACACATATTCATGCACTGGATTCATGAATTAAACCAGTGCAAATAGACTAAAATTCTCTGAGTGAAATTACATTTATTAATTATGTTTTGACAGAATCATTTACATTCATCATTAAAAAAATAAAAATGCAATTGAACCTGGAACATTAACCAGAATTTTTACTTGACGTTACTCACATACTCCTTTATTCATTTATCAATAAAAAATAAACGTGCACAAACATGTTTCTGCAAAGTGTCCGTTAGAAATTATTTTATTTACTTTATTACTTTTGCGCTAACACACTTATCACACGAAGTACGCATGTTTTTTATTTCCACAAAATAACAATTGAACAAGTTTGAAAATTAAATCCAATTGGAATTCGTTGCCACTGACAACATTTTGCACAAACAGGTGAAGCCATTCGATTTTCTATTCACTTATTAAAAATACGACAAAATGCAACATGTTGCAGCCGTTGCAGCCATGCGCTAATTTAACAGACAAACGGCATAAGTACAGCCAAGCCTAGAGCACAACACCGACTGAGTAAGGAGACGGGCTGCTTGCTTATACCAACAAGACTGTTTCCGATACCTGCGCCATCTGTTAGAGAAAACACAAACTAGCTTGAAGCTATGCTTCACTAGCGTCATCTAGTTTCAGCGATACAAACTAACGCTCAATTGCAGGAAACTGTATTTTAGCTACCAACATTTGAAGGAACGAATTATATATTTGGAAAACGAGTATAACTGCCATACTGGAAAAATAATAATTATAATTTCGATGGACTGCAAGCACAAGTATTCGGTCATACATTAATTTATTAATACAAAAATTATTTCATCAAACAAAATACTAATTATTATATTTTAAATTAATTGAAACTTTGTGTTCACGTCCAATCTCAAGTCTGCAATGTTTCATATTATTCTTGCATAATACCACATAAAGTACAATAAATTCCAGCTCAAAATATAGGAAACTGCAAATTATTTATACCCTTGACTACTAAAATATTTGCGGACAAGCTGGTTCCCTTGCATTAAATAATTAATATGTGAATCGCTCAGGAGCGATGAAACCTATCAATATGAACTTACATAAATATGTATGTACATTATAAAAATATGCGAGTTAAATAAGAAACAAATATTTACAAAATAAAGGCATTAAATGTGGTTGTCATTTGCGATCTAAAAATTCCAACACAACATGGGCCAATTCATGGATATTCATGGATTATATGTATGCGCAATATGCCTTATAGATGATGTAGTGCATTAAACTAAAGAAACTTCTCGTCATAGGATAGTCGTAGCTACGAAGTTTCTGTACCTGGTGTAGTCTTTGATATAACGACCGTACTGGTGGGCGTCGCGTCGGCTTCAGACATCGACGTGTTCTTCGATGTACCAGCAGTACTTGAACCCTCCGGAGTAGTGCCCGTGTTACCAGCGGAGGTAGTGACAACTTGAATCTTCCGATTCATGTAAAGCGGCAACCTTTACGTGGTTGATAATTTCCCGGTCCAAAAGCTCCCGGATGTTGGGGAGGGAAAAATGGCTGATTGAAGAACGCGGGCGGCATACCAGGTGGGTAGTAAGGGGGCATGGCTGGATAGAACGAAATTGGCGCACGTATTAAAGCCGGCTGCAATACGAAATTGAATAAACAACTAACAAACGCATCATTGGCATTAAAGTTTTACTTACATCAAAATAAGGCGCTACAGCTCCCCGACCATACAACTCAGGTGAGTCCGCTCGCCCAGATTTCCGTTTCTCATAACGCCCTGTACGAGATTGTGATCTTTCCCTTTCGCGGTCTGGTGTACGGCGCTTTTGTCTCCCAGGTTGCGATGGATCATTCGTTTTCAGTTTCTCACTGCTTCTTGATCGGGACCTAAAATAGAGAAATTTGGTATAATTTAATATCTGTAATAATAACTACTGTAGGGTTGTAGAAGTCTCAAACACCTTCAGTTTCATATTAAAACATAACACTAAGTTTATCTCGACCAAATGTTAATATGGTGCAAGCTGAATTTAGTATTCGTAATTTTTTAATTGGTCCTCTCTAATACCTGTTGTGTCGGCTGATGCTGGGGCTATGATGTCGCCCATTTCTGGCGCTGTAACGTCGGCTAGGACTGTGATACCGGTTGCGTTTCGATGATGGCGACCGACTTCCTGAGCGCCCAGATTTCCGCCTGTCGTATCGTCCAGTGCTTGAGACTGGAGATCGTGATCTCTCTCGATCTCGATCTGGTGTGCGCCGCTTTTGTTTCGCTGGCAGGGATGCATCATTCGCTTTTAGCCTCTCACTACTTCTTGATCGAGATCTATAAAAGAACATATAATCAATTCTAATTTAAAACTAAAAGCAATGCTCAGTTCATTTTTTATTAAATTGAATCCGGGTGACTGTAAGTGACTAAACATTCCTAATCGAATTTAATATAAGAGAATACCGATTGCTAATTAAGTACCATTTTCAATCTATTCATTATATTCATTTCTTCGTCTAATCATTTCCAAATATTTATTTAATTTCTTATTATTATGTGTAACCCTTTTTTATCTTGTTTTGCTAATACTGCATACTTTTCTGTTTAGTTCTATTTAGGGGTGCCAGTAGAATTTATTCAGATAAAAGCATCCACTGAACTTCTGATGCGCAATCGGTAATAAATTTTAGTTTCTCATCAATAATGTTAGATTCATTAATTATGAATACTGATATTTAACCAGTGCAAAATTTTACGTCTTATTCTTATACACTAATTAGGTTAGAGAGCACATAAAGGCCGACTGATTATGATTGACAAATTCATCCAATAAACATGGTTTATGGAAGATTCGTTTCCTGTGATCATTTTACCCAGTTATTTCGGTCAGACCCTACTGGAGATAAGACAACTGATAAGACACAATTTATTGTCTCAATGCTAAACGTGTCAAAGTACGCAAATACTTCGACGTTAGTGATTTTTGCAGTCGAATTAAAGAAAATGAAAATTTATAATTTTAAAGTTGACTATACTACAAAAAGCGAAAGCAAAATAAACGTGTCTAGAATAAGCAAATACCTATGGTGTGGACTGTTGCTTGTGCTGCGATGTCGGCCATTTCCTGGGCTGTGGCGTCGGCTGGGACTGTAAGAATAACGGCTGCGCCTCAACGATGGTGATCTACTCCCCGATCGCCTTGATTTTCGTTTATCATAGCGCTCTGCATTCTCGTACGGAGGGTGTGCACTACGCTCAGTACTTGGCACTTGTTTCGGTGCTTGTGCCGCTTCATTTGCTTTGAAGTTCTCACGACTTCTTGATCGACTCCTAGAAAAATATCAATATTATTCAAATATATCGAAATGTTTAAAAGATTTAAACGAAAAGTTCATATAAAACGCATTTGCAAAAGCGCGTTCGGCACCAAGTACAAAGTATGTTCATGATAGTAGTATAAATGAGGTATATGGAAATGGATATAAAATTTGAAAGCCTCTTCGAGACAAATTAAAAGGTAAGTGCAAAATTAACGAATAAATAATGTCCAAAGTGAAAATGTCAAAACGAATTGCAACCTATACAAATATGTTGCTGAAACAAAATCTGGGGAGGTGTCTTAACAAAATGAGTTGACTGGCATTATGGGGGTGGCTAACCGGTTTTAGAAGCTGTCGTAATCTTTCCATTTTAGAATAAACAGTACATTCAAAAAGATTCTAACTCAAATCCGTTTTCAGAATGCGGTGCCCCAATAGTCATGAAAGAAATCCTGTATTACAAGGGAGATCAACTTATCCTCCACCGTATTCGATAGACTCTCTGTGTTTTCCCGAAACATCTGTGTTTAAAGTTATGTATAAACTGTTTACCTGTCTTCTTGCTGGTGTCCTTCATCGCTAGAGCAACTTGCTGATCGAGGTCTTGATGGACCTGGCTCCTGCTCTGGCGGTGGCGCTGTACTCCGTACAGTGGGCGTAGATTTGGTTTTGCAATAAGCTTCCGGCGGTATTTCAATTGTATTGGGTGTGATTTTGTTGAATAACTTCACCCCAAATGGATCTATAACATCAACAGAAGGCAATGTGTTAATTGACGTTGGAGCGATCGCGTTGCTCTGGTCTCCCAGCGATTGTCAAGAAACATTTTCAACGAATGTGGAAGTGGCGCCATTTTAGAAATTCTTCGCATTTGTCGCAATGCGGGCGAGTGAATAATATCAAAATTACTTATTGAGCGAACGGCAACGGCGGTAACGACATTTTCAATGACTCAACTTAATATCAATTATTTGATATTTGTTTAGCGCAAAAACAATGAGGGAAATCATCCAAATTAAGGCGCCAGTTAAGTTAATTCACCGTCCACAAGCAACATGCATTCGACCTAAAGTCGGTCTTATTTTTTATATTTAATTGAACGAATAGTTTGCGCGTAAGCTTTTCCGAATCGGGCCGCGGATGGCTCACGTCGTTCCCGGATAAATCAATCATTTGAATGAATATTACTGGATAACATTTTAAATCAAATGCGCCTTGTAATAGTTTAAATGCTTCAAATGCATATCCTTTTGATTAGATTTTGTAAAACTAGCCACACCAAATGTAACCAGAAAATGCATGCATGATTCAGTGACTTGTTTCCCTGGATAAAATTTACTGCTGGTAATCGTTGAGAAGAACTGGTCGAATAATCAGAAAATTTAAATTCCTTTCTTAACCAGTTCCTCTGAAAACATCTTCCGGACCATCTCCATACACACTACTTAAAGTAATCACCAGCACACATCAACGAAATCACTGAGTTGTCCAGATAGCACAAGGTTTTTACATGAATGTTCATTCAAGTTTCTTCTTGGTGTTCTTCCGTGTGAAAACTTATTCTCTGGTTTTGAATGCATCAAGTCTTACATTACATTTTACTCAGAAAGTAGCAAACAGTAAATTGACTATTGACAAGAATTGAAATAACACTAGCATGGAATACATGAAGTATATAGAAAAGGGTCTGATTATACAATAAGAGATATATGCATAATTACCACCAGAGATATTCACAAAGGATGTTATTGTGAAAGGGTTCTTCACAACCCTTTCTAGGGGCTGCGAATTGGCAACAGCTTTAATATTGTGTCTTCGTATTGCTACCTTTACCAGTTTCAATTCATTTTGTTTGTAAGAAGTTGTCACTTTAAGAGGTTTTGCAGTGGTTGCCATGTTGGAAGACATGGTCTCAAACAGCAAATCCTAAAACAGGCAGCGTTTCGGTTTAGTAGTTACATAAGTACAATAATCTACACAATAACACATGATAAATAAATACATACATAGTTTATCGTAAATAATAGTCATTTGTTCGATACCTTGTTTCGGTGGTTCTCCGCGAAGCTTGAGCGAAAAGGGGCCACGGGCGGTCGTCGAACGCTGCTCGACGTCGGGAAGCCTTGGTTGATCGGAACGGGGAAGGCGGCGTTACGCCTAATGTGCAACGCGACCCCCGTAGAACACCAACCACAACAACTTCCTCTAAACTAGAGAAATTGCGATACGCTGATGTAGACTTTTGCACTTTTTTCGACTAACTCCGGATTGAATTTCATGTCAGACGCGTAAATTCGCTGCGTGAGGTGCGCAACGAGCAGAGTAACGACAACTCCTTCTCAGAAATGCTGTCACAAAAAGTGGAGGGGATCATTAGGGTCGCTGGGGTCGCTAGGAAGAGAAATCCAAACTGGATGAAAAGCTGTTCCTGTATTTGGAATGCGTGTACGTTACCTTTTCATATAATTACTTATATGATATAAGGGACTAATGAATTTATGTTATTAAAGTGTCAATTTTGAAATACAGAAGTTTGCTAAGATTTGATTTAATTTGCATACTACCATACCCCATTACCCCTGATCAGTATACTTAAGCGCTCATTGCACAAACAAACTGTTTTCACGTCATTTATGACGGCTTTGGTAATTGGCATTTCTATTCGTAAATTCATTGCAAGTACTTGCCGGATTCCTAAAAATGAGTGAATTGTTTTGTAGGCATTTTAGGCATGTTCGTAAGTAATATATAATGCTGTCGGGTTGGTTCGGTATTGATCGTCTTTTGTCGGAAGTACTCGATTGAGCATCAGCGCGCGGTGACGCCAATAGGTACTAGACACAAAGCTTGCTATATGTTTATTTTCAATCACAATCACTGGTCAAACACTTGCATTGATTTGCAATGGTTTTAATAGGATATAGTTTAACAACAATAACTTGTGAGGGTATAGTGTACAGCACAGTGTTTACTTGGCTTATTATTAATTTATTAATATAACAATTATTTTATCAAACAAAATACTAATTATCATATTTTAAATTAATTGAAACTTTGTGTTCACGTCCAATCTTAGGTCCGCAATGTTTCAGACATGTCCCTGCATAACTCCTCATAAGGTACAATAAATTTCAGCTAAAAATATAGGAAATATAACTACAAATTATTTCTCGTCTTGACTAATAAAATGTTTGCCATAAAGTTGCATAAAATATGATGTGTATCAATTAATAATATTTGAATCGCTCTTGATGAAACCTATCCGTATGAATTTACATAAATATGTATGTACATTATAAAAAATATGCGAGTTAAATAAGAAATAAATATTTACAAAATAAAGGCTTTAAATACGGTTGTCATTTGCGATCTAAAAATCCCAACATAGCATGGGCCAATTCATAGATGTTCATGAATTATATGCTAAAGAAACTTCTCCTCGCAAAATAGTTGTAGCTACGCAATTTCTGTACCAGGTGTAATCTCCGATGTAACGCCAATGTTGGACTGCGCCGCATCGCCTTCAGACATGGACGAGTTCGTCAAGGTACCCGTGTTACCAGCGGAGCTAGTGACAACTTGAATCTTCCGATTCATGTAAAGCGGCAACCTTTTACGTGGCTGATAATTTCCCGGTCCAAAAGGCCCCGGATGTTGTGCAGGAAAAAATGGCTGATTGAAGAAAGCGGGCGGCATACCAGGTGGGTAGTATGGGGGCATGGCTGGATAGAACGAAATTGGCGCACGTATTAAAGCCGGCTGCAATACGAAATTGAATAAATAACTAACAAAAACACCATTGGCATTAAAATTGTACTTACATCAAAATAAGGCGGTACAGCTTCTCGGCCATAAAACTCAGGTGAGTCCGCTCGCCCAGACTTCCGTTTGTCATAACGCCCGGTACGAGATTGAGATCTTTCCCTTTCGCGGTCTGGTGTACGGCGCTTTTGTCTCCCAGGTTGCGAAGGATCATTTGTTTTCAGTTTCTCACTGCTTCTTGATCGGGACCTAGAAATAGAGAAATTTGGTATAATTTAATATCTGTACTATTAAATGTTGAATAATTGTCGAAGTTATATGTAGCTTCAATTTCAAATTTAAACAAAATACTCAAATTATCTGAATTTAGTTAGTATTTGTAATTCTTTCTATTGGTCCTCTCTAATACCTGTTGTGAGGGCTGATGCTGGAGCTGTGATGTCGCCCATTTCTGGCGCTGTAACGTCGGCTAGGACTGTGATACCGGTTGCGTTTCGATGATGGCGACCGACTTCCCGAGCGCCCAGACTTCCGCCTGTCGTATCGTCCAGTGCTTGAGACTGGCGATCGTGATCTCTCTCGATCTCGATCTCGATCTGGTGTGCGTCGCTTTTGTTTCGCTGACGGGGACACATCATTCGCTTTTAGCCTCTCACTACTTCTAGATCGAGATCTATAAAAGAATATATAATCAATTACTACTTAAAACTATAAGCGCAGTTCAAGAGAAGACACTACTGATAAATCACAATTTATTTTCAATTCTAGACATATCAAAGTAAACAAATACTTTGAAATATTTGAGTTTTTTTGCAGTCGAAAATTTGCAAAATTTAAGGCTGACTGTATTAAAAAACGGCGAATCCAATATGGACGTTGAGTAAGCAAATACCTATGGTGTGGACTGTTGCTTATGCTGCGGTGTCGGCCATTTCCTGGGCTGTGACGTCGGCTGGGACTGTAAGAATATCGGCTCCGCCTCAACGATGGTGATCTACTTCCCGATCGCCTTGACTTTCGTTTATCATAGCGCTCTGCATTCTCGTACGGAGAGTGTGTATTGCGTTCAGTACTTGGTACTTGTTTCACTGCTTGTGCCGCGTCATTTGCTTTGAATTTCTCACGACTTTTTGATCGACATCTAAAAAAATAGCAATTTTCAATTAAGCGTTCATACAAATAAAACACACGCATTTGCAAAAGCCCGTTGGCACCAAGTACAAATTATGGATGGCAGGAAAAAAATATTTAGTTATATGTTCATAACATACTGGTGGTCGTACACTGCGCAATGTGGTCATGGACAGTATTATAAAAAAAGTATAAATAATAAACAACGAATAAATAATGTCATTTTAGAATAAAGGAACATCTAAAAAAAGGTAATTCTATCATTTCTATCTATCAAAAACAGTACATTCAAAGAGATTATGACACAAATCCATCAGAATGCGGTGCCCCAATAGTTATGAAATAAATCCCGTATTACACAGGAGATGAACTTATCTTCCTCCGCATTCGATAGATTACCAGTGTTTTCCCGAAACTTGCGTGTTTAAAGATATGTGTAAACTGTTTACCTGTCTTCTTGCTGGTGTCCTTCATCGCTAGAGCAACTTGCTGATCGCGGTCTGGATGGACCTGGCTCCTGCTCTGGCGGTGGCGTTGTACCCCGCACAGTGGGTGTAGTTTTGGTTTTGCAATAAGCTTCCGCCGGTATTTCAATTGTATTGGGTGTGATTTTGTTAAATAACTTCACCCCAACGCGATCTATAACATCAACAGAGGGCAATGTGTTAATTGACGTGGGAGCGATCGCGTTGCTCTAATCTCCCAGCGATTGCCAAGAAACATTTTCAACGATTGTGGAAGTGACGCCGATTTAGAAATTCTTCGCATTTGTCGCAATGCGGGCGAGTGAATATTACACAAAATTACTTATTGAGCGAACAGTGATAATGACATTTTCAATGACTCAAAGTAATATCAATATCTTGATATTTGTTTAGCGCAAAAACAATGTGGGAAATCATCCAAATTAAGGCGCCAGGTAAGTTAATTCACCGTCCACAAGCAACATGCATTCGACCTAAAGTCGGTCTTATTTTTTATATTTAATTGAACGAATAATTTGCGCGTAAGCTTTTCCGAATCGGGCCGCGGATGGCTCACGTCGTTCCCGGATAAATCAAACATTTGAATGAATATTACTGGATAACATTTTAAATCAAATGCGCCTTGTAATAGTTTAAATGCTTCAAATGCATATCCTTTTGATTAGATTTTGTAAAACTAGCCACACCAAATGTAACCAGAAAATGCATGCATGATTCAGTGACTTGTTTCCCTGGGTAAAATTAACTGCTGGTAATCATTGAGAAGAACTGGTCGAATAATCAGAAAATTTAAATTGCTTTCCTAACCAGTTCCTCTGGAAGTATCTTCTGGACCATCTCCACACACAACTTTAAATAATCACCAGCACACATCGACGAAATCACTGTATTGTCCAAATAGCAGTTTAAGTTTCTTCTTGGTGTTCTTCAGTGTGAAAACTAATTCTCTGGTTTTGAATGCATCAATTCTTACATTACATTTTACTCAGAACATAGCAAACAGTAAACTGACTATTGACTAGAATTGAAATAACACTAGCATGGAATACATGAAGTATATAGAAAAGGGTATGATTATAGAATAAGAGATATATGCATAATTACCACTGGAGACATTCACAAAAGAAGTTATTGTGAAAGGGTCCTTCACAATCCTTTCTAAGGGTTGTGTATTGTTATCACTTTTAAGATTGCGTCTTCGTATTGCTACCTTTACCAGTTTCAATTCATTTCGTTTGTAAGAAGTAGTCACTTTAAGAGGTTTTGCACTGGTTGCTTTGGTGGTAGACATGATCTCAAACAACAAGTCCTAAAACAGACAGCGTTTCAGTTTAGTAGATACATACAATACAATAATGTAAACAATAACACATGGTACATATATACATAGTTTATATTAAATACTAGTCATTTGTTCCATACCTTGTTTCGTCCTTCGGCTGTTTGGCGCTGCGAATCTTGAGCTCGTGGCCCCGAGCGGTCGCTGCTCGACGTCGGGGAACGTTGGTGGTCGGAACGACTAGCACGGCGGGTCGGGTGAAGACGGCATTACGCTGATGTTGACCGCACTTTTTTCGACTAACCCTAGATTGAATTTCATGTGAGACGGGTAAATTCACTGCGCGCGGTGCGCAATAAGCACAACAACGACTAGTTCTGCTCAGAAATGCTGTCACAAAAAGTGGAGGGAAACGCTATACGGAGGGAAATCGAAACTTTTATGAAATGCTGTTCCTGTATTTCGAATGTGGGATGTTTACTTTTAGTAAAATTACCTCTTTGATATAAGAAACTATAAATTATTAATAAAAAAGTTTCAATTTTAAAATATAGAAGATTACTGTGATTTGAGTTGCATACTACTATACCCTGTTGTCACTGATATGTAGACTTCAGCGACTATTGCACACAAACCCTGACTCATGACTAATTTCTTTGTAAATTCCCTACAAGTACTTGTCGGATTCCCAGAAATGAGTTAATTGTTTTTTAGGCATTTTAGGCATGAAAGTAAAATATAATACTGACGGGTTGGCTCGTTCTTGATCGTCAGTTTTCGGGAGTACTCAATTGGACATCAGCGCGCTGCGACATAAATAGGTACTACACACAAAGTTTGTTGTTTGTTGTCAAACGAAAAAATATAATAGGTATAATATAAAATATAATATTCAAACAAGCAAATATTGTATATATAAATATAATATTAATAATTGCCAAAGTAAACGCTGTACCCACACAAGATATCGTTGTTAAACGCGCGTTGGCTTCACAGTCTTTAATTGATGTTTTTGTAACGTGGATTTACATGATAAAAATCAGAATTCTCCACGAATATTAACTTCCAAAGAATTTGATGATATTTCAGAAAAATCTTTATTAAAAATATGATTTATTACATTTCGTGATCTACCTAGAATGTCTCATTATCAGGGACAAAAATACTAATTTCGAAAATGAGCTTCACTTTAGTCTTATTCGATTTCACGACTGCACTTTTTGGATAAGTTCCGGACATGATTAGAACTCAAAAATAGATCTCATTTACTGTGGCAGGACCAGTCGCTGCAAATATAGGTGTAGACATATCTGATGTGTTACCGGCTACATGCAGATCCTTGTGGTGATATCTGCAACATTTACATAATTATAATGATTTGATACTCAGTCGGGTTTGTTGGTGAAATTAGAAACTATGGACTCGGGAAGACCTTGGCATAATTAACCTTTTATTAAATGTACTTTACAAACTTTGTGAGTGCACCGTTACGGTATGAAACATTTTAATAATCACAAATTCTAATGCTGCCAATAGGGGACAAACGTAGTGGCTGATCAATTAGCAATTCATTGCGCACACAAGTACCCTACCAGCGGGATTCTAGCTCTATTATGCACTCCGCGCTAGTGAAGCCCGCGAGCGTGATTTATTCGAAGCATTCCGAAACGTTCGAAGCATTCGAAGGGGCGCACGAAGCAAATACAGTTTAATATGTGCAGCATTTATGCTGCTCGCGGAGTATAAACGTGCGCGTATTAATTAATCATTCATGAAGTTTTCAAATATGTGTGCACTCCGCGCGCACGATGTGCTCGCGTCGCGCGCGCCTCCACCATGTTCATGCCATGTTTCTGCCTTTCGCGTCGCGCGAATATAAAGCGCCCGGCACTCGTAGCATTTGCATATTTATATAATTATAAATTCATCTCATCTTTTTGCCACCCTGTTCATAGTGATTATTTATATTGGATGCAATTTCGTTGACACACAAACCACCACCACCAGCACCTCTCAGCGTATACAGAATTTCGAAATTTCAAAGCTTTGCACAGAAGCTGTGACCTCATGTAGCTGATAATTTAAACAAATTAGATTTTTTATGTATCAGGAGATGCAATTTTTATTAACAGATAAAGATTCGTGCGGAAAACATGAATTTGGTACTATAAACTCTGTTTTCATGAAGAACACGTTCAATTATGTTATTAAATAGTAATTGCGCAGATTCTGTAATTTTTCCTCGCCGGAAATTCACCACTTTAATCATTTACCACAATCTGCGCTAATCTTGATCGTTGCTTTTTACTGCAGCGAACTATGAACAAGGATTTAATCTGAAGTAATTTCCACTTGGATTTCTGGAATGTATTAATCCAACAGATCATATTTGAGTGACTGACATTTACATGTGTTTATAAATGTGTTTATAAACTGATACTGAACAAGTACATTTGATCCGATGTTATTAGTATCGTTCAATTCGATGATTATAAAAGTTTGTTTATTAATAGAACGTGTTTTAAACAAACTTTTTGTTCCCCTAGCATTAGCATTCAATATTCAATAGCCTCGTAATAATTGAGAAAACACTTCAATCAAATATACCTACCTATTCAATGCTTTCAGTTAAAATAGCACCCAGGCAGGCAAAGAAACCAAAAAGAGTTGAGAATTGAAACGAAGTTAATCGATTTTTCTGAAAGTTCTGTTTAGTTAGCGACTTTACACTCAAACGTAGAAAATATTATAACAACTGAAAACGCAAAACCGTTATTTCCGATGACCGCAGCTGTATGGAATCATGTATCATGATATCTATTGCATGGTTAATCAGAGAGAACGTATAAACATTTAATGTAAACGTCTCGCTCACAAAGCCGCGCCGTCGCCTATTGTCAAGTGTTGCACATCATTTCGCTGCGATTTGTGGATGGTTATTTAAAACTCAATCAGCACTGAAGCACGCGCACAATGAGCAAGCATCACATGCGTCCATGTGGAAATAAACGTGATGCGTTAATCCGAAATTGAATTTCCTGCGTTTTGCTGTTCAATTTTCAATTATCAATTCGCTGCTCCGTGGCGCGCTTCTGCACTCTTTCACAGTTATAACATTTGTAATTACCTTTTATTGAGGCGCGCAATCCGCGTATATACTAATACGGCCATAAACAATGCAAGCGCTGCGCTCAAATATTCATTACGCCTGCGTAAATTTATTGTATGGTTAACACTATGCAGAAATTGCAGTACACAAAGACTTCATACCCTACACCGTTTCAGTTGATTGCTAAATTTTAAGCCATCTCATTGCATCACTTTATTTGCTTCATTTTGGTGAATTATATTTTTATTAACAACATTCGAATGAGTGCCTATTGTTTAACTATGCACTAACACAATGTTTCTGTGGTTATATTGTAAACTAATTAAATTCAACTTTTGGCGTTTAATATTCTGTTATTAATATTCTGTATAACTACTGAAAAATTTCACGAAAATGTTTCTAACTGCATACGAAATTAAATTCTATCTCATGAGATACAAATAATTATAAAACACTGCACAACTTTCACATGAGTGACCTATTTCTCGGTATATTTTAAAACTTTTTATGTTAGGTATTCCAAAATGCCATATTTAATGTATTGGAAAAAAGTTTTAATAGTGTTTTTTCCAGGAGTATTATATATTTTAGTCACTTTAGCTTAGTTGAGACTTAAACAGTCGAAATTAAATCATGAGCGTTAATTGATTCGCAATTTCGATTGATCCCTGTCAACTGTCTTTTTGCTCGTGCAATATTTACCAAAGCGGCGTTATTTTGTTATTTAGAAAAGAGTCACTTTAAATGTAAATTTCTAGATTATTTCGCGTGTGTGCGCGCCGGTCGTCTCTAGCGTGAGCGCTCTCCCGTTGCGACACGCGGATACACTTTTCATGGCAGCGCGCAGCCACCGATACAGGCTGCAAACGCAATTGAATATCAAAGCTTTGTGCCTGCCAACGCGCACGCATTTAAAAGCAAAAAGAACTACTTCCAGCGAACGCACGCGTATGCCACCAGCTTTTACCGGAGGATATGCGGAGACATGCGCATCTTATTAACCAATAAATAAATTATTATCACCGTTGCTTTCGCCTATTGAAGTCGATTCCAGCCGTGTGCACCTTCGCGCACGCCGCACATTCCCGCCCGAAACCCGCCCCCCGGAATAAGTTAGTACTGTTGTAGTAAGTAGTGCAGGAGTAATCAGAATGAAACACGCTGGAATTTGCTTAATTACATTCTGCAAGTAAAATTGTGCGCGCGAAATTTTAATTGAAGACCATAAATTTACGCTTTTTGGCAAACACCGCTCCGCCGGCGTTGGAATGAACGGTCGGAAAATGCGTTCGAACTGTCACCCATATCACGGCATCACCGTGTCACATTAGTTTTTCATTGAATTGCGCGACGGACGTGCGTGACCTTCAACTTGACGCACTTTCCGGGAAAGAGATGAAACAGAGAGGTGTGTCCTGCCGAGACAGTCTGATTTGTAGCTTGTAATCATAGTTGAAAATTTCGGGAACACTCTGATGGAGTTTGGAAAGCCGCTCGACCCTTTGTTACAGTGTCCCAGACGTGGTCCCAAGCAGTCCCACTGGATTCCACTCTTAGCCCCATGATCTCTCCACAAACAATTGCCGGCCCTCGGATGGAAAACGGCGGTTTTTTTTTTCACACCGCTTACCTTTCGGCTGAATAGAAAATTTGCGTGATTTTCGAAAAATACAGCTTGATAGAACATTTATTGATTCACTTGGAAAGCTGCCAAAATTGATTGGAATTAATTCCAGCTCTATTTACTTTAAATTTTGGCCATAAAATTTACTTATCTTATTTTATTTATTAATAATTGTGATTGTGAAACAAAATATATATAAATAACATGAATTGAAGTTTGGCTATACTAAATGAAAATAAGCGAGTACAAATGACGATGGATAAAAGATTAGTCAGTTAATGAATGGCAAAGTATAACTTGACAATGCAGGCTTTGTCTGATGAAAAATATTACCAGTGTCAAATTGAATTTGCCGGCGCAAAACAAGACGATAAAAATGGCAACGCGCTCAGTGTGTTTTTCCAATAAATGTCGTTTTGCTGATTTGTACATTTCAGGCCCTTTACGTATTTACAATGTTTCCTCAGCGCACGATGCGGCGCGGCGCGTCTCAATCGTTGTTTGTGTTTCGTGTTTGTGTTCGGTGGTCCAATAAAGTCGAAGCCGCAACGCGACGATCATACAATACACAATGACAACAGGGAGGCGGCAGTGGTCGGCCGCGTCGTACCCACTCCAAAGGCATCGAGTGTTTTATTTCGATGCGATCCGACTGCCACTAGAAAAATGGCTCGACCGTCGGTGCGCTCTCGGCGCAAAAACTACGAGCAAACAATGTGACAACCGACGCCTCTCACCGCCGCCGCCGTCGCTTCCTTCGCGCCTGTGCTCGGGCATTCCTCTTCGGCGCTTCCTCCACCTTCATTATTTTCGCTTCGCACGTCAACTTCGAAATTGGCACGTGTTGAACGCGCATTGATTGAATTGATGGAGAAGCGTAAATATTTTCATTGTCGCGTGGGAAATCAATTAAACTATACAATTACGCTCGCAGTGGAAAAAAGCGCCGACAAAGGAAATTACACGCTTTAAATTTAATTCCGCCGTATGTTGAGAGGCCCTTTGCCGCTCGCAACTCTCGTGTTCTTTTAATCTCCCGGGCCACCCATGCACACCGACCGCGCGCGCTCGAGCTTTATTCTAACCGAAATAATTTCATATTACATGCCGGTTCTTGTGTTGGCGTTCTAAGCATTCTCTGGCGTTTCTCGGACGATAATAAAGGATGCTCGAGCGTTTTATGCTTTTATTTTTATGCTTTTTTGTGCGTTTCTGGTCGCTTTTAACGCCGACCACCCCCACGACCGAGCGCGTTCCATTATCTTCGCGCCGACATAACTCCATAACTCGTTTAGAGTGCAATTTGAATTTTTCGATGGGATGAGGGCGAAAAAAAGGGCAAAAATCTGGCGTTAACGCCACTGGAATCCCCTTTGGCCAACGCGCTTTTATGTCATGTGAATTAAATTCTTTAAATATTGGTTTCAAGAATTAGCCGCGTCCAGTTTTTGGTCAACCACAAATGTTTACGCAAAAGATGCACAGTACTTTCAATTTTAAAAGACTCAAGTATGGGTGTCTGATCAAATGATTGTACATGTTTACAGTTGATGTTTCCGGCCATTGTTACCCTTGGTGAATTCAACGCAAAATGTTTCTAAAACCGTGCAAAGCGCACCAGCGCTACGGAAACACGCCGATGCTAATTGTCGTTGCTCGTTGGCGCTGGGCATTAGCAGCGCGGCCATAATTCGAACGCTGATCATGGGGCTTTGTCGGGCGTGAGCGAGGAGAGTGCATAGAGCAGGCGTACGCGTGAGCCTGCTGCACGGGTAATTAAGCATAATTGAAGTTTAAAGGTGCAGCCCGCGTGGCATTATTTCGCGTCCCTATGTCCGAAACGAGAGTGGCGGCGGCGGCGGGTTGTGGGTGGGCGACGAGTGCGAAGGCGCAGCACCACGCTTACGGACTATAATGTCGGGAAGCGAAAGCTCTGTTCGCATTCGCGCAATTCCGGTGTCGTATCCGGGGTGAATTAGCGAAAGTACTTTAACGTTGCTCAGCGCTGTTTTATTTATTCAGCAAGCGCTGGTAAGATCTAAGAGGATACAGTGGTGACCACTCAAAAGCATGTATTGGATTGTTGCTATACATGCTTCCGTAATTTTATACATTTTATTCTCTCTTCAGTAACCCAATACCCGCTTGCTATAATAGGTACATAAGAATATTTCATGAAAGGGTTGATCAAGAAGTCCTAACAAAACACAACCTACCAAAAGGTGCACAGAATGTTTGCGTTGCGTTGATTTCATTCATTCATTGCTCCTCACACCCAAAAACTTGTTTAATAATTTTGTTACCATAGAAATCCATTGAATCAAATTATCAAATCAGTAACCAAATTGTCAGTATACAAGTCAGATCACCCTCTCACTTTGGGATCATTTAATTTATAGTAATTCCAGGTCCGTGAGTATCCAATCAATCAGAATGCATGTCCTAATCATTTGTTTGATATAGTCAACGATGAACTAATATCAGTGAGTCAAAAGTACGCGCGATATGAATACCTCCATGCAGTGCCACAACATGTGCCCCAATATAAACGACTCCAAGCAGTGCCCCGACACGTGTCCCAATATGAATGACCTCATGCAGTGCCACATCTTTCCCAACACTTTCGACTTTAGAGGTTGCCTGGAGTACGACCAGAGCAATCCGTGCTGTAACCCGCGTTTTCACATAGAAGGGTATGATACGGTACCACCTACACAACAATGTCCTCCCATGCATCCATATCCACCGCAACCCTGTACTCCTTCACCTCAATACCCGGGACAATGCACTGCTCCTCCACCTGCACCACCAAATATTAGCCATGCAACGCAACAATCGCGCCAGAGGGCAAGCCGCTCGAAGCACCCACACAAAAAGCACGCACCTCTCTGCTCTGTGGTCACCATCTTCCGTCGTAGTACAAGTTTTGCAAGTTCCACTAAGAGTTCCAATGGCGTTGTGGCCGTGGGTCGATATCGGCATTCGCGTAGATGTCATCATATGCGTAAACATTCACATCGGCGACATCATACTGGTGAAAGCATAGGTGAACCAACAGGCTTCACACCAATGAACAATCAGTACACCGACATCAATGGGATACCCGAAGTGACTTGCCCTGACACCATGAATACTGATGGTTCGGTATGAACAAAACTATGAATTTTTAATTGTGGACGCAATGAATTAATGAAAATTTATTTTTAGATGTATAACGGCAACACCTTTGCTCAGCCCATATACCCGAACCCTTACGGTTCGTACCAGTGTTACAACCAGTATATGATCTTTCCAAGTCCAAACAATAACAATTTTTACCAGCCTCAAGCGGTAACACCAGCAATACCAATTTGGAACTGCATGAACTATTTTTGATATTTGAACGAAACTATAAAATTTGGGTGGAATTAAGAAACTATACATGTTAACGCAAAATAAATTTTTCTTGAATTGCTTTTAAACATGGGAGTGTATTTTGTCGGTTGCTATGTGCTTATTCAACAAAGCGCTCCTCGGCAAAGATGAAAGCTGTAGTCAAGTATCAGTTCCGACAGAATTCAGCGAACAACCCATGGAATGCGTTTGAGCTCAAGAGCAAAATAAACGCACGGCATGTTCTTTTGTTACGCGACACGTGGCCACAAAAGAAAATTATATCAATAAAACGCGACGACGGTCTCGAAATTCAAGTCTTTAAATTTCTCCTCGTATTTGTCTTGTGCCCGTTCCTAATCTGAACAGAAGAGGCGTTCTTATTCTCTTCCCACATCCTCGGAAATGTGGAAACAAGTTGCACTCAGCCGCACTTCACACATACTGGTTTAAGATATTCGCATTCACGTTCGCGTCGTTCAGTTTCCGTACCACTTCACGTTTTGACATTTTTTCCATGAATATGAAAATATAGGGCGTTATGCGTCTGGCAAGTGTAGGCGCACGAGGACATGATCGTTGATCGCGGACATAAGCATGTTTTACTCGGAAGCCGAGCGGGCGAAATCAAGGATGAACGTTCATTGTGAGCCGGCAATACACACTCGAACACCGGTATCATGCATAAAGTATCAGCTTCACCGCTACAGGCACTCCGGCCCATCTCTGAAATCGTAAAACTAATATCCTGAAGTAAGGCGTAAGTCGTCTAGCAAAGGGAAGTACTTTATGTGCACTTTATTGAACTCCATCAATCCTTCCTAATTTTGAATGATAACAGTTTGTAAGTATTTCTGGAGAAAGTTGTGCATGTAGTGTAAAAGAAGACCACCAGACACTTGAAGCGCGGTATTATTCACAAGTGATACTGCACTCCGGGTGTCTAGAAGTTCCTCTAACACGATTGATTGATTCACTCTATTCTTTTTGTGACGATGCTGATTATGTCGATGGCTGTTGTTATCAATGTTGGAGTAATTCTTTTCCATTGGCACGTAAAAGAGCAACGTTGCACAGTGAAACGCCGCAGTGCACGTTGTAATTTACGTACTAACGAATAAAGAAACAAATTTGATTTACGAGTAAACTCTTGTGGTGATAGTTTTGCTGATAATGTACCAACAATTGTATGCGCCAGCAAAGTTTATCGAGAAACTTATCTCCTCCGACCTAGTGTTTAGTACTGAAAGCAAACGTATGTCGTATTCTGTTAAATGATAGAAAATAAGGTATTTTACGTATCTTAAATGCCTTAAAACGATTTTGATGTAAAACAATGTTTTCCGGGAGCTAGCTGCACCCAGGCAGAGTTTTAGAACAAGTGGACAATAACTTTGCCACAATAACATATTGTTATGGTACTATTGGTCCAAACATAAAAAGTTGATATTTGAAGGTAATTAACAATGAATTTGTTGAAAATCCACCAAAATGTCTCAAACTAAGAAAAACCACACGAAAAACGCGAAATTTTGTCTTGTATCCTTAGGTTTCGGTAGACTATTGATGAAATGGATAGCTGTTTGGCCGGATACCGATTACCGGATATCCGACCAGCCGTTTGGCCAAACAGCCAAATATTCGGAGGCCGGATATACGGCCAAACATAAACATTTAGCGTATTTTGACGAACGATCTAGGCCAGACCGATTTGATAAATTTTCGTGGCATGCGACAAGATTGCGCTTAGACATTGAATAACTAGTTATAATACAATAATAATAACTGCCTTAGTCAATGACATAGGGCAATGTGCCTCGCTCTAGGTATTTTACCCGGTTTTACTCCTGTGTTTACCATTATTATGCGTGCCAAGTAATTTCATAAAGGTGTTACACTTCCGCATCATGGTAATTAAAATCTTTGCCTACTGTATTCCTTAACCTACCCTCTCGTGTATTTATTGTTGGTGCATTCGGACCACACCCGGCAGTAACTGTAAATGTGTAAGACAATTTGCACTACTTACTACTTAGAAGATTCCAAACTTGTCGAGTTATTTCAGCGGTCTGCTCGAAGAATAACAATGTTGGAACACTGATTTTCTGATATTTACTAAGCAGAAGTTTGCTGTTCCCAAATCGTTTTTCCTTATATAAACCTGTGGGGTACATTTCATCGTCTGGGCTTTGTGTTGGTACGCTCGGTCCGGCAAGGATGTTTAGTCTACATTTATTTAGTCTGAACGAAACAGAGTAACCCCTTGTAGTCTGGGTACGAATTGCTCAACTCAAGGCTCTTTTTGACATATTTATTGGTATACCTATTCAGTGGTAATAATTGCCGGGACCGTCTGGACGACGTCTCGCCCTATTCACAATAGCTAACGTATAAACACAAAGACCAGATGGTGAAAATTTCCGATATAAAAGGGGCACCTCGAGAGGTGTTCGTCAGTCAGTTCTTCGAGTTCATTTGATGCAGAAGCTAGTACTTATTAATAAACGCATTACCACAACTTCTTAATAAACTTACATCGTGATATTCAAACCAAGTGTCTTTGCATCAATTATAACCCACACTCACCGATCCCACAAATTGGTGACCCCGACGTGATATTAAATTGAAGAACACGTTATCAAATTTTAAGTGTGTGAGCGGTGAGAATAAGTGTACCGAGTAAAAATTAGAAAATCGAAATGGCTCAAAGTACATCCGCGCCGATTCAAATCGCGAGTGCCCGCGTTGTACGTTTAATTCCGCGTTCGGACAATGAAGAAATTAGTGTTTGGTTCACACTTGCTGAGCGCACCTTTCGGCTCACTCAAGTGACGGAAGATGATGAAAAATTGTCCATAGTGTTACAATTTTTGACGCCAACAGACCGTCAAGCGGTGATGGACATAATAGCAAGACCAGACAGCACGTACGACGAAGTGAAGGAGGCATTAATTAAGCGCCTGGGCACCTCCAACGAGGAGAAAATTCAGGCCTTGCTGGAAGGTGAATTTATAGGCGATCGTACACCTTCCCAGTTTCTGCGAGACCTACAGCGGAAAGGTGGTCCACTCGCCGGAGATGCGATCATCAAAACGCAGTGGATGCGTAATTTGCCGGAAGCAACACGCCTAGTTGTATCTGGCGCGCAGAGCGACGATCTCGCCTACTTAGCATCGATGGCGGATGGCATACACGCAGCCACGAAGTTATCATGTGCGCAGCGCAGCCCAGTCCAGCTTCAAGCCAAGGAGTCATCGTTGGCTGAAGTGGTTAACTCTTTGGCTGAGAAGGTAAAAGAACTTACGCTGCACATGGACGAAAGAGTGAAGGAACTTTCGTTGCGCATGGAGGAGAGGAGCGCTATGGAAGTTCTAGCATCGTCGTGATCAACATCGCAATCGCCAGCGTTACCGCAGCAAGTCGCGAGGCAAGTCGCAACAATATATTTGTTGGCTTCATGCGCGATTTGGGCCGGATGCGAAGAGATGTGAGCCACCGTGTCATTTTGGTTCGGGAAACGGTGTGGCGGGCAGTCAATAGTGGCCGCGAAAGACTGTCACGCCTCCAAAGCAACCACGCGCCGATTATTTCTAAAGGACAAAAACACTGAGTGCGACGTATATTTAATTGACACTGGTGCGGATGTGAGCGTGTATCCGCGAATCAGAGTGCGTGGACACAATAGTGCGTGCGAGTATTCGTTGGCCGCTGCCAACGGTACACCTATAGCTACTTATGGACACATGAACATTAAAATAGACTTTGGCTTAGGTCGCGAGTTTCTTTGGGCGTTTATAATTGCAGATGTCGATCGCCCCATAATCGGTGCGGATTTTCTGCATCATTTCGGCTTGATCGTGGACATAAAAAACGGTGAATTGAGGGAGGTGGCTTCGGGGCTGACCACATCGCATGGCGAGTTGGCAGTCTGTAGCACTCCGTCAATTAAAGCTATTCAGGGTGCGTCTGTGTTCGGTGAGGTATTAAGTGCATACCCGGACATCACTAAACCGCAAAGTGCAGGTCGTCCACCGAAGCACAATACCGTCCATTACATCGCTACGTCACCAGGTCCACCGGTTGCGCAACATCCGCGCAGATTAGCGCCCGATCGTCTTGCCGCCGCCAAGAAGGAAATCGATGCCTTGATCCAACTTGGCATGGCCCGACCGTCCCAGAGTCCTTGGGCATCACCGATTCATTTAGTGCCGAAGCAAACGGGAGAATGGAGACCATGCGGAGATTACAGAGCATTGAATGCTAGGACCTTGCCGGATCGGTATCCGGTACGTCACATTCAAGATTTTGCTCATGCGTTGCACGGGAAGACTATCTTTTCGACGATAGACCTCGTGCGCGCTTTTCACCAAATTCCGCTGGCTCCCGAGGACATCCCGAAAACTGCAATAATCACCCCGTTTGGACTCTTCGAGTTCACCGTCATGACGTTCGGACTGCGTAATGCTGCGCAGACGTTTCAACGTTTCATCGACGAGGTTCTCCAGGGGTTGGATTTTGCATTCGCATATATAGATGACATTTTGGTAGCATCGTCCAGTGAGGAGGAACATGCAACTCATCTCCATCAGCTGTTCCAGCGTCTGAGCGACTACGGCGTGGTAATTAATGCTGCGAAGTGTGTGTTTGGCCAGGATAGCGTAAAATTCCTTGGATATCTGGTGTCCAGTCAAGGCACCAGCCCGCTCCCAACAAAGGTAGAAGCGATTATGGATTTTACGCAACCTGAGACCGCTAAACAACTTCGGCGTTTTCTCGGGATGATTAACTTCTACAGGAGGTTTATCCCTCGAGCTGCTTCTCTTCAGGCTCCACTAAATGAGCTACTTCACGGCAATGTTAAGGGAAATAAACCCATCACTTGGAATGAGGGGGGCATGTGCAGCGTTCCGGGATTGCAAGGAAGCGCTTGCCAAAGCAACATTGCTGAGCCATCCAGACCCTACAGCGCCGCTCGCAATATTTTGCGACGCGTCTGATTTTGCCGTGGGTGCCGTGTTGCAACAAAAAGTGGATGAAGAGTGGCAACCGCTGGAGTTCTTCTCGAAGAAGTTGTCACCGGCGGAGACCAAATACGCTGCATACGATCGCGAGCTGTTAGCCATGTACGCGGCTGTCAAGCATTTCCGGTACATGGTGGAAGCACGTGATTTTCACATTTTTTACTGACCACAAGCCTTTGACGTTCGCTTTTGGACAGAAGACGCAGCCGTCAACACCACGCCAGGTGAGACACTTTGACTACATTGGGCAATTTTGTACTGACATTCGTCACGTCGCCGGCGAAGAAAACGTGGTGGCCGATGCCTTGTCTCGTGTTGAGGAGATAAGCATCGCCATCGATTTTGTCGCCCTGGCTGAATCGCAGAAGAGAGATCAAGAGATGACGAAATTCAAGGATGACAGCAGTGGTCTGCAGTTGAAGCTCCTCCAGATCCCTGGAGTTGAGGTATCGTTGGTGTGCGATGTGTCCACATCGAAAGCCAGACCCTACGTCACGCCCGAATTTCGTCGAGCAGCTTTTGCTTCGGTCCATAACATTGCACATCTTGGACCCAAGCCGACAGCTCGTGCAGTAGCGGAGAGATTTGTGTGGCCAGGAGTGACGAGTGACTGTCGGGAGTGGGCTAAGGCTTGCCTAGAATGCCAGCAAGCAAAGGTGTCTCGACACGTATCTGCTCCCATTGGCAAGTTTCCGACGCCCCTAGGAAGATTCGATCATATTCACATCGACTTGATCGTGTTGCCTCCATCCGAAGGACATAAATATTGCCTTACCATCGTTGACAGAGCCACTAGATGGCCTGAGGCAATACCCCTAGTGAACCAGGAAGCATCCACCGTCGCTCGAGCGTTGCTGGAGCAGTGGATCTGCCGCCATGGAGTCCCAGGGAGAATTACGACCGATCAAGGTCGACAGTTTGAATCATTCCTCTTCAAGAGTTTGAATGCCATGATGGGTTCGACGCATCTTCGAACAACCGCCTATCATCCACAGGCTAATGGTATGGTTGAGCGGATGCACCGACAATTAAAGGCAGCCCTGATGTGCCATCGCAACCCAGCATGGACGAAAACACTGCCAATTATCCTGCTTGGACTGCGTAATGCTTGGAAGGAGGACATACAAGCCACACCAGCGGAGATGGTTTTCGGACAAACCTTACGCCTGCCTGCCGAGTTCATAGGCAGCAGTGACAGTTCGCCGGACTTCGGAAACGAGTTCATTAAGAATCTGAAGGAACAATTCCGCGTTCTGTCACCGTCCGAGCCATCCCGACATGGAGAAAAGAAGATATTCCTGCCCAAGTCTCTGCAGGATTGCGAGCAGGTTTTTGTACGTCGTGATGCGGTCAGGATTGGCCTACAACCACCATACGATGGACCATTTCCCGTTATAAGACGCAGTGCGAAAATTTTTACACTGCGCATCAACGGTAAAGAGGTTAATGTTTCAATTGACCGGGTGAAGCCGGTATTTGTGGTGCAACCAGAAATGCCACCACCAGAGATGGATGAAGATGACGACGACGGTAGCCATCTAGTATGGCAACCACGCGGATCTTCAACTCAAACGCCGCCGCCGAGTGTGGTGTCACAAGGAAGCAACGATAGCGCGGTAATTGCACCGCCAGCTCAGTTCAATTGTAAATCTCCAGTGAGTGACACAAAGAAGGCATGTGCAAAGACTATCGTTCCACCAAAGAAGGTGCGGTTTAATTTAAATAAAGAGTGCGTTAGGCGATCCAATAGGACTACCAGCGTACCAAACCGATTTCAAGCAGGTTTTAAGTAATGAGTTTTTTTTTTTAATGTTAATTGTTTAGATTTTTTTATGTGTTAAACATTTTTTTTTGCTGTTGTCAGATTTTGTAATTTTTTTTTGTATTGTTCAAATTTTTTTGTGTATTGTTTTTTTGTGCCCATAGCAGGCTACGTAATTTTTGTAACTCGTATAACTTTTTCTCCGGTAAGGGGGTACTGTGGGGTACATTTCATCGTCTGGGCTTTGTGTTGGTACGCTCGGTCCGGCAAGGATGTTTAGTCTACATTTATTTAGTCTGAACGAAACAGAGTAACCCCTTGTAGTCTGGGTACGAATTGCTCAACTCAAGGCTCTTTTTGACATATTTATTGGTATACCTATTCAGTGGTAATAATTGCCGGGACCGTCTGGACGACGTCTCGCCCTATTCACAATAGCTAACGTATAAACACAAAGACCAGATGGTGAAAATTTCCGATATAAAAGGGCACCTCGAGAGGTATTCGTCAGTCAGTTCTTCGAGTTCATTTGATGCAGAAGCTAGTACTTATTAATAAACGCATTACCACAACTTCTTAATAAACTTACATCGTGATATTCAAACCAAGTGTCTTTGCATCAATTATAACCCACACTCACCGATCCCACAAACCGCTCATTCTACTTAGGCCAACGCGACCCAACCACCACATGTAATCGACTGTTGAGACGTACGGCATTTATACTTCTGCACAGGGCTTTATCGCATTCGTATAAACAATTTTATGATTCATTAGAGGATTAAATTTAAAACGGCCTGCTTCAGGTTCATGCCTCTTCGAAGCGCAGTATGTGCTTACTAATTGATTTCTTGCGATTGTTATATCAGAACATGTATACAAACATTTGTTATCGTGGCACTGCATTCAATTGATTAAAAATAAAACTCTCCTTGATTCAATAATCTTTTTTATTTCAATTGTCATAACATATAAGGCAAACCAAACATTATAAAATTTTATAAACTGTTTATTTATTTAATGCTATTTCATATCCATTCAAAATTATAAAAAAATAAAAAATGGAAATAAGTCATATTAGTGATTACGCTTCAATAAAAAATTAATTCATGTAAATGAATCATCAAATACCTGTCTTTATTGTAATTTTAATTATCTTATCTAATTGGTAGTAGTTAAATTATTCTGCGACACATCGCTAACACTTCTTTCGCGAGCAAATGTTTGCAGAACTTCAATTAACTTATTTCCATGGTGTTGCTGATGCATAAAAATTGCTTCCATTTTTTTGCTAGAAGTATAATTTGAGAAGTATCTCTAATCTGCCGTTGCTTGCCGTTCCTTCCAAGCATCCGCCCTGACATAGCGTAATTAATCATAAGCAACCGGGTTCGACTCGCTGGCAGATTTCGAAGTTTGCCACTTTTCGCCTCACTCTCGCCTCGCCATCCACGTAATATTAATTAAGTACATCCAGGTCTCGGGATCAAAAGCTATTTTTTCCCTTGTTTGCAGGTCCACACTTTGATGCTTAATTCTTTTTTGACGCTAATTTCGCTTTGTTGTTTTAACTTTATTTCATTTATTTCACAAGAGTTGTGCGAGTTCAGTTCAGATTGCTCGTTTCATCCGGCGCTTACCAGACGCTGAAAATAAAATTCGCTTATTTCCCGCGTGCCGGCGTACTTCGAATGCAATGCGGTGGCGAAATTGCGTTGAAGCTGCGAGCGTGGCAATAAAATGTGAACAGGTAATAGATAAAAATCAATAACGTATGACCAATACCGCTCTAGCGACTTTGCAAAGCCGACATAAAAATTGACATAAAAGTTATTTATAACTATGAAGCGGACATCGGCGTTGTGAACGAGTCATGTGCTAAGAATCATCGGCCGAACTCTTTTCCGGCTCGTCGGGTGTCCGCCGCTATTAATTCGCCTGGTTCACAACGTTTAATGAAAACGCCGATCGTTAAAGTGAATACAGCGAAACAGATAAATGATCGTCGGCCGGCCGGCCGGCCGAGCTCGAAAATTCCGCATTTTTCGCGCTTATCATAATTAAGATCGCACCGCGAGGACTAGAACAATACCACGGCATTCGCGTCGCGACGACTGATAAGACGAGCTAATGGAATTCACGCTCCGCTGGCTTAGCGGACGCGATTTTTGTCTTGTAATCGCTATCGGGCGCTTCTATGTCGCGCGTGGCGGCGCGATATACTGCGGATAATTTAAACCACACGCCGCTAAGCATGTACGCGATAGTTCCCTCGTGGTGGACTTTTTGCAAAATGAGCTTTTAACCGCCAAACATTTCCCCATCACACGTTAGTTAGTTTGCGGAGTGTTAATCATAAGTTGTAATTAACACGTCAAACTTAAATCATTTCGTTAATTAATGTGAATAGTCACTCAACACCAACTCGGACGAGATGTTTAGAATTTCAGGCTGGTTTATTTTATGCCTTATAGGGTTAGAGTGTTGACTATCTGTACTAATTGCTAATTTATTTTCAACAAAGTTATCATTTTCTAATTGTAATTGGGTTCCGATGAATTAGACTTCAAATTTGGCATTTTTATAAAAAGTTTTCACGCGTATTGCCTTCGTATATCGACATTTAAGACATGGAAATGTTCGTAGTCTGCTCTAAAATAACCTATAGGAACCACATTCGAAAGTAGTAAATAAAACTCGGTTTGCCGAAATCGGCAGTGTAGCTGGAGTAAAATGAAAACAGAAATAAAAAAAAAGTAGCACTGAAACAACATTTACTGCCTCTTTGCAAATTCATCATGTTTAGTAGAATAAAATTAATTATATATCAAAGGGAATAAAATGTAGTTAGCGTAATTAAAGTATGAAAACAAAATCAATGAATGCGTTAATTGTTGAGTTTGTTTCCACGTAGACGCATTGAGTAGCAGAAAAACCGCAGGCCTGTTGCCGTCTGTTGTTCTCTTCGTCCTGTTTGCATCGCATTTGGTTTTATGTGGGTAGTTTACGAGCTGTTTTTTGCGTCGTGTGTCCGTTTGTTTACGCACACGATGAGCATTAGCCCCCTGTGTGTCCCGAGTTCGCTTTATTTCTGGTTCCGGGGAAGTTCGCAAATTTTATTTTTATGTCCGGGAATTTTGGCGACCTCTCTACTATCGCCTGTACATGTTCGTATACGTGCACATGCGGCTAAAAAGCGAAAGCCTAGAATGTTGAAGCGAACACGGCGAAAATTATTGCCAGTATAATTCTTTTTATTATATTCACTTCTTTCAGATGGGGATCGTTCGTTTTAATCCGTGTTCGGTGCAGTTTTCATTGTTTGTCCCGCCGTGGCGGCGCCCTTTATGCTCGCGTCGCTCGAAAGTATAAAGCCGCGTAAAATATTGTTTAAGACCGCTGATAGCGTCCCGGCGTGCTCGTGAAATTAAATACCAATTCGCATCCGAAGAAAAGGCATAAAGCGAAAAAATCGCGAGATGCATAAAATTTTATACTGAATCGATACGCGGGACGCAGGTGTTGCTGAAAGAAAACTTCACATAAAAGAGAAATCACATCGGGATCACACTAAGCGATTGGTGGGATTATGCAGAATGATCCTACTCGTCGGAAAACTTGACGACTTTTATATTGTTGCGGTGAATCATTGAAGGCCATCGATTTATTAATTTAAAATATTTAATTCCCGTTTTAATTTATTAATGGTCATTAGGAACGTGTACGACCGGCGGCATGGGTACTACTGTTCGGCCAGGCCAACCCTACCGCCTCTTGCACTTCGGGCGGCATAGTTAGCGGCCCCCCGCGAGCGGATCGATAACAAAGCACATTAAACTTTCTCGACCGTATGGTAAGCTGCTTAAACGAGAGGCGGCGGACGGCGGGTGGCGGAGTGGGTGCGCGCGTTCGCCGACCGGGGGCAGCCAACAGGTGCGCGCACGGGTCCGGAATTCACAAACGGAATGAAGCGCCACGCCGCAGCCGCCTTCGGCCTTCGGCGCAACGTGTGTCGCTTTTGTGTGTTTTACAAGCGTCGCGCATTAAATATGCAAATCAGCTTGTCCTAAATAAGCAAACATCGCGCGCACTTATTCACTCCTGCGCGGAGCCAAACCCTTGTTACCTACTTGAAGACGCCACTGCTGCCGTCGTGCGTGAGTGCGTTCAGCAACCAAATACGACACAATACGTAACATAAACATAGTACATACATATATTTCTTCATCATATAATGTTACATTTAAAAAACATATTCATACATATTACAAAGTTACAACATATTCAACACAGGTCAACTATGTTTTTCACGCTGCCATCTCACAGTCGAAATGAAATCACAAATTGAATTATTCACTAATTCTCGAATTTTGAGACATGAGTTTGATATCTTGTACATAAGAAAACCAGCAGTGTTTAACCTCGTCGTTTTCTCGTCCTGAATCAACGGAACGGGAAATTACCGTTTACAATATTAGTTTTGACTCTTATATTTAGCTGACATATACACGTACTTCTATAATTACCTATGTCATTTTTAACATTCCTCCGGTCCTTCGAGTGCTACTTATCACATACTCCGCCAACTTGCATGCACATGACGCTCGCCTGCGACCGGCGTTCATTAATTCATCAATGCGCTCGCCTTCCTTTTTGCCAGCAAGTGGTACCTAATTAGGCTACGAAGTCTTTCGATTTGCTCCAACGTGCTGGTTCGCATCGTCCACGTCGGTGTGACTGCCACTCGTGCGATTTGCCCTACATTTTACGTTTAATTACAGTATTCATATTGTATAATATTCATAATTTTAAGGTTTGTTTTAAAGCAAGTTATTGTCAATACTACGAGCTGTTTCTTCTGGGCGGTTATCGTTCTTTTTTTGCCAGTTGAATGCGTCTTTATGCGAATGCGTCTTATTAGATATAAGTTTGAATTTGAGCACTTGGCGAAGGCTCATTGGTCGATAGCAATCATTTTTATACAATCTTACAGAAAATTAACTTTTCGAACAATTCTTTTATTGCATAGAGACGGTTCGCCAAATAATTAGCAAGAAAAAAATTATTATTAAAGATTGTAGCTTTTTTGTATGATTTTTTTATATTTCAATCAAAAAATTACATTAAATAATAATTAATTATTAACGTACTTTTCTGCTGTTTGAGACCTCATTCGCATAAAGTTATTCGCCGTTTTTTTCCAAGTGCAATTTCAGTTTCATTGTCAATTTTTAAAATACACGCCTTCATGGGCCGTCGTTCCGTAGTTTGGGATAAATTGGTTTTCATGCGACGACGAAAACGTTAAATTTAGTTGCGATTATAGTAATCTACATGTAGATGGAATTCTAGTGGAGATAACGCGCTCGAAGTGACAATTTGTGTTTTGCTCCCGTCGTAAATGCTTGCAGTTTACAGCGATCTTGTTTGTTTCCTGCTTGTTTTTCATGTGTAAATTCTGCAAAGTGTGCTGCGCATTGCTGACGCATGCCGACTAGAGTTAAGTCATTAATGCTAAGTTTGTTAAAATAGCGACTTTGTTTTGTTTAAGGAAGACATCGTTGGGCATATTCAGCGTATGCAGTTTGCAACTGAACCGCGTAATCCGGTTGCTACAGAGCATGGAACTGTTGCTACGTCGAAATTTCGATCAATCGGGTCTAACTAATTGTTCGCGGTTTGGTTGGATAAGTTCGGTTCGTTCAGGCCATGTTTTTGTAAACAGTTTCCGTTTGTTTAATCAAATCTACATTACGTTGCGGTTCAGGGTGCTTACCGAGTTTCTGAGGGCTTTATTGAACGTTAGTTATTCACATGGAGTATGCAAATGCGAAAATTTCCAGCCGAAACGAAGTTTTCTCTCTGATAGCAAGTACGAAAGTGTAGAAAATTTAGTGATTGGGCTGCTTTCGGAAGTGGCGCAATCCGAAAACGCTACGAAAGAAATCAGTTTATGCCTGTCAGCACCCGTAACGATCGTTTGTGCTACTCGTTCCATTCTATCTAATTTTTCATTACTTTTCTCTACATTTTTAAAGTGGGAATCGTTAAAATCATGTACGAATACATTTCAGTCAGAAAATACGTAGTTTTGCTATTGATTCCTAAATCGAATCGAAATCGAAAATAGCTCAAAACAGCTTTTATGTAAAAAAAAACGTGTAGGTACGCGTCCGGTGCGCAGAGAAACTGATTGACCTGTTTGCGGCTTGAGTGTGACAAGTTCCACAAACCATAGATTTATCATTCAAAACCAGCGGCAGCGTTTAAACTTCGACCGGAAAACTGAAATCGAAACAATGCCTATAACAATGGAAACAATTAATGTCACCAGCAGCCGCCAACAAACAAACCTTTTCAGAAGTGTTAGTAAGTTTTAGTAAAGCTTTCATAGTACTTTAAATATTAATTTTTCGAGTTTTTGCAATAGGATGATTTAGTCAAAAATTTATTTTCAAACACTAATTGACACAATTTTTCATATTGACAATTTCGTAATAATTTTTTTTAAGTCCGCGTTTCTTGTTGAATCTTGTTGTATGGGCAATAGCAGAATACATTTTCCAATTACATTAGCTTCGAGTTGAGAGTCGAGGATACCCTGATGCACTATAATTTTCCGTGATTACTGCTGACACCAGCCGCACATTATGAATGTAGATAGGTATTTATGTGTAAAGAATAATTCGCATCACGCTCCGAAAGCATAGTCAAAGCGCACACCGTTACATGCATATTACTTAGAGTAGAAGCATATACGCGACCGGGAAAAGTCGCCGGCGATTTGAAACAATGTAGTTAAGCACACACACGTTACACGTTCGGCAGCGTAGTATATTGAATCAGTTTGGCGGTCTGCTGGGATCCCTCCCACCGCCGATCGTAAACAGCAAACATCCATCAAATTTAAACTTAACAATATTCTCATCGCGGAAAATCGCAGCTCTCGCCGGCGCAAAGTTCAATCAGTTCTTTGTCTGCAGTTTAGACACAAACTCGCACGTCCGCTGGCTGAATTCGGGCGAGGACCAGGACGAGCGTGAATAGCAAGAGGAACCCGATCGGTGCCGGCGCGGCGTGTGCGTTCGTCGGCGCCTGGTTCGATGTGCTGCTCTCCATCACGTTGCTCTCCTCGGCGGATATGATTTCGGCCGGCATTTCGGTCATCACAACTTCGACTGCAAATTTAATTGCGCGATTGTTTAATAATTGCGCATAGTTTCGGCGGCGGATTGTGGCCGCTATGCCAGCTATGCGGCAACTTACTGCGAACGGAGTGGCGGCGCTCGTCGGCGTAGCGCTCGTTGGGGCTGACATAGCCGGGAATCGTCGACATGCATGTTAGCCAGAGCTCGCCGTTGCCGCCGGCGTGCAGCTCCGACACTTGGATGGTGAGCTGTTTCATCGCTGGCGCACGTTGCTCGAAGTACCCATGTCCGTTGAGGCGACCGTTCGAGAAGGACCTCGTCAACATCTCGTCCACCTTCAGACACATAAAGCATCAAATTGTTATAGCATGATATAATTTAGAAAAACGGTATGAGAGTTTTTTTTAAAGTTATCTTGACGTCAATATCCCAAAATTATGTAATGTAGGCAATTAGAACGTGGGCTGTGACTAAGTGTGTAGGTGGGTTTGGAGCGAGCCCTAATTATACCTTTTCGCCGTTGATCAACCAGGTGATGTGCGGAGGCGGTCGGGCCGCCGCCGTCGTGCAATTCGCTTGCAGGACATCGCCCACCTCGTAGGTGGTTTTGTCAAATGTTATCGTGGGGTCTCGATTCTGTGGTTCTGCAATAATCAAACAAATCGCGGATATCGATCGGTTGCAGTTCGCACGTGCCGTTTCATTAGCACCTCGGCTAACTACTTCAAATTATCATGTGGATGTGAATGCGAGAAGTAATACGTACCGATGACATTGAGTGTGACCATCTCTGAGTCCTTGCTAAAAATCGGCGTCTCCATGGACACGCCGCACGAGTACGACCCGGATGCGGCAAAATCTAATCTTGCGAGTTCAATTTGCCGCTCGTTGCTGTTCGTTTTCTGCAAAAAAAAAGCATACAGACACCAATGAAGTGAAATCATCGTGTGCGCGCACGCGGCCCTTATGCAACCAACAGTGCATTGCCGTCTGACCTTTGCATTTCGACTTGAATTCAATAATGCAATCGGCCATCCGATGCGCGATAGTCGCAAATCGGCAACTCTCGGCGAAACTTCCCGCCCAAGTCTGCGATCCGAGGTCGCAGCTTAAAGCTAAACGAGCAAAGAGTTGTTTGTAAAGGGGGCAATTAGGTGTAATCAAAGTTTGAACGGGCAGTTTCATTTTCCAACTTAGGTTGCCGCCGAGCGGTGCTGAAGTGAGCGCGCCGCGAGTGTGTGCGCCACTCCTCGCGCCGCTTCCGTGCGCTCTCGTCTACATATAATGAGAATGTAGCGCCGTCAGCCACTAGTCACGTATCTAAAGCCGTGCAATTTATCCTTGCGCTTCCCATAATACCCGCACAGTCGGCCGCCAGTTGGGAGCTACTCACTCACGCCGCGCTCAGCTAACTTGCGCTGAGTCGTCCTGAGCGTCCTGAGCCTTTTGTTTTCCGTGCTGCACAACTTCGAGATGGTGCCACGTCGTGGCCGAGAGTGGGATGCATTTAGAAACCAGTTAGTTCGACTTCATCTCGCGTCGCTTTTGATGATGATCGACGATAAGGGCGCGCTCGCGCGACTTGTACATACAAATATATCACCCACAAGATGCTAAAAGATGATCTGCTTAATTTGTACCAACACTAAATTTTGGTAATTTATGTATCGAGGAGACAAATATTGTTTGATGTTTTGCGCTTGTTGTACATATTTTATATATGTCTACCTGTTTCCAGGAATAATCGCGTTTAGGCTATTGACCGATGAGAAAATTTCCATTAATTGATAAAACTCAAAAGAATATTCTTGCAATTATTTCAACATAAAAGTAAAGTACAAACAACAGCAGACGATATTCAAAAATTCCGATATATCCACTATTCTGCGAAAAAGGTGAATTTTTATAGAAAATTTCGTGAAGTACAAATTTTGCCCGACCTATTTTTTTTTATTAGAACTAACCATTTGATTTGGTTCCAGAATGGAAAAGTAGTACAGTTCGAATGGAAAACAATGAATTACATATAGGCATGAGTGAAATACACGCACAACAAGGGAGTTCGTAATTTTGCAGGTATGTACCTAATTCATTGTCCACGCGAAACTATGTACCGTGCTTTATCTACGTTTACACAATTCGATATTTCGTCAAAACAATAAGAGAAAGAGGATCGATGAGAAGCTGAATAACCATTTACGTGATTTTTATACTACTACTCACGAATAAAATGAAAAAAATACAATAAGTCGCTACGAACCATTCAAAACTGTTGCAAACGAATCCAAATTGATACTGCTAACCATCAACAAACAGACTTTAACAATAATTTTATGAAAAAAAGTGAAAAAAAGGCATTGCTTTTTTATCAGATTTAGAAGTCTTTGTATTTCGCCAGTTTCTCGACGGTTTTTAGACACAAAAATTATTACTTGAAACACGGACTGCCATGACCGTGACTAAAGTAGTTTACTCACGGATTTCGTACAAAAAAAGAACAGAAAATGAATTTTTGTTTTCTAAATTTTTGTAGGATATTTATAATCGTAGGCTCTCTTAAAAATCACACATCTATGTAACATAGTTGGCTTTATAACACGACTTTGAAAAGATTTTACGGCTCTAGCAGGTGGGTAAAGCAATCGTCTATCTCTCAGTGAGTTAGTATGAACTGAGCAAACTGTAATTTGCATAGGTTTGTTTTACGTACATTGAGCTCGGCGCCGGGCATTGGAAAGTAGCGAAAGGGCGGCTTCCTGTCCTTGATGTACTGAAAGATTTTTGCGCCGGCCTTCTGCCACTCGACTTTGTACAGCTGCTCGGGTGTCACGCTGTGTTCGCATTTTAAAACGACGCTGCCACCACGGATAGCGTACCGCGGCATTATCAGTTCCAGCCGGTCGATATTCCCCATGCAACTGCAACCTGCAACCAGAATGCATACACATCTTGTCATTATTTATCTTTTACTATGTTTACATTGTCGAGAGCGCGCAGGAATTACTCGCTGATAACGCAGCGACGCTTGACGATATCAGCTCGGTGTTCACCCGCATTCCTACAAGTTCTTCGTTTAATTGGAACAGCATTATGCCATTACGGTAAATGGTTCGGCGCGGTATTCGAAAACGATTGACAAACAAGCGCGGCGTGTGAAGCGCTTGGTGGAGGCGCCGGGCCGCATCGTCTTCGGCACGAAATTTGAGCAATTTCCGGCACAATTTATTCGCGCCGATAGGCCCATTTGTCGGCGAACGTGTAATTTCGCTTCGCGCCACACTCGGTCGGAAGGGTGCGCCACGATGTGTGCGATGCGGCTTCGCTCGTATCTGGGTTAATTACACGATTGACGGCGCTACGCGCTCGCTGCATGCGCTGATAAAAATGTGTATTATAACGCGCGAAGGTGCGATGGGTTTGATGTTCTGTTGCACTGATATTAATTACATTAGCGACGTCGTTCAAACGTCAATATCGTGTAATGCAGCGCGAATAAGCGCCTGGTGTATCATCAACATTGGCATTTTGTTGGTGTAGCACTCGCTCAATGGCATAAATACCCCAATGGATTTAGCTTTTATGTGCGAGGAAGAAACATTTCCGAGTTGTTTATTCAATATATGTGGATGGCATTAGCGTTAAACGAAACCTTCGACTATTGGACGCGCGAGTCACGCGTTAATGTATCATGTATCACTCGAAAAGCGAAAACATTGCTCTAATTAAAATAATTTACGAACACAAGCGGAAATATATTACATTATTGTTGCTTTTTTTTGTTTGCATTAACACCGTCGTTAATAATTCAACACGCCGTACCGCCAGTATTATGATAGATTGCAATTAAACGTAATTAAGTCCTCTGGCAAACAGCAGAAGACCGAGTACGGTAAATAGTCGTAAACAATTGAACATATCATCGCGGTCATTAATTTGATTATTGTTATTATAATCCGATGCGCGGAGTGCGATGACTTTGAGTATCGGCGGACACTTGAAACGCTCAAAATAATTGAAAACGTATCGATTACAGAAGAGCTTTGCCCGCCCGCTGGACCTTTTGGCTCTCGTGCCAATGTGAACGCAAACTAGATTATTAGATTACGAGTACAAAATGTGTGCTGCGGTTTATAAATAGAAGTTAGTTAGAGGCCAGTTGTAATGTGAAGCTATTTGCATTTCAACATAATTAATATTAATGGTATCAGCGAATATTTAAATTACAGACGAGCAAGTAAAATAATTTTGTATATTAATATTTAATGATTAAACACGTAATCATGTTGATATCAAATATCATAATATTGTAGAAATTATGAGTTTGGCTTACTAGCCGAATAGCCGAAAAGAGAAATAAAAATATTTAATGTTTTCTCTGTTATCTATTTGTAAAAAAAAACGTGTTATACACCTAAATAATCAAATCTGGTAGTAATAAAATGGATATAACTACTGTTTAAAAAAACATATAATATAGGTAATTTTTAAATGAAATTCCACCTTTAAAGCGTCAGTTTTTCCACGGTTTTGAGACACAAAAAGAGGTAATTTTAACATGACAGTGCGTTATACACGAGTTTTAGTTACGGGATGGACCTTTGCCTACAGTGCAGCATAAACAAGTCAAAGCAGGCGCTGCTGCTTGAGGTATTTCGCAGTAGTGTGCGAGCGAAGTTCGAAGATTTAAAACACAAAAGTTCAAACACAAAAACCTCAACGTGAAAATAGAGTGGAAGTACAATAGCGTAACTATCACGTGGCTAAACGATGTTAAACAACTTTGAACTCCAGTTAAACTCCCATTTAGCCACTTGACACTTCAAATACGAGTATATTATAAAAATACTTAATTATAAACAAATCATACAAGATCTGTGTAACCAAATTCGCTAAACTGAATACTGAAACATGATATCGGTGATTGGGATGTGTCTAAATTCCACGATAAAATTTGTTTATTTCACATGACATTGATATTGCGTTTTGCATTATAAATAAAAAGTTTATATAAAATCGCTGATACGCTGCATTTTTCATATGGGAACGAAGCAAGCTGCTTTTGCATTTTGATTTGTCAAGATGAAATTTCTTTAAAAAATTTCTAATATTTATAAATGTATATAACATGACTTGCCTAGTAGCTTTATATTGGATATATATGATCGGAGCGTATGAATAAAACGTTCCGATATTATTGCACCGTAAATCAACTTCAATATATTACAAATAAAAGATGGATGCCTTCAAAGAAATAGAAACATTTAATATTATTTCATAAGTAGTTGCTGTACCTAAAGGTAATATGAACTGTACTTCGAAATTTGGAGCATTGATGTAGAAGTAATACCTTTTGTATTTAAGCCGTGTTGATGAGATTCGATGTGAAAGTTTTTGAATAAAATGCGTAAGTCTGTTTTCAAATAAACTGGAATTTCTCTGATCATATTGAATGCAATATTGAAAACATTAGAAAATATATTGTGCGCAAGAGAAATCAAATTACAGGTGGCACTAATGGTTCTTTGAAGTTTTCTTTGCATTAAAATCGTAAAAAAACATAAATGTATTTGGGTAAACATTGTATTCCATATATCCAAAATTGAATTACAAAAATTCGCATAATTGCCGTTAACGGATCAGAAACGCAACTCCTATTCCAACGTACATTTCATCCATATTAAAATTTTTTAATTTACACTCCAACTTACTGGCACTGTCGGCGGTGCGAGCTCATCGTGAATGAAATATTGATTCGGATCGACTTATTCCATCCACGTTGTTAAATTACGCCCCTCCTCAAATCAATTTGCATACTGTAGTAGCACTCGATACTCATCGAAATTTATATGCATATGATGTAATCCGCGGGTAGCTTTCGCGCGGATTTGAGGAGTTTTAAAGTATTTATTCGGGGTCTTAAAGGCGCTCTGGGCGCATTGTATATCGGCGCGAAATTTATTACGTTCGTGCCGAACCGGATCGGCAGCGTCGAGAATGCGTGAAGAGCGGCACAGATATCGGCTTTCGAGTGGCGCTTATTTTTTGCTTTATTTCTTGACGCTGCCGGCAAGGAATGCGCATCCTGAGTTCGGCGTTTCGGCAGGCCGACGCGACGTTCGCATGCCCTTCAATCCAATCAAATCCAATATGGATATGCACGCACGAAAGAATTCACTTACGCCTCCGCATTGCTGATGGATACTTTTTTTTTGTTCGGGAACAACGCGTACTATTGTTGCACGAGCAAATGACCTAGTTCAACCGAGTAAACGCTATGTTTTCGCATATTAAAACAAGAATACTGGTTAATCTTTAACAATTGAATTTGGAAATTGGAGTTTTGACCCCACATTGAAAGCACGAGCGGATTTGTGGTGAAATTTGCGTGCTGGAAATCACCCCGGCCAAGACTGACCACATCCGGCGATAAACTTAAATCGTTTTGACCTCAGTGTTGATTTTCGGTAGTCGAAAGCACCGAGCACACGAAAGAAACTACTCCAGCACCCAATCGGAAAAGTAAAGCTCATTTTCCTAGTTTATGTTTACGTTATTATATTAGGTATATTGTGACATGTTGCCTAATTATATATTAGCTACATTTTGACGTATGTATACTAATTGAATTTCTGATATTGAACTCTATATGCTTACGAAAGAAATCCTTATTGAATTTTTTTCCACTCGAGGGGCCGAATTTAACATATCTAGCGTGTACGTATGGGTTCAGCATGGAATTAATTCGATTTGCTTTATTGAATAATGCGGTACGAAATCGGAAAGATATCAGTATTCGTCCGATTGAATATGTTCGCCGATTATCCTACGTCTAAAAACGAAGGCATAGTATGGGTGGACATCGGCGCTGCGATTCGTGTAGGAAAGGTAGAAAAAAAAACACACACACAAATTGATCGTGTTGGCATTTTCGCTTTTCCCATATTGGCATTCAAGCGCACATTTTCTTTTCATTCTCGTAACGTTTTTTTTTCTTCGTGCGCGTCGTTCGTGCCGTTGATGTCTACGGGGGATATTTCCAGCGGCGCGCTCTTTTGTCCCGCAGGATAAAACTCTTCCTGCATGTTCTGCCTACGCGCTCCGCTGGTTCGCGAACGCAAACGCAAGAAGCCCCGGCGACGCTCACCGCCCTCCTGGGATACGCAAGTGGCGTGATAAGATGAAACAATGCACGTTGCATTAATATCATTGCCGCAGTGAAAAACTCAGGCGCAAACATCGCGCCAACTAGCAAACAGCATTAGATTATTTTATTGACTGTTTTTTTGCCACGGAGTGTCTTCGCGTGTAACGCGCTTGTTTTTCGCCCGCCCGCCGCCGGCGTTGGCTTTGCGCAATTTGTCGCCGCGTGCCGAGCGAGAAATGCCCGTGCTTAAAAATACGAACGCGTATGCTCGACGGACGGGTGAAATTGGCGGCTTTGCCGGCGGTGACGCAGTCCTTTGCATTTTTATCGCGAGCATATGTGAAATGTTTGACAGGAAGCATGCGCTCAATTTTCGGAAAAACTCAAAGATGCTTTTGATGCTTTTATACCTTGTCATCAAACCAAGCGGGACAAGTGCGTAAAAAGCGCGTGAGCCACACTTACACTAATGTAAATCAAAATTTAAAAATTTTAAATCAACATTCACAATATCACTGATTCTATAAGATTTAATAAAGTTGTATTATTAGATTATGGTTGAAAACAAGTTCAAAATAAGCAAGACAATGAATTAAGTTTAGTTTAATTACCATTAGCATAAAATAATAAAGCTTCTAGTTAGTAGATTACAATTAAGAAAGCCAAGGTAATATGAAAGGTGTAGGTGTGCGCGCACTTGTGAAAAACGCGCGACATGTGATCGCGTTCGCAATTTATACGAGTGGAACGCCTGTCGCACGTCACGTCCGATCTCTTCTCG